GTAGTATTCATAATCACTTCAGATGAAATACAGTCCATCACATGAAAAGTAACAAGCACACGTCCTTTTAGGAGCTGTGACTTACTGCTTTCAAAGCGGAAGGAAACCATGAGCAATCAAAAACTGCACCTTCTCTTGCATTATCATTTTGCAATGAGGGCAACCTGTGACATAAACGTTTATCTGATGAATTCAAATAAGTCATGCACAAATGGGTATGACCGATCGCACGATACTCCAAATATATTCTCGACTGAGAAAATCAAATGAAAAGATCTAATGATCACAAAAAAGGATTTAGAACATTTCACATACACACTGTCCATTCCATTCAATCGTGATGGCGATGATTCACCGAACTCTGTGGTCATTAAATAACGCTTTCCTCAACCCAACTAACCAATAAGCGAGTTGTAGATACCCCACTTGTTTTCTAGTTTCCAGTGAGTGGTATCCACATACACGGTGATAAAATACTCACCTCAAATGTTACACCGTGACTAGATTACATATCATCATGTGGCTTCTCAGAAAACACGGCAGCATTCCTAATACTTCCAGATGTTATTCACAGTCGTTTGCGTGAAGAGTAACCAACACACATCCAAGCAAGTGCCTTCACTTCCTGCCATCACAGTGAAAAGTAGACATCGACTGCAGCCTGTGACACAAATATCAATTCACTGAATTGAAATAGTAGTCTGTAGAAATATGCACAGGCTAATCACACAACAATTCAAATATATTTTCTACTAGGGAGATCAAACGAAAAGATCTTATAATCACACAAAAGTATTTGGAACATTTCACATGCGTTTCCTGTAGATAAACTCCTCTAACGTCCAATCATCTTGCTTCATCAATCCTATTTCGAAACACAAAATGTTTGAGCAGCTTCCTGCTTCCATTATGAAATAAGGTGGGAAAATCAATAGACGTCTTGATTTGTGGACATAGGTATGAGATGTGAACCTCAAAAGGATATACTCATTTCCGCCACAAAGAAGATGCCCAACGAGAACCTCGATGCCAACTCTAACTTTGCTGCTGATATCTCCAAGAAGGAAATCTCAACTCACTTAAGAATATTCTTTTCACATCAACCGTGTGTGTTGTAATTTCCAGTAGTTTAAATGTGTCTGGCTAACAGAAGCATAAGCTTGTGCATCTAACCACTTCCTTGTCAGTTTATCAAATAACCTGCTCTTGTATAGCCTGGCATATGAATCGGTCTATGCGAGTGCTTTCGAAACGTGTTAGAAAGCATTGTCTCACCTGGCTCCAAAAAGGTGTGAGTGTATCTATCAATGTAATAGTTGAAAACTTTGTCAACACTAGTCTCAGAATCACAACCGACTCACTGTTCAAAGTCATGAGAAAGAATATAAGAAATTCACCGAAAATAGTATATTTTGTCTTCCCTGCACTACAAAAGCTCTTGTCGTGTGCATACAGAAACTTGTTCACCGTTTGCTGCTGCCTGGAATAAAGTCAATAGCAGTAAACAACCACCCTGTTTACCCTTCCTAACTTTCACAGTATTGTTATGTTTTTCTATTCATCTCAATAACACGATATCCACTTCATTTTCTCTCCTTGCTAACCTCGATCTCGCTTCTTCTTCGAAATTATTTTCCCACACACATAAGGCAATGCATACCAGTATTTCCACAGAGGGAGTCTCATCTCCACTATTCAATGTCACGATCATAGACTTCAATGCAATCAATTCATTTTCCTATGGTTTATGCACTGAAATAACTGTTCATCATAATTGTCTGGCCTTTCTAAATTCAATGACGTATACATACCAGTTAAGTATTGAAATCACTTGCTGACAAATACTTTTCATGATCAGCCTAAAAGCACACCACATTAAGCGGTGTCCTTAGCATATGACAACTGCATGTGCACATTCATGTGTACCAATATTCATTTTGCTTCTTGATGACTTGTTAGCTGTTCAGATTTTGGTCACATGATCCACTTGAAGTATCTTGATGTGTGAAAGTGTATGCCATTGAATATCTCAAAAATCAGATGATGAATATAACATGATTAAGTCATAGTATGATGCATGGAAGTCACTCAGTATCCAAGTGAAAATCAGGATACATTAACTGTTATAACACGATATTTCGCGCAGAAAATAATGATAAGGACAGTGAATAAGACAAAAGTGGAGGGATAGACTGATCATTTGCATAATGGTTTTGTTCACTTTCTAATTTCCACTTAAACGCTTCCGATACATGTAATCTGTAGGGAAGCTGTTTTTCGTCTCATGTAGTCAAAGAGATTGTTGCTATATTGTTTTGATAAGTTCACAGTAATGTGTTCAGTTCAGAATGATGTCGAATATTGTTTGACGTTGAGTAATGGTATTTCTGTTTTTGAGAAATCCAAATGACAAATATTCTCGAAATGATCCACTTGAGCTGTGCAGACATTTTACACCGTTGCGAATGACAGTCAGTCCCAGTTCTAATCACCATTGTGCAAGTGTATTCAGTTTTATAAACAATGAACATATGTATTCAGAAGACATGTATGCATATAGATCTACATAAGATAGTTATGAAATATAACCAGCATCAAAGTTACTTGAGGTGTAATCCTTTGGTTCTGACTGTTTTAAACACAGAAAATTCAATGTTACTTCTAAAATTGGACTAACAACACATTTCTTGCTGTAATAAATCTTTATGCGACCACCTCTCTGGAATGTCTCGTTAGTTAGCATTCACTCAATAACTATGCAATCAACAAATTGAGTTATTGGAAAAAAAATGTTTTACCAACCATTTGTAATAAATCTATGTCTAATACAGTGAAACACCGTTTGATATAGTATATCTTAAGAATATCTTTTCAATTTTAAGTAGATCGAAATAATGGGATCATACATTTTGTCGTCGGTTGTACTTCTGTGTGTTGTGAATAGTATGTATGTTTGAGTGGTATGATTATGCTTGTTGGGGAAGTAAAATTTTGTAATCAGTAAAAATATAAATGTATGAACATGTACTGGTAACAATCCTGGCTATTAACCATATGGTCTAATATACGGATGTTAGCGCAGCAGGAAAGATTTTCGAATGATGTGAAGAACAGTCAAGTTCCTCGGCTTGGCAAAAAACTGACCTGTCCTTATTCAACTTACATGCGAGTAAAAACAGATATAAATCCAGAGAATTCAATGATTATAACTGTGCAAAGATTTTGCGAAATCCTCAGTTTATATTTCAGTGGGCAGACATTTCTGGACAACTCAGTACACGATATCAACTGTATGTTTCTAGTTAATGGGGTGAAAGATACTGCTCATCGATCTTGAATTCCGAGTAATGGATCTAGGATTCAAACTTCGCTTCATCTATTTCAGCCTAGGTAGCCGGATAGTGTCATAACCCCTCACACAAAAGCTTCAGCTCACAGTCTACCACGGAGATGTGTACTACGTTGAGTTACATTATTATTGCTGTGATCATATGCAGTGGCATATCTACAAATGAACAGATGTAGCATAGTATTTGACATGATAGATCGGCATTGGTGTATGCAGAAATAGTGATTTTGGGTTCTAGTCACAAAAAGTGGTGATGAACTAAATGTGAATATGAGTTTGTGAGCTAATTTAATTTGTTAAAATAATTCTTAGATTACTTGTTACAAAGATATCCCTTATAGATGGAAATGTTCCGAAACATTTTCTACCATTATTCATCATCTTTTATCATCTTTTTACATAAACAAGACCTCTTTATCAGATGACGTATCAAATAATGAGTTGAGTTGGTACATTATAGTATTTATGGGAGTAAATAGAGAAGAAATCCCAGTTTTCAGTAGTCATACATCAAAATGAATGTACACTATGAAAAATAGGATAAATGCTGTACTATAGTGAACCGTAAACAACAGTAAATAAATAACAACATACATTCTGAAGCAAAAATTAACATGTATCCAGCAAGAAGAACATGCACTTTTGTATCAACAAAGGAAAACTGATAGATGAAGTGCCTAAATTCAAATATATGGGGGGGGGGGACATTGACCAGCACGGGACGGCAAGTGACCAATTGATTTGTTTCAGTAGATCAGTAGCTTACTAATGCTACGTAGAATTTTTAAAGCAAGGAGATGTACAGATGCTCTGAATCTAGGAAGACGTGATATGCCTCCTACAAAGAGGTTGGTTTTCTGTAAGACACCTAAGAGAAACCTAAACACTCAGAACAACTGATAATCAACAGGCATAGCATTCAATACATAAATCACCGCTTAAGTAAAAATAAATTACTGACAAAATATGGAATATAGCTTCAATACACCCGATGAATATGGAAGCTGGTTTCCTTTTGAGGTTTCTAAGATGCAGCCACAGACAGGAAGGGGGTGAACTGAGTTAAAAAAAAAAGCCATTAGCTTGTTAACTTCAACCTACATACTAGAAAATAAGCAAATATTGTACACAGACATGCGAAAAAGGATACAACTACACTGGATTATGTAAAATGAAAACATGAACATCAATACAACATGTAACAAGAAATCCCATTTCCAACGATTGGTGAAGCGATGAAAACATTTACGTGGATACAACACTTCGCATACAAATGTAATTTGACAAGGCACATGAAAGAAATACAAACAAATATACGCTAAAATCAAGAAGTTAGACAATACATAGTGCAAACTAAAGTATAAAAAATAAGTAGCTCATGGCACAAAAAAACAAGCTTACTAGACATCGTGCATGCTTAATTAAAACATCTAGACGCCTTGAATTCTCACTTAAATATAACTGAATTTGTACAGCTGGTAAACAATTAACATTGTGTGTTGTTGACTGTATATCACTGGGATTGTTTGAGGAAAAGTGAAATGATGATGGGATAAGTAAAGGAGTTGTATATTCTTTAGATTTCTCAGGTGAGCGATCTGGAAATGATGCTGGTATCCAATATCTGGATGATGATGATGATGATGATGATGGATTGATTCCTAAAATATTTAGGATTAATAAAGTAAACTTATTTACTTGCATGCATATTTATCCAGATTTACTTATGCAAGCAAAATAACAAGTCAGCTGTTATTGTTTCAAGGAGATTGGTTAATTAGATAAAAGTTCCCACAGCAAAACTGACGTCAATTAAAGTACCACCCTGTTAAACTACGAGTATTTATGAACTTCTGTTGAAAAGACATCATTTATAAAACTGACCAGCTCACAGTATATAAACATACACTAATTATCTCAGAAAAAACATAAGCGTTGAATGAATAGAGTACCGTTGCTCAGAGTTATTGGGCTATTTGTTAGAACTGCGTGAAAGACTTATATCAATACGGCTATGATTAGGCCCTAAAACAGTAAGAAACAGCTAGAAAGTGTCACTCTATCTTTAGAGTTCTCTGAAGTGATATCATTTTTCAATGAATTACGAGTATAAATCGCATGTATACTGTTAGGACCAAACTTTATAGACACTGGAAAAATGTTTAAATGAAATCGCAAATTGATATTTAAAAATAGTAACCATTGTGCATTTAAACAAAATTTTTTTTAATTAATTGAATAATTTCATTATTTGTAGTGTTGATTAGCACAAACTAGGTTGAACAGAGTTAGTTATTATTTTTTTAACTGAACCAAAGTGCGAACATAAACTCTCAAGGAGAAAATAAATAAAGATCTCTTTACCAAGTTAAAGTGAAGCATAACTCTAAATTAAACAATCACAATTTATTCATAAAGATGATAAGTAAACAAATCAGGTTAGCACAATCAATTGAGAACCTCGTTAGAAGTGATTAAATGAACTGACTAACATTTTTAGAAGCAGTTAGCAAAACAAAACACTTGTTGTGTTAGCAGTCATATAGTCATATTCGTCTACTTTTTATCCAACTACAAATTTTTACAAAGTGATTAATCTTGAGTATGCTCAATTTACTTTTACTATATGTTTAGATTATTTCTAAGGAAAGTAATAAATGAGTACTTAGAGATGAGAATAACTTTTTCGAAATAAGCAACATGTGGTATTTAACCATGCTTTGCTTGAAATGGTGGTTTACGCGAAACTATTTACAAAATATCATATAAATCACTGAATATATTACCTGTCCTAACGAAGGATGATTGTAAGAGAAAAGCATCTGTTATGAAGTAGATTATCAGTATTCAACATGTAAGGTGGTAACAACGCTTAAGCAACTTCTTAGGTTGTAGACGAGTTTCTGAGGTGCAGACGGATGGATAGAAGAATAGGCCTTTATCTTCGAACAGTTACAACATTTAGCCATAATGGTATAGTGTGACCTTCTTCGTAGTTCACTTGTAATAATAACAAGATATTTTTACGCTTCAAATTTAACTAGTTTCCTCTTCATTTCATCTAAATAACCCGAGTCATAGTAAAAACAAAAAAATCCCCAAAGAAGAGTTTATATTTTACAAATAACTATTATGCAGTTTTATCAGTTATATAAGCTTACAGGAGGTATTTTATGAAACAGCTGCAAAAAAGAAAATATATTTCAAAAAACAATTAGTAGATATCAGTCGACAGAGAGATCATACTTTCTAAAACACTGTGTGACAAAATCTAGTGTGAGGGGAAGTAGTGACTGTATGCTGTATGAACGCAGTCAGCATAGAGCGCTAGACCTAGGTTTCATGCTTGTTTGCGCTCGTCAGCAACGAGTATCTGCAACCCTGATGGGACTGATGTCTCGTCGTAGGTTCGAACCCGTGTCACCCAGGGCTAAAGTCAGAGACGTAACCACAGAGCTATTCGGGCCGCAACCAACCTTCAGTAGGGCTGAATTAGGTAGACTGATTGGTCACTGAATAGTAGCCAACTTCATGTTGTCTAGTTTTAAGTGCTGACCGAGTTCTACCGATCATATTGTGATTTGGCTGGCAGGTTTGTTGACACAACGTTGCGATGCACTTCGATAAATATTAATTGGACGGAGGCTATCAGTAAGAAGCCCTGGATCTGGGTTTAATATGTCTTGGCACTCATCAGTAGTGACGTTTTGATCACTGCCTCGAAATATTTCTCTCAGATCCACTATTTTCCAAAATGAAAATTATACTTCAACTCAAAGTAATATTCAGTAAGTACCGAGTGCTTTGATTTTTGAAGCAATGAATCCAGAAGGTATTTGTGCTTATCCACATAAATGTGGAAATACTGTTTTTACAACTGCAAGTATAAGGATTGTGAAAAACGTTAAACTTAGTGACTTTTCAGAGGGACTAAAACAGTATTTTAAAAACAACCTGTTCTAAAGGAATCAAGAGTTATAAAGAAAATAATCAGTGTTTATTCTCAATAGTAAAAACAGATGGGTTCCATTTTGGTATTTTACTGAAGAGGAAAACCTATACACAAACACTTGTTTCAGTAGAGTAATTCCACCGAGTAAAACGATTACTTTCAAGATGTTTGAGGAACTTTACTAAACGTTTCAACGAAAAAATGTTATTTCAGGTTGATATTCACCATGGATTGACATTGGTTGGAGGAACATTGCAAACCTGGGAGCACTAGACAGATGTTTCGTCCTTGCACGGGAATCCTTATCAGTGCGCATCCATGACCCCACGAAGATCGAATTTAGGACCTTCAGGTTCCTGCTGCTAGCACGTTACCACTGGGCCACCGGGTCTGAATCCAGTGGAACATATTTCTTGTTTAGGTCAGTTCAAGGTATAGCGTGACCATCACCTAATGTCATTGTTGACTATTCCTTCTGACGTTCACTCGGTTAGACCCCTGGCGGGGTCATAAGTACGCACTGCTGAGGAGTCCTATACTAGGAAGAAACACCTATGCATTGCTCCCAGATTTCCAGTGTTTATCCAACTGATGTCAATCTATGATGAATACCAACATAATACCAGCAAAGACCCCTCAAAGTTATGTTAATTTTAAAGTCTCAAAGCGTGGTTTCTCCATTGAATGTCACTACTCAAAACATAACCTGATGAACATCCTAATGAACTGTAAGGAATTAATTATTTAGACACAGCTGAAAGTTTATACATATCGAATTTCTACAAGTTTATCCCTCATAAAATCTAATTAGAATGTCTTATTCTGCGTAAAGTAAGGAGAACTATAGTAGCAGAATTAAAATGCAGTTACTTCTTGAAATCCCCCCAGCTACTTCACATCCTATAAAGTGTTATGTTCATGACGAAGAATATGTTACACAACATACTTTCATAAATTGTCAAGAATATTTCGCTTAAGATGGAAGGTGACACAGATTTAGCTTAACCGACATTGATGAAACTGCTAAGACTACTCAAAGGTAAACTATTTATACAGTGATAAACATTCCAGAGAGTATGGTAATATATACATAAAAATAGACGTCATTGTAAGCGAAATAAAATGTCAACAGATTTTCATTTGATTGAGCAATAAGATGAATATAACTCAGAAAGTTAGATTAGGTTCGGAAATAGATAAAAAAAGCGAATAAAAATAAGAGTCATGAGTAGTAGTAGTAGTAGTAGTAGTAGTAGTAGTAGTAGTAGTAGTAGTAGTAGTAGTCTTAACAACTTCATGAATATCGGTCAACTGAAATTTTTGCTACCTTTCATCTCAATTCGAAAACTTCTTGTCAATTTATGAAAAGACATTGTATTATAGACATTCAGGCCATAGTTTTTTACGAATGTCCTGAAAGAAGTTAGGCACCGAGTCATTACACATTGTATAATATATTATTTATAATAAACATTATATTTTGTAGGGTGTGCAGTAGCTACGGAGAATATACGAAATACAGGTACGCTCATTCTGCTACCATTCTTCTTCTTCCTATATTCAAATTCCTAAAAGGGAACAATTGTACGAAGCATCATTTTGTGCATGACCTGAGAGTTGTACACTGAATAGTGCTGTAAATAAGGTCACTGAACAAATGTCAATCTCACAGTATGCATCTTTTTAGTTCTGCTCCCTAGTAGACTGTTTCCTTTTAACGAATTTTCTTCTGGTTATAAATGCAATTAGTGTAATGTGAAACCCGTAGAACAAATTATTTCATGAATTTACTGTTACTTACCGATGGTCATTATTTTTAAATACCATCTGCTGATATTCATATTTATTCATCGAGTAGGTTCGTTGAATGATATGAAAATCAACCCCAGAAAGTATCATGCACAAAAAACAATCAGTAACGCTAATCAACGAGGACAACTGCAAAAGGTGTGATCAATGAAGAGCCTTTCAATATTTTCAAGTAAAACCTCGTGATATAATTTACTTGGTTGTAACTAGTGGAGGAGTCCAGGAAGTGCTTATTGGTCTGTCTGGAACTCGTCAGCTGGATGTAGCTGTACCCCACAGAATGGTATTATTCCCACTGAGACTCGCACCTCGTACCCATCACTTCAAATAACAAAGCGTTATCCACTGGATCACAGAGCCACGACAGCCACCTCTTGTACAAAATATCCCATCAATGACTACAGTACAGCATGCTTCCCACAGATTCTCACCAGATACCGGTGCATAGCATAGAAAAACCATGTGTTAGTTATTAAGACACAGAATAACCAACAGCTGCAGATTTCATTCAACCAGTTAAGTTTTGTCTTGTGAACCATTGATAGGAAGGTATAACTTCAGCTTTCTGATCTTTAAGTTCTATGCATGTTTAAAAATGGTCAAAGAATCCCTGTTATGAAACTATCTGATTTTCAATGATCAATATGGGATAATTTAGACGTTTTAAAACATCATACAAAAAATTCTAGTAAATTTTTAAATTGTGTCATTTGTTAACCTGACACAAAAAGTGTTTTTAAGAAAGTGTTTACATAAAAAAACTATTGATTTTATCTGTTTATGCTTATATGTGACAAACACGAAAAATAAAGGGATATTAATTTACAGTGTGATATACAGACCATTTTAAGAATAGCACTTCGAAATATATCTATTAGTGTATACCACTTTACTACTTACGAAAGTGTATAAGCATATTGTAAGTTTATAAACTTCAAAAGGTTACTGTTTAGTTATTTGCCTAAAGTCCTAAATCATCTTCCATTACGGAAAATGATATTAGTACTACCGGTAATATAATTAAATATTCACATTAGCAAACGTAGGCATGAACACCAACAAATGGCAAAATAAAAACCAAATAAAGTTGAAAAATGATATCCTAAAAAAAGGAATTAATTATTGGTATCAATAATGATAGAAAATTGATTAAGCTCAAAATGGCTTTCATCAAGAAGTACGATAAGTTGAAGAGATGAAAAAACACAAAAGGTAAAAAAGTTGTTTAGGTTTCAGTTTCGTACTGTCATTTGGAATAAAGGCTTGTTTCTTTTCAGAACATAGCCTACGACATCAATGGTTAATGAATAACTCACTGCTTCAAACTCAACGATAAGTGTATATCAATGGGTAGCTTTAAAGGCCACCCTAGCAACAACTGGAATAACCAATCAAACTTCTTTATTTTATAAAAATCTGCCTTTTCAGACAAAAGGAAGAAACCTAATGGGTTAGTTCAATCGTTGCTAAAGTGGTTTTTAAAGTCGCCCAAATCAACTTCAAAACATGTGATCGCATTTTGCTGTGAAAGGGAAGAAATCCTAGTGAGTGAAGGAAGAAATATTTCATCACCCAAACTTGAATTGCATGCGTGGGTCTGAATCAATAGAGAAGTCACAAATTTTCCAACACTATGTCTAAACCAACATGTAAAGTAACTCATTGGCTGCATTCGTTTGCGCATTCCAGAGTTAAAGCAAAGCATTTTCGAGAGATCCTCCATCATATACGACTTTTCAACAAAAGGCCGTCAGATATGACAATGAATATGTCAACAAAGCGAACTGGCGTGAAATCATGCTCCTGTCCACCATAAGCAGAATATGAGGCCGCATCATCCTGGAGAGATTAAAAAGTGCTCTCGATTCAAAATTACAACCGGAACAGGCTGGCTGGCTTCATGAAGAACAAATCACGTGCGGATCAGATTTCAAAGCTACGCATCATCGTAGAACACAGCATAGAATGGCAGTCAAACGAGAACTTTACCTCAACTTCATCGACCTTTAAAAGGCCTTCGATCGAGGCGTCGACCGAGAAGTAATTTGTCAGACAGCTGTTTGCTTCAACACTACGGTTTTGGTGTCACAAATATTTATTAACCTCATTCAGAGGCAGCCATATGCTATGTGGGGATGCTATATGCCAAGTGATTCACAATAGAAAGCTCAGCGATGCCTTTGAAGCGAAGACAGGAGTAAGACAAGGTTGCAGCCTACTACCACCGATGATCTTCCTGATTGTATTTAACTGAACTGGACCATGAAACAAACTGTGAGGAGCGAGAAGATGGGAATACACTAGTTGGATCAATGAAAAGACCCCAGAAGATTCGGATTTAACCGCCGATGATTTATGTCTAATGTCTTATCGCACAATCTCCAAGATCTATAGGCGAAAACTAACAACCTGGCAGAAGAGGCGAGACAATGAAGACGGGAATTTCTTCAGGTGAACGTAGAGAAGATGGAGGTGATGAAGATACCCAACCAACAACAACAAGCACTAATCACTTGAACAGGAGAAATTTAAGGGAAGTAGTCTCTTTCACCTACCTGCCTAGGCAGCTTCGTTTGAACTACAGGCGGCGGCGGTGGCACAAATGAGGATGTCAAGGCAAGGATTGGAAAGACAGAAAGACAGGTCTTCATTATTCTGAAATCAGTGTGGTGATCTACTGCACTGCACTCAGCATAAACAACAAGATCAGGATTTTCAACACTAATTAAATCAAGTCGGTGATTCTGGGATGGTTGTGGGACTTGACGCGTCACGAAAAGCATTTGCAACAAACTACAGACATTCATCAACAACTGCTACCTACACTCACTTGATACTGACACCGAAGATTAGATGGCCAGAATGATAAGAATAAGTAGCAAGGAACTCTGGCTGGCTGGCAACGAACCAACCAAGAACCTATAGCTCAACAAATATGCAGAAGAAAGTGAAGATGGATTGGAAATACACTGAGAAGACCATTTGGGGACATCACGCTCAGGCCAGGCCACGCCGTCGAGTGTAACCCGAAGGGGAAACGACGAGTTGGGTCTCCCAGCTGAAGGTGACATGGAGGAGATTATATAAGGGAGAAGTGAAAGCTTGTGGGCAGTCGGGGCGTCAGGTTGAAAAGACTCAGAGAAGAGAGTGCAATGGAGGTGTGCTACTGAATTGCTATGTTCCACTAAGAACCCAAAGGAAAAATAATAATAAACGTTTTAAATCTGTCGATATCCATAGTAATTTTTTTGATTTTTGGACGAGATTGATGTTTATTCACTCTTCAGTATTCTCATCGCCATTGCATCTTCAAGGATCATTTATGGGTCAGAAATTTTGTGATACCAATCAAAATATCAAGAAACTCCTCGCAAATGTGAAATATGAAAGTTTAACCAATCAAACCAGTGATGTTATCCCTGTCTCTGAACAGTACTCCCAATGTTTCACTTCAACTATCCTTGACTGTTATCATGAGGATCTCAATAAAAACCATAGATTCATTGCCTAATATATATATATATATATATATATATATATATATATATATATATATCACTTACCACTACACTTTAATCAATATACGAAATGGAGTAGTTTATTTATCGGTAGGTTAGACAAGAATTAATCCTTAGATAACTAAAAAAAATGATTAAAATACTTTTATCTAAGCTAAATGCTTAAAAGATTCTTAATCTACAGTAAAATAGCAACTTGATGATGCCATTAAATAGTGAAATTGTCATACATATTGAAAATAAAAAAATTCGACTAAGTCAACATCAGTTCTGTAAGACAAGAATAATAGGGACAGTTAGAAAAAACTACTATTAATAAGCATTACTTGTCAGCAAGTCTAAAGTGAAGATATTTCATTCACTGGATTTTAAACACAGACATCATGTATAGCAACTAACTTTGCTCAAAGATGAGTATTAGGAGGTTAAACATGCTACTTTCCTCCATAGATTTAAGTGTTCAGACATACTGTACATGGATATACCAGGTGTGGTCCACAATCACTGAATACTTATCGCTTCTCCGATATTTCACGACATCTGTCTATCATCGCATTGCATTTAAGTTATCTTCTTATACTTTGAAGATGCAATAGGTTTTAATGCGTTCTTATTTTCTACACAGTTGTAACGTGCAAAAAAATTGATTTTATAAGTCATATTGAAGCATATTCACTTTTTGAGCACTAAGGGTATAACTTTGACCCACTTCTCGTCTATTCCCTACAATCACATATCCAGTATTCAGTAATTGCAATAACTTGAAAAAAATACATTTAATTAGCTTCTTATTCTTTGAGTCTCTACTGTAAATCTAGTAGACTGAAATTATTACTAGCAGTCAATTCAAGGTCTTTCGGAAGATAAAGAAATGGAAACTGCAAAAGTCCAATCAGCCGGTAACCAATTCGATAACCTATACTAACAATTCTGTGGTTGTTTCAGTAGGAATTAGATACTACTTTCCAATTAGGTTGAGTGAATCGGTATCTTTTCTTAATTAACTTTATCATGTAAGTCTGAGTTATAAGTACAAATGACAATTATAAATTATATTACCTCTACGAATAGAAACGAACTCTTAACAATTAGTAAGGAAAGTAAGTGGAACTTAGTATGTTACCGTCAGACAGACAAACAAAATCAACTTAGAACTCGCACACAGACAAATCGATTAAAGTTGCCACACTTTATACTAGTATCCAAAGAACAAGTGTATAGAAAAAGAGTGATATCAAAGTAGGCAAAGTTGTATGAAAGAATAAACCATCTGAAGATAACGGTTAGTGCAAATATTCAAGCTTTAAAATATATCAAGGAGTAAATGCATCTGCACCATTGCGATCGATTTTCAGCCATGTTATCAAGAGCCCTTAACCACCACTGATTCTTTTCGTCTTTGGGAACCCAACCAGGCAGTCTACAAAGCCCCAAGAGACTTAGACAAACAGTTGCAGACTTTATGGAGTGGTGCTACGTATAGGTCTCGCTAACCTGAACCCTCTTCCGAACTGATTCAACTTCCGCTAGCATAGCACGTAGAAGTAGATGGTGGCTCGGCTTGAGAAATACATGTGCAAGCCATCTCAGTTGATTAACGTTCATAACCTTTGCAATCGGCATGTCTATCTTGTCTAGTGCTCTTAACCTAACCTTGACATTTCTCACATGGTGATTCCACCAAAAACCAGCAATGCCACGATGATATATACGATGGCAAAAACACTGTGATCCCTTCGTGTCCGCTACTTTTCACGGATATATGACAGCCATATAACATGAGACAACGAACTGCAGCACATTATACTTGTTCTGTGATAGATACTTGGATATCTCACCAGTTGGCTGAACGGGTGACGGTAGTTATCAAATGCCAAACGGGCTTTCTGTATCCGAGCTGGGATTTTGTCAGCAACCAGCCCGTTTGGGTTGATGCAGCTCCTCAAGTAAGTGAAGTGGTGGACACAGCAGCTTCACACCCCTAGCATTTAACTGTTAGTAGTTGAAGACAAGTCCTAGAGCACCATCATCTCAAATTTTACAGGTACTACGTCATAAGATTTATACACTGTTCAATGAATTTTAAATATTATTGACTAGTTGAACAAAATTAAATGTAACAATAATGTCTGAAATTCGAACAATGTCCATATAAAAACTGAAATCACAATAATTATGCTAGAGTTAGCTATACAGCACTGAATGAAGCATGACTGATAGTCAGGTCTCACTTTTTCTCCCGTCATCCGACACTCGTTTAGTTAAAATACGAAAAGCATGAGTTATCAAGAGAATATTGTGATGACACTATTAAAAAGGAATATTGAACATGGTATTACCGTTCATAAAAAGAAATGCCACTAAGAAACGTTTTGTTTAGACTTCCACTTAAAAAATGTGTACTTATGACCATAGTATTAAAAAGGATGGGATAACAATACAGGAATTCAATCAGTTACGATTCATACCTAAAAAGGTTTTAGGCCAATGAGAAGTGTAATCTGTGGTGCATTATTCAGAAATTGGCATTTATATAAGGTAAACTAACTAACCTTGTAACGACATGTCTTCAGTGGCAAATCTCTCATCAAATAGTACACTGTGAAAGAAAGTGTATACAACATCACTCTGAAATGAGAGTGAGAGAAGAAATACAAATCATTAGATATACTGTCTTGAAGGTAACAAACGTCTATAAAGTATTCTATAAGGTAAAAAGAAAGAGAATACACCGCACAGTTTTCCTATAGATAATGACAGTCATTAAACAGAATTGAGTCTCATCACTTACATATTAGAATTATATCTCACTAACCGCCAAATTTCAATAAAAGAGTCCATTGAAATTCATAACTTTTTTAATAAGTATATAGAAGGGTTATTTAAACAGTGAAATCTTTTATTCTCATGAGTTCATTTTTAAATTCTATCGAAAGTACATTTTATCTTTTCAAAAAGCAAAACATGAAAACAAAACAAGAAAAGCAACAAATAGATAAGCATTATTTGAGAAATGACTGTCAGGTGCTGTACCAACTGATCTGCAGGAGTAAATGACGAGCCAGATTCCAATTTCACTGAAATCACTAAGAATTTCACTTGATCATCGTAAGAATACCTAGTCAATTATTAATCCAATAAGTCCCATTGTGACATTTAGAATAATATATTCAAAGAAGAAACTCTTTTCAATAAATTCAATTCTTAGCTGTACGTTTATGATATTTCCAAAAAAATTCTATCCTATGAAGAAATTTAAAAAATGGATGACAATAATAATAATAAATTGGTGTCTCCATTTAAACTCGTCAGATAATGACAGATTTGCGAGGTCTTTTGCATGTTGACTACTGGGAAACATTTCATCATACCTATTTGGTTCCCCATGTCAGATAAGTGGCGAGCGATTGCATTATTGAATGGGGATGGACTTTTGAGACAAACTCTTTGGCATATGCTTTGCAATCCTGGTAGACAATCACCTATCTTTTTTCTACATTCTTGCTGTGGCATTTACATATGAATTGATAAATACGGTTGAAGTTAACATGAGTAGAAACAATGCTTAATTTGGATTGTGAATTTCAACATATTGCTTGGAATAGAGAGACAGGCATCGCAGTCAGAAGAACTTGGACAGTACACTTTAAATACCTCTTTTGGTTCTTACATCAGCATTTCCATAGAAACAAAAAGTTAACTACACTCATTTCTTTGCATCAGTAGTACATCTAACTCTTTGTACTCCTTGCTTTTTCAGTAACTCTGTATGAGCTTTATAGGATAACCAATGTTAAGTAGACATTATTCGGTTAGCTGAAATTCTTCTTGCACTTTCTCCTGGGAGCACAATCCCTCTGCCCACTGGTATGACATCTTCATTAAACCGCTCTAGAAACTGATTGAGCAGAAGTTGTTGAAGTTCAAGTACTGACCGTTTCACGCGGATTCTGCAGTAAATACCCATCTCTATTGTACCGCCTTTATAACGTTTCATACAGAGGTCAAGAAAATTCAGCTGCTACTTCCCTTCCAATTCCATAGTAAATTTAATACTATGGTGTGAGTCACTGAAACATTGAAGCAGCTTCCTTGCTTGTTGAACCTGTTCACAGATAATAAAGTTATCGTAAAAATATCTTAGGTAAAGCATAGTTTCATTGACTGCAGGTTTAAAGATGGTGTTTTTTAAGTGTGACATGATGTCGGTCGTTAGTGGTCCTTGTGGACTTCCAATAACTACAGCATCAATTTGCTAATATATGGTGCCGTTGAAATGGAACGAAAAATCCTTGGTGCCCAAAACTAGAAGATGCATCATTTCTGTTTTGGGGACGGAGGATGTTTTTTGTATTATCAGATATTGTCTACTGTGCTCATGATTATGATAAGAGTTCAAATAAGAACGATATTTCTCTTCGGCGTTACTTCATTGTTCATCGAAACTGTCTGTTATGTATATGACTATATTGATGAATGTAATTTAGACGGAGGACTGTCAACTAGCGATTTGGAAGAGCTTTTTTGGATGTATATATTCAATGTACAGTATGGTCTCAGTAATGAGATCTAATAACAAAAGGATAGAATTGTGATGCAGCCACCATTGAGACAATTGTTAGCAGATTCATGTTGAAATCAGAGTCAAACTACTAGATCATTTAACTTTTAAAAAGGATATACGAACGACGAATTTGTTAGGTGTGATAAAAATATTGATCTAGATGACATTTTCCTTTCATTCAGTATCTGTCATATAGCACTGAAGTTCACTTGAGAGAAGACATCACAGTTAACTATTTCTTTTGAAAAGGGTTATATCAGTCGTGTGATGGATAAAAATATGATATGAAGACATACAAAACCGATCACTTACTCGGCTTCAAAGAAAACTCTGTTCACGGGTGACTAAGCAGCAAACTTAATTAAGAGATGTCTATTTAGAACAATCATTAGGATCTTCGCATTTAAACTTCATTCAACTTTTACTGGATGTAGTATTTTCAATTAGTGTGAATGATAAGCTGTCCCATTTGACCACCTCTACATACATCTACCAGTTTTTTTCTGCTCTTCTGGATCAACGTACATTGGCCAGTTAGAGAATGCTTTCTGTACGCATACGAGAGCAGGTTCCAGGTTGGTTTTAGACAGGTGAAAGAAAAGCCATAACAAGTTATATTCTGGAAAATTTGAACAATTTCCACAACTCAAATAAGCCAAACAATGAATTTAAAACTGTGTATTGTATTCTCTTTAGTTCATAACATGTTCTTCATTTTCAGCTTTTTAAAACACTAGAGACCTTAGCTATTCGTGAAACAAAATCCTGATATTTGTGTGTACAGTGACTGTTTATAGTGTGGTCATAATATTTTTCAAACACTACCAGTTTCCTCCTTTTGTTAAATTCATCTTTGCATTCTTCATTTATTACTATTAAAGTTATTGTCAATACCTTCACTTGGAATAATTTCCAGCATTATATCGCTTAACCATCATATTTATAGAAAACATTATTTTCATTTTAACTAAGTTTTCGAATCTTACCACATAGTACTTCACTGACTTGTCACGTATATCAATTTCACATTTCTTTCTGAGTTATATACATTCTACAAACGTCTCTAGGTATTACATAAACCACTTTGGTGACATTCATATTTCAACTGTTATAATAATTATAAGATCTTTTGTCAATATTATTATTATTATTGTCTTCCATTGTTTAAATTTTCCCATGGGACATAATTATTCAAATATCACAGATATCCGAATGTAAAGCTTGGAAATAAAGTTGTTGAAAGGAGAAGCTTCTCTGAATATCTTGTTGGATTCATCATGACATTAAGTGGAAAGTGATCGGCTATTTGGTATCATAACTCGATCGTTCAAACTACAGGATGGTAATCAATAGGTCACTGACTGATATTTCACTGAAACCTAAGTTTTCATTCAAATTTACTTCTTCACCACGTAAACAAAGACCAATCAGCTATCAAGGTTAACTTTAGTAGTTTATTCAACAATTATTTAGAATAAATAAACACTGACTGTTGAAGAAATATACTACAAATCAAATTCTTACACAATGACCAATCAAAACTGTTGAACATTTTTTTCAGAATTATTCACATATCATGAAAATATATTTCTTTAGAGAGCAATTTTACAATTCATACACATGTCTTTTTGCAATAAGATCGACTATTCTGAAGTTGGTATTGATCATGGACTGACATCAGGTAGAGAAACATCCGAGAACTGAGAGCACTAGACACCTGTTTGGTCATAGTATGGGACTCTTCAGCAGAGCGCACTCATAACTCCATCGATGACTGATACCAGGACCTACAGGTTCTGTGGCTAAAACGTAGCCATTGAGCCACTGGGTTGGAATCCAGTGGTCTATATTTCCAGCTTCTATCAGTTCACGACGCAGCACGACCACAAACCCCCAAAATGAATTAAAATCAATTGTGTTGATAAAAAGAGTTACGTTCTTGATATTACATAAATAAAGAATTTCAGCCAGTACCCAGGGCTTAAAAAGCATAAGTAAATGCAACCAAATACTTGTAAAAAGACTTATTAGCACATAACCGTGGGTTTGTCTGACAACCAATAGGCAATTCAACAATCAAGGCATGGGTGACTAGATTCGTCTGAAACACTTTATTGTATACATGTAATCTCATAGATGACAAAACCTGGGCCAAGTGATACTGATACTGGTTTCTAAGAAATAAAGTACCAGCTACCTAAATTAATGAAACTTTATTTATCATAGCTTATTCGTCTAAAAACAAATATAATGGTTAGTTGTCAGTGTGTCTGATTGAAGGTGAGATGAAAATCTGGACCACGGCTCCAAACAAACGTAGGAGCCTTCCGGTAACTAGATCACTCTGATCTAGGCAAAATCTACACGTCAGTCTGAGTGGTTTTTAACTGCTAAAGTTGTTAAGTAGTGGTATCTTTTGCTAATAACAGACCAACTCGATGATACTGTTTAGTTTGTTTAGCAGAAGCAAGTTTTTAAACGATAATATAATATAGTTTGCCCTGTAATACTTCTCGTGCGTTCACAGTGACTGGTATTTTTAAGAAAATACTGTTATACCTTCGGTAACAATGATTTAGATAATTCTGATGATAATGTAGAGAATTTTATTACAATTAGTCGACTAAATACTTAACCTTAGGGTAAATAACATGATAGAACATAATCATATTTCACTGTTGGAGTATGAGAACAACGGTAGTACTGAATACAAACACTGACCAGATAAATTATCAACTAATATTACTCACAATTGAGCGTTTAACTCACAAATTTCAAAACCTGACTCTGATCAAAAAAGTATGCACAGAATCATCAAGAATTACCTAGAGTTTAAAACTAGTCGATTCAATCATCTCAAAGACTTTAACCCAGTCAACCAGGAAAGATTTAAATATTGTAAGTTATCTGATAATAAATATTATATATGTCTATGACAATGAACTTGAACGCCTTCGTGAATAATGTCTACTAATCGGCAAGGAATACGGTCTGGATTTTTAAATCTCCATCTTCCTGGGTAATTCCAAGAAACCAGGAGTAAAATAATGATATATAGATTTATGATCGGCAACCACTATCCAATCCACAAAATTATTGACTACATCAACTTATTTAGATATTTATATACTCAAGTCATCAAATGAGCATACTTTATTTGAGGAAGACTGAGAAATTCATATAACTGAATAACATCACTTTAAATACCTTACAAGAAATAACTTAAACCTTAAACATCCATTCATAAAACTATTTTCATAGTTTTTGTAGGCCTGGCTAGTTGATTGGCCGCTATCTGAAAGAAAGTCAGTGTCACTGTATGAATATCATCTGATGAGAATCAGCTAGTGTTCAGCATAATGTCTGTTATAAAAGTTGACCTAATAATCAGAATTTGCATCAGTACACGAAGACCAACTAAATGTCAGATATAAATAATCAAATATCTTACTTTGCACACGATTTCATCGTCCGAAAGTAGACTATCCACCAAAGATTGGACATGATCTTGGGATCGACTTGAACTGACATTTATTGAATTCAACGCATTCATTATATGAGAAACTGTTTTTGTAGCAATTGAGTTAGGAAAACAATCTTGTAACCGAGTTTCTAATTCTTCCAAGTCAGAAAGACGTCGATATATTCTTGTTGGGACACGACAATTTTCACGCCAAATATTCATTGGAAAATAATAATCCTATGGAACAGAAAGTGGGTTGTAAACACAACTGATAATCCTTAAGAAAGTGAGTTTACATTGCTGTGTGACGATTCATTTTCGTAAATAAATAGACTATGTAAAATTGACAGTGGGTGATGATTGAAGGTGAAATGAAAATTTGGACAGCGGCTGGATTCGAACCCAGTGGTCGTTGGTTCGAGACCCGCAAGTCTGTAAATGGTAAAATTGACACCATAATCAAGTTAGCCTTCAGATTACTTCATTTAATGGTGTTATAATCCTGTTTCGTTTTCAATCAATTTTATTTGTAAAAATTACTCTCGATTATTTAGATGCTTTGAATTGCTGAAAAATGGAATACATTACTGTTTCCGTCATGAATCATTAAAATTTCATGCTATACCCATATTCTTTTGATTTTCAAACAACAGTAACGGTCTGAAGATGACGAAATGGACAAAATTATTTAATTATGACGATTTCCAGTCAAGAATTGTGTCCCTGCATCCATCTAAGACTTCCTGTCCTGATATACATTTCGCTGCTTAATAAAGATTGAATTATTAAAGAAGCAAGCTCAGAGATGCAACCAAAGAAGCATTCACTCCTTTCGCTTTAATTTTCAGTAAAGGTAGAAACTAAGGCAATCATAAGTAATCAAACAATTAGGTGAGCAACACATAACCATTACATCCAATCCTGGGTATTTCCAGTTCACCCTATTATACTTGAAATTTAAAACAAACTGTAGCATGGACTGCTGCCTGTTTTGATTAAGAGCCATCTCTGTTATCCTATCCATCCAGGTTGCATGATCTCTCAGACCTCATTCAAGGAGTCATGAAGCACTTTCTGATACTGACCAGAAAGGAATGCTCTTTATCCCACGGCGCCACGTCACACACCAGCTACCTTTCAACTAGTCCAAAGGCAAACGAACAATAGGCGGTACGGTAGCTGCTCGGAGAATATCAGCAACACATGCCCCAGCTATTAAAATTGGTGTTTCAAGATAACAACACTACATGAACGACTACTTCCACCAAGTTCACGCACACATCATCCCTCTTCAGCATTACCTCTGTGGTGTTTCCACACAAAGCTGGCAATCCCATTTGGAGTAGTCAGAAATCTTCAGCCCAGTGAAGCTACATTTCACAAGCGTAAAGCAGAACTACCTGCACCAACTTCTTCGTTACTCGACCTTTTAAAGCAAGGTTGACGTCACAATGGTACTAAAGGATATTCAAATTGACCTACGCTGCTCTGGCTCTCAACATGAAGTTTGAAATCCCATTGGTCACACCTCAGTCAGCATTCATACAACTACCAAAGAACAGAAACTTTTCAAAAACTACTAGCGACTTACTACCGAGGGCGACTAAAAGGATAGACTCCTGGAAATCTTACAGAAAGACTATACACTCCAATAGTGCAAAGCACATACTGATGGCCAACTGGCTGAGGGTTGTTTGAATAGACTGTATATTGTCTGTACACTCGCGATCAAAACGTCTTTCACTTTATAATGGATCTACACTACCAAAAGACTCTTCTAAAGTTGTATTCAATGGAACTATTTTTATACATAATGTAACGTCAAAATCAGATTTCCAACAAAAGTCAATATTACTCACCACTAAAATCTTAGGATTACTAAAAGATTATTGCCCCTTAAATCCAATAACCTGAAACTACTTAAACATGTAACTAAAGGACTTATGGATGAAGGCATTTTATAAAGGATACAAGTGGGAGCAAACATTCCAAAAGGGTGGTAGCATCGTGAACAGTAAAGTCTTTTTTTATAAAATAAGACTGTTCTCATGTATATCACAGAGTGGATAAAGAGAAATAATGGAAACTAACTAAAGTGATCAAAGCAAAATCAACGTACAGAATGTTTATCATCAGTTTTCTTTTTCACTGCTATTTCAACCACAATCGCATCCATATTTCCATCTGAAATATTTCTGTAATAAAATAGTGAATTGAAAATTTAGGTATGACAAGAAAAAGAAAATATTACTGAAATTAAAACCACACGGAGGACTTAGGAATCAAGACTTGTCTAATGGAGCCAAATAAATTCACGTTTTGTATATAATGTAGGCAGCCTTATCTAAAGGATCCTGTAATCGATTCAAATCTATTCTATCTGCTCCAGAGTGCATGGCCTTCAGACCACAGAGAAGGCGCGCGAAGAGATTACACATGCAGTGGTTTATTAATAAAGTAGTTCTATTTATAACAAACATTATCAGTTTGAAATGTACATCGGAAATTTTAAAGGTGGATTCAAGAGGATCTGTAGATTTACCCATTGATCTATTATATTTCGTACTTAAAATGTCTACTCTAAAAGGCTAAGTCAGACGAGTGAAAAATTGTCATTCGATTTAGAGTTTAACTGATTAAACAAGACGTTCAATCCCGAAATAAGCTTGAAAATATCTGTCTTTAGGTCTAAAGTTCACAAGTTAAACACCATTCAACTAAATAGTATAATGCTGAATTATAAGAGTTTGTGTTATAGAAATTTCGTCAGTACATGCCAAGACGAAAGTCGAAAATCTGCCTTGTTGCTTTTTTCACCTTGAATAAAAAGAGATTTGAAAATCCTGAGTAAATCTCACTACAAAAGAATTGGAGTTGTAAACGACCGTTCATAGAAAATGTCACTGAGTGTTTTTCCTATGTAAGACCTTCACAAACATTTTTGGACTGCCAGAAGCCTAACTATTAACAAAATTATCTCATTTTGTCTCTATAAAAATCATATTTGGCTATGAAGGTAGCATTCTTTACTTAATAGCATCTCTAATGTCTAGACTAAGTTGGATGATTAATTTGAAGTTAGCCACTTAGGATTAATAACAGGCATCTTCAAACTTATTAAAATTATTCATTCCTTTGAGATTAAAACACATACCAACCAAAACCTCAATCAAATGTTCAAAACTATTTTGCTTTTCGGTATTATCATCGCTTTTCAAACGTTCTCAACATCATTTATATCATCGTAAAATTTATAGAATAGAGATACAGAAATACTTGTTGGATATGTGTGCATTGAATGGTGTTACTTATATTATCCCGTTGTTCAGTGGACCAAAATGATCGGTCTCTATTACCACAAGGGCTCTTACGCGAAAGCCTCGATATTTCCTGTGTTTATATTATATGCTAATGATGGATATTGGCTAACAGTGGAATCATGGAGGCGTGTTTCGTTCTATTTAGTACACATCAGCTCTCTACATATCTATATATGCACAGGAATCGATTCGAAAGAACTGTTGAATAAAGAACCAATAATAAGAAACATATCATATTAAGAACAAATTGTCATGTATACTTTACTATCATGCGAAACCATTTCAGTGAGTTTTATTTGTTGGCGAATTTTTAGCATTAGAGAGAGATAAATCAAAGCGGAACCTGGTACAGAACTGCATCATTTCAAGATGTTCATCTTTTCTTAAACTAAGCATAGTTGACATTAAATGATGAGATAAAATAGGTAGATAAAAATATTCAAGATTTTACAATGACCAATGAATGCGTAAATCTGAGCCATCGAGACTGATCTTCAAACATATCACCAAGATTAGACAACTACTGGTTCTTATTATCTTGAAGACCTTAACCAGGTAGACTACATCTCTTCATACGGCCCAGACTAATCAAAGACTTCACTGGTATCTGTTAGTCTCCTTCCAACCCAATCCAGCTTTCCTTAGCATCGCTTACCAAGGTAGGTAGTGTCTCAGTATGCACAATACATATCTGGGGCACGTCAGTCGGTGAAGGTTCACAACGTCATCGAACTACTTATGTTCTTTATTGGGTGCTTTCGGCTCAACTAAAAGATTTCTCACATGGTGATGTAGATGCACATAAGCATTTCTACAATGAGACCTATGATCAAAACCTGTCGCCTCTTCAGGCTTTTGAGTTTAAATAGCAATGCCTCATAGTCTCTCAATAAAATGCAGTGGACTTTGGCGCAATAAAGCGGTCCGTGGCATGTAGATGGATATCTTACTGATGCTAAAAGTCGAGTAAGTTGACCAATGCTAAACAGGTTTTTCATACCCGAGTCGAGATTTTGCCAACAAATAACCCATTTGGTTAGATGGTACTCTCCAAGTTAGTGAAGTGTTCAGTGCATTCAACCCTTGGGCTTCATATTTCTATAACATAAGTTAGTGCAGATCAGTCCAAAAGCATTACATTACATTGACAGATAAGGGATGCATTCCACAAGCACTCAGATTATCCTAGTGGTTGAACAAGGGTATTTGTCAATCGTTTGTAATATCAGGCGTTTTAAAACTTCTACACATGGACTAACTTTCCAGTGGAAGTTGTGGTCAGAAAACAATACAGAAAAGCATTTGAAAACAACTTGAAGTTCATCACATTCAATTATAAGTAATATAGTGTAATGTAGTATGATTCAATTTAGCTTCCACTTGGATAATAATCAAGAAGTGTATAGATCACACCTGTGGTTAATAATATTAATAATCCATCCATATCTTGATTAAAATTCGGTTGCTTTAGTAGGTGATCCGTAACGCTAATAATTAATTGTTACTCAGAATTAATAAATTTAACATAGAGTTTTCAGTTCCATAGACGACTACGTTTACTAACGCTAGAGAGTCTAATCTTACACTACACTCTCCCATGGACAATAATTTCTAAATGAGACAGGGTGAAGAGTGGATCTGGTTTGTTAACGTAAGGAAGGATCTCCAAGTCTTAGAAATTATTTCATAAAGGATATATTCAATTGACAGATATGCAATAGATAACTTGAGTGCTTTAGTAATACGTAATTCACTTTCAGTCTTAAATTCCTTATTATCGAAATAGATTTAAGCAGAAAAACAACTTTGCAATCCTTGTAGATAGTTGTACTGTAGTAATCAATTATTCATAAGATGCTTTCTATTTTATTGAAGATAGACAAAATGAAGTTATGAAGTTCAAGTTATTGAATAATTTACTTTCTCTTCATAAAAAAAGATTTCAAGAGATATGCAATGCATAAGTAATAACACAAAAGACACTCTGGAAAAACAACTTAATTTTCCTTTGATAACTGTTTACGTAAGATAATGTCTATGATGCTACTACTTACTATAAGTAGATCATGGAATGAGTAAAGACAAGGTCCAATACTTTCCAAAGTAGTTAGCATTTTTGGCATCATTTCAGATACTGTCCACATAAATACGGCATACGAAAGTGTAATTATCGAAATGAAGTCTTGGTAATACGTTCAAACTTGCTTACTTACTAACGGATATAAAATAGGCACATTAAGTAGTTATTTCAACGAATACTGTTTCTCTAGTGAAACGTATTCTCTTGATAGCGACAATCTCTTCAATTTCTTCACACTATTATAACTTCATGATACTTGGAAATCTCCGTTCCTATACTGGATCGAATTGATCAACCTCTGTTGGCAGATAGAATCCTATGCGGATGCCTAGAATTTGCCTGAATATGTATAGTCATAACTGAGTTAGTTGTGGGTTTCATCTTATTTGGGACTTGTCAGCTGCATGTTCTTGGACCTCAGTGAGTGATGTTGTCTCTGCAAAGACTAAAACTTCGTACCCGCCGCCTCAAATGCTGGCTACTGAGGCATGGTAACTATTAGTTATTATTATTTCTTGGTACTCGTAACTCTCCACTGATCAACCTCTGCTAGTATATGGGCTCCTATGCGAATGTCTCGATTTCTTCATATAATTTAGTTAGTGTTTTACCCGGAAGAGCTTTCATAGACATGATAATAAAAAGTAAATCATTTCTTCTGCAACTAGCTGTTTTATGGTGAGTCTATAAAACATACACTGAATTAAGACTTTAGATTTTAGAAAAACCAACAATGACCATTCTATTCAAATATCCATTCGCATAAGGACTATCTGCAAATGAGGAAGACAATAAAGTACTGCCTACACATTTAAATCAAATACCACAGAAGAAATGCACAAGAATCAGAATCGATCAAAAACTAAGTTTCTCCTAAAATTCTAAATTAGAAATATATGCGATCTAAACCTATCAGTCAATAAAACATAGGAACAATAACATTGTAGAATCCCTTCTTCTAACTCTAGTGAGACTTTTAAGAATCAGCTTTATTACCATATTACAGGTAAAAGTTTAGGGAAACCTTTGTAAATAACTACTTTACACGAATACATCACTAATCAGTTTAGTGGGAAAAAAGGTAAACACAACAGTCATATTGTAGACCTATTCGTTTAAATCACCACTTAGAGTATTTTTCAATGTTGTTTGAGGGAAAAAAAATGTGCTCAGATAGCATTCAAACTAAGATTTTTATTGACATTGTGTTCACATTTCTATAAATTCCTATTGAAAATTTTGTGAGAATAAAATGTCAGTGAACCACTGAAATCATGTAAATTTACTATTTCAAATTTACATTCTGTGTTCTGATCACATTTGTAGTCGCTTCCCTGTTGATGATTTCTGCTAGAAATGTGGAACTTATCTTCCAAATAAAATCTATTTCTTCTCCTATACTAGACTACTTTTATTTGTATTAAGTGGTTTGTTCAATTTTCTGTCTACTTATTTTTCAGTAACTCTGCTGATCAATGAACAGAAATTCTTTTGAAATATTCCTAATACTTTATGATTACAAATGTACAGATTAGAGAAGGAGCTCGTTGTGACAATCTCCTTTCGTTTCTGACTACAGGAGAATATTTCATTGCGAACAAGGAACTTTGATAACCATAGTAACATGAATTATCATCAGTTATTAGGCGACAGAATCCATTTCGACATAATTTGTTGAAATAAATCAAGGATGAATTCTTAGTTATTAACATCAATAATACAAATAACTTTTTTTATGTTAGGATTAGTAGAACGAAATTTATAACCAAAATGAAAATATGACTACGGCGCCTGAAGAGACATATTTTTCTAATGAAGTTATACTGGGCATTGAACCATACAGTAAGTAACTTTTCTAATTTGGTTAAGACACTGGAATGTCAAAAGATAACAACCTTCCCTCACAATCTTAACATTTTAAGTGCAGCATATACTTTCATATGAAAGAAAAAAGGCTGTGATTCATTATAAATTCAGAGTTGTAACTTTATTACCTCACGATTTTGTAATTCGCCGATAAAGTCAACCACGTGCATGATTAGTTACACACATGATTGTAACGTCTCGTGAACATAATTCACCATGCATTGGTCACTTGATTGGTCACTCTGATACCGCATCAATTCTGGGTTGGAGGTTTATAGGGAACTACATCCCTCACTCAGAGGCGGGTATATACAACTGAAGAGTCCCAAACAAGATGAAGAGTGCGGGCTGGATTCTATCGTTAGGCAATATCTATCAATTATTTAGAAAGTAAAAATACAGGCAATATCGACGTATCTGTTCAGGAGCTTATTTGCTAATACAGACCAACCGATTCGGCCCGATCAACAACGGGATAGTGCAAGGAATATCATTTGAATTGTGCAATACATGAACATAATACAAAGTAAATGAAGAGGAATTTCATGAAGACGTTTTGTCTTATAGGGATAGTTTCGACGTTTTCCAAGTTGAACGGTTGCTTCTAGAAGTAACTTACTCCAAGTATGCATGCAGGCCTGCAATCCAATAGTCAGAAGTGTGAAGTTAGTCATAGAGATACTATTCATCTACTTAGTTATCAGTTAAAACGAATGTGGTTAGACCTAACAAGGAATGACGTGAAAAGTATTTGTGGTAATAGGATTGGGAAAAAGATCGTTTAATATATGAAAGCTTCAGGCCGTTAGTTAACCAGGATCACTTTAAAGCACTTTCAACATTAGATTATACTTACGTGAAACGCTTTGGATTAAAACTGAATATTTGTCCAGTTCCAGGACAATTTAATAGGGAATTGTTTGTAGGTGGGGTTGATCTCAACTTTGAATCATTTACAAATCTCCCAGTAATGCTGGAATTACTGTGATTATTAGTAGTATTAATCAATGCGGAATGATCACTAATCATATTATTCATTCTAGAAGGAGAACCTCTATCAGATAAGTTGGAAATATTAGTATTTGTACCAGAAACGCCTCCACCACCTAAGGTAGCTTGTTTAACCTGGGCTAATCCATGTACAAAGAAATTGAAACTAGAAGACTTCGAGTGTAGAGTTTTACGAACAAGTCTATGAAAAAAGAAGAAAATTTGATTTAAAAACAATTTGATACAATGGTGGAACAATAAAAAGCTCTGAAGATAAACACTTTCAGTTACATCAGTTGAAACATGATACCAAGCTATTATTTGGATAGATTTACTTCCCTTTTTATCAGTTATTGTGTTTGTATATCTATTAGCAAACCTACTTCATAGTTCATGCATCATTTTTTGTTCCAACATGTGTTTTTCAGTCACATGGTACTTTCAAATGAGCTTTCCAAGAAAATGACACCAACCCCTTATGTAATTTTTTTATGGGTTAAATCTTGTTTGTTTGTTTGTTCCATATAATATGAACTACGAGGTGGAATCATGTATATAATAAAGAATTTATTTATGTGCGAAACAGACTTATCGCTATCTCCAGCAGATGTAAGAACGGAGGCATATCCTAACTCTTGCTGATACAGGTAGTTACAGAAAAATGTAGAATCGTAAACTTATTTGATACACGCTAATTCAATGTGACCAGTAAATGCAAACGGTTTAACAAAATTAAACTTCTCTAAATACCACCGTCTATACAGCACTGCCTAAGTATAATCAAAAGGTTGCGGATTTATATTTTTTGGAATGGATTCATATATGAACATCATCTAGTTTGATGTATGATTACAGCTGAAGCAAATTAGGCATAATCCGACGTTGTTTTCACACCAAGTTGATTCAGTAGCCTCAAAATACCGATCGCTAGACTGAATCCAGTAGTCGTCCTGAAAATCTCCAAAGCTATCAGTAGTCAACACTTGGAGGCCTCAATAATACAGCTGAAGATTTCTTAAAACGGAATAACTGTATTCATTCCATATAGTTAAATGAATCTTGAGCACAGCATGTATATTTTCTCTTTATCGTTTCATTTTGGTACCTTCTTTCTTCATGTATCGGTTATGAAGTGTGACAACTTATAGCGCTACACAGTAATGTCAGACAACTTTAATTGTCTATCTGTATGTTGCCGATCCAAACCTATTCTATTTCCGGCTTAATTTAAATATTTTTCGTTTTCTCAAATTTCCTTCTTCTATTCCTCTTGTTAATGATGATATCCGGATTCAAAATTAGAAAAGGTTAAGTGTTATTCAGTCAGTTTGTTCTGCGAAAAGTTGTATAAATTCACCAGACGTTTTGAATAGTCGCTTCTAAATAATAAATGAAGTACCTTTCCATCGAACGAACCATACTTCAGACCGACAGCAATAAAATAAAATCATTTATGGAAATATTATTCGTTTTTAACGGAGTTTGTCGAGCAATAACTTAAAACATTCAAGAAAACACTGGTAACATGCTATTTCGATGTGTATATTACCATTCACATTCATTCACCTTATAAAATAAAAATGGTATCAACATTTTTTATTAAACAAGCATAATAGATGAAGGGAAAATTGACCTAAATATCACTTGAAAGCTTACTCAGTGAAGTACTGACTTGCTTCTCGATCATTCAGTTCTGGTCTCAGTGCTCTCAGCACAAATCGAACACAATCACGGTTCAATCCTGGAATGTTCATCGATAAGCTCTGTGTGATTGAAACAAAATGAAATTATAAAAACTTCATGGTAAGCAATTGGTTAGTGTGTAGAAACAAATGATAAAGATCACTTGGAATAAATTAACAGTAGCAACAGATGAGCAAGTACATAAGGTAATCGAGGATGGTGGTCATGAAATACCGGTAAGATTAACTGAAGGGTTAGCTAGTGTTTGGGAAAAAGGTATGAACCCTCTAACTAGTCCCATACACTAATTGCCCCAGTCTTCAAGAAAGGTCAGAAATCCTGCTGCGATAATCAAGCGCGAATCAGTCTGATGAACATGGTATCTAAAATTCTAGGTTCTGTGGTCATTATACATAGAAGCCGAGAAAATCAGGTAGGTTTCACACCTGATTGTGAGTTAATCAACCAGAAATTCACACTCTACCAGGTTGAAGAACATAGGTAAATTCACCGTCGCATAACACTAACAGCGTTTTTTGACCTAAAGGCGTCTTTTGACTTATTTGGTCGAGAAGTCTTATGATATTGTCTCTCACTAAAAGGAATGCTAAGTGCATTACTCTGTCGAAGAATTTTTACTCGAACACTCGTGAGGATGTTAAATTTTGTGGTACGTTATCAGGTCACTCGTATGCGTCGACTGGCATCGGTCAATGAAGTACGATCTCTCCATTATTATTTTAATTTGTTATAGACGTGCATATAGAGTTATCCATCTCGTCATCATACTAAACAAACGTTTTTGGCCACAGTTGACTCAGAGAACGCAGATGATACAGTGCTGTAAGTTAACAAAGTGGATAAGATGCAGAGTCTGCTGGACGCCTTTAGTGGCAATTTTGGAATATTTGGGATGCGCTTCTCACCACTTGAATGCTAAATTTGCTACAGAATTGATTTTCCATCTATGAATGCTCAGTGTGATGACTGAGCACGCCGACCACTTCACTTCACTGGGAAGATGAATCCGTCATCATGGGTACAAGACTAGCGAAAAACACATGGATGGATATGAAAGGTTCGCCCGGCCTTTGCCAGCTTACGCCATTTATTTCACCGCCGTGACATCCGATACCCTATCAGAGCGAAATATTCCGCAAAGTAGTTCATTTTGTTGTGCTATACGACTGTGAAACACGGTCATTAAAGATGGGGGATATCGGAATCACTACCAACATAGCAAATATTGTGTGTCATGGCATCACACATCAATGACGAAGAAGTTAGGTGAAGAAAACTTGCGAGACGAGGAAAGTCAGTCGATGACCCAGATGTCTGGGACACGCGTTACGCATGCTTAGATACAGAGTGTCTTGTTGTACATTATCGGCTGAAGTAGATAAAGGCTGGAAAAATATGATAGGTAACCAACTAAAAACACAGCACTAGTCCCTTAAGTCTTTGACTGTTGGCCCGGTTGGGGTCCAGGTGAAAACAGATATGGACGTTGGGAAACTCTAGGCAACATGGCTCAGAATCGATCGTAATGGTGCATATCATCATATCGAATTTCATTATTTCATTCCATTTCTTTCCACGATGATTACTTTCTTTTTCATTTCTTGAGTGGCTTCTCGCTTGATATGTTTATACGAAGTGTGTCAAGTTGGACTGTTATGAAGCAATGCCATATCCTATGCCGAAAGTCTAATCAACAGATATTTTTCAAGCAAATAAACCCAATTATCTGGCGACCGAAATTTCTGTCGATGGCACAATTGTCTACTCATTATAATTGAATATATCCTTAGGTTAATGATTCATAGGCTTCATCATGGTATACTTAGTGGGTAAACGGAGAGCTGATGAAGAATGTGTTGGCATATCCACACAGGGTGAAGATGTATCTTGCATCACACTTTTTAATCTTTACATTCTCAAATATTCCTTGGAGCTTCTGAATTTCACCACCTTGACTTAGTAGGCTTAACTTATGCTGAACTACATAAAAAGACTTTGATACCCTATAACAACACCTACATAGTGTTTTGAAGAAGAATCCAGTTTATGGAGCAGTAGAATGAAAATGACCTCGAAGTGCTCTGAGCAACCTTGTGCACATGCGTACAGTGGGCAATGAGTCGTACCTATCATAGGAGAGTCAATGATAGTACCTGATCACTGAAGCCTGGGTAGATGGGCAGTGCTCCAACTTGTGACCACTGCTTTAAAGTCAACTGTTTAAACCGATTGGACACAGGTCCACTCAGTCAGCTATAAATCACCAATCATTGTTATCAAATTATCAATTGGTTCATATATAATGGGCAAACTTAGTTACCATCTGAGATAGCCGTGGTTAGACAGACTGATGTTGATACTGGGTGATGATTTAAGGTGAGATGAAAAACTTAGTTACATCAAATGGGTTAGTTAGTTGACGTTTTGAAAACATATATTTGTTCATTGTTGACTGCTTACAGTAAGATATACCATATTCTCACATCTTTTCGATGAACATTCCACTGTCAAACTAGATGTTATTGTCAATGCCATGCGTGTTAGTGATTAAAGCAAACAAAAAGTGAGAAACATTAAGCTTATTCAGCACTTACCAATTCCAGCAATGAAATAAGCTGATATGAACGATGTCTCAGCAAATTATATGCTTCACAACATTTTTCTATGAATAATTGTATACCTTGTTGTGGATGAGTAGAGCTTTGACCAGGAGTGTAACCGAATCCCGAAGAATTACTTAAACCATGCAGCGAATCCGTCATATCCTTAGAATATGTATTCAGCACATGTAACATATCCTGTGTTAACACAAATGGTACACGATCCCTGCAGAATTCAACAAAAATATAGGCAAAGGCAATAGGCGGTATGCGGCAAATATGAAGTAAATACAAAATTAAACAGCATAGAAAAGACAGCAGGACATCTGAAATATCTATTCTCTCTGAAAACAATTTATTATTTCTTTTTCCTATTCGATTCATCATATAAATCACGTATTTTGAGACAACGATGAGGAATAAAAGTCGTGCGAGAATGCAATTTGAAAGAATAAATATTTGTGGTGAGAGGAACTTCGTCATTAATGCCATCGGTTAGACAACTGACAAAACAGGAAACAACTACATTTATAGTTGAGTGACACTAAAAACGGGAAGGACTTCATAATATAAAAATCTATGGCTAAGCTGAACGCTAATAATTCTGGGTATGTGAATTTGATCCCCGATTACATGAATAATGTATTTAGGTTGGTCAACATAAGGATGCTTTTCAGATGCATTAGGATTGATAGGAAGCACTCTAAATGGAAAATATTTTAAGCCATTGGCCACTAAGATAAAAATTTTGTGGTTACGAAAAACCTGATTCGACAAATTTTTCTAACAGCTATCCAATCAAAATAGACATCAAACTTTGGACCTAGTTATTTTATACATTCATGAAAACTGTATATAAATGATGGATTTTTGTCGAATAAAGTATTTTCCATAAAGCCACAGACCGTTCTTCGATTTCTGATTTTCACAGCTCAGCAAAGTATAAGGTTCTGGGAGAGAACAATTACGATTCGTATCCAGTCCAAGTGTCTCATCGCGTTACTACCTTTCGCGTACTTATTATGTTCAAGAGTTAACAAAACCATCACTAGTAGTCATGACAGCCACACTATTTATACCGTTCAAAATTGTTCCGTGCCTAAACTTGTTTCTAGATAATGTCACTCCAGCTGAAGCAAACTACCAATGAATATCTGAAAATATCCCTCATACTTAGAGTCATATTTGTTTTCCAAGTTTAAATTATCTAGCACATAAATATTGAAATCAGTTTAACAACAATAATATTCACTTATTCCAGTTAACATTTATCAGGTAGTTCAGAATTCTCAGTGTTTGACATTACAGACAGAATTAACTCCTTTATGTTATTTTCAGTGGTATTAACTACGCCAACTAAATTATGCCTACTGGATGATGATTGAAGGTGAAATGTAAATTTGAACCATAGCAGGATTTAAACCAGAGACTACTGGGTTTCTGGCCTGACGCTCTACCAATATGTCAATAACATTAGCAAAAAAGACATTAGTATACGAATCATTACACGATAGAAATGGCCTATAATCTCCTGTTACAAATTTTAAATTCAAGCTCTGATGCAACAATTCTTTTTTCACATAAGATACGTGCCAGGTAAGACACTGCTTCATTCGCGTAATTAGCCCCCGGTTAACATAATTTGAATAAAAGCACTTATTCTGTTTAAAATGCCATCACTAAGTAGTTTTGTATATGAAGATAAAGTTTACTGTAATGGTTTCTTGTTGTTCCAGAGAAGATGTAAGAAAAGATCTATGAATGAAAAGGTTGTTCAGTGTCCAATACAGTGATTTACCCAGTTTTCTGCATGAATTCATATGCCTTCTGAAAAAGGTAACAACCAGTTACGTACACCATTATATCTACTGACATTTCAGTTCCCTAAGCAATATTAAGAATTTGCATTTAAAAGAGGAGACATTAACGAGGGACAGGTAAAATACAAGAATTAAAAAATCGTGAAAGTAGAGGTTGAGTTGTGTCACACAATCTCAGCTTCCCTACGTAATACGCTATACGAAACGTTTTCTTGAAAGTTAACAAGATATGAGATGAACAACAAAGATCAGCACGTAAACCCTGGATTTGCTATCTGCAGTAGTGAAGATAAGTCCAGTAATCATTTAAATCATTGATTGAGAAAATACAGTTTATAATGATTAATTTACTATATCTAATAAAAAATTTGTCGATTTGAAAGTAATCTCTTGTAAAGCACAGTGCTTCCACTTCACATTTTCATCCAGCACTGTGTGCTCTTCTGGTCTGATTTCTTACCAATCAATTGTTATTACTCTCGACGTTGCTTAACATACCACTTATACGTATTTTATAGGTACTTCTTACTACAGTAGCACCATCAATAATACACGAGTCATGGAACCAAAACAGCTGAAACAAATTATTTTTACGCTCGGAACTAAAACTAAACATTTTAGATTTAGAAAGGTCTACCACTAGACCATTTGAGGAAGGCCAATGATTAATTTCAGACAGGAAACCATTCATTTGAGAACGATCTGAATAAGGGATAACTGGCACAGGAACTGCCGAGTCACCAGTATATCTAATGAAATTCGTTTCGACAGAAGAATGTAGATCATGCAAGGTGCTTTCCATTGTACATCCCGTTTTGCTTATGGAAAATGAGAATCGAATCATTTTGTGACTCACAGCTTAGTATATGTGATTCCAAGCTTACTTAACAAAAGTGACTTATGGAGAGAGTAAAAGGTAGGATCATAACTACTAAAATACCTATCATATTAAGCTCTAGTTACTTGGGAAACTGTTACTGAAGATGAGAGAGTTAGAAAAAACTCCACTTAGTTAAGTTCTGATATTCTGCGCATATTTTCTCAAAATCTAAATGACCTCGGTCAATCTCTAAAAGTAAACATAATCGTCTGCTAAGTTGACGTATTTGACTGTACTGTCTAAAATTTCCGAAAGCTTTAAAATATATTCAACAACGAACAGATTTTAAGATAAAGCTGAAATGGCTTTCAACTTGTTTGGACTACCTGTTCAATGAAAACCTCTGACACACCCTAATGAAAGGTCCCAGTAATTGCCATTCATTGTACCTCAATGATTACAACAAACATATTATTCAAGTAAATGTCATCTTACAACACAATTTAAGCGGGGTAATTTAATCGAACCATTGTAGTTAGTTACAGCAGTTTAAAAAAAGTGAGACAGTAGAGAAGATTTCTAGCTCAGGATGCATATGATAACTGTTTGGTGTTTTCTTAGCATTTCATCACCAGGCTATGCGATTCATTAGTTTTTGCTTCAGATATATGACTTGAGTGTTATACAATGTAAACTACCAGGGTCGTATTTGACTGAAACTAAGAGTGTGCGTCATCACATAGACGACCCACAGAAAAAACAGTATTTCGATAGCCTTCAGCGTTAACTTGTTGTTCGATTATTATCAATTTTTAATGAGAATTACTTACGGATTACTAGTGTCGAGGCATCTGCGTAGGAGCTTATATGCAAATAGAGATCGATCAATTCGGTTCACTCAACAATGGGATAATACAGACAAAAACACTAAAAATATGCCCACCGTACAAGAAGTGGCTATCGTGGCACAGTGATCTAGTGGATAACTCTTTGGTGTTTGAAGCGGTTGGTCCCGAGTTCGAGTCCCAGTGCAAGCAACATCACTCGTTGGGAGGCAGATACATCTAGATGACGAGTCCTAAACGGGACGAAACGCACGTCCTGGATTCTACTGCTAGCCACTATCTATCATAGATTGAAGCAATGACCATAATAATTCAAACCACTTGTGAAATGAAAAGAAACGTATTCAAGTTTTCAGATATTAGAAGCATAAACGTATTCACTAACCTTTTAATACCTACAAATGTTTGACTATTTCCAAATACTTTGGAGAAGTCAACATGGAATACATGACCAGAATAACGTATCATAATGTTATCATTGTGTCGATCACCCACACCAAGTATATACGTCGCTACACAACATCCAGCTAATGAACGAAGAAAGTTATCCAAAGCCTTCCATGCGAATGAAGAAAATGCACAGAGGGAGAGAGAAAAGACAAAGGTTAAAGAATAAATATTTTATTTCTAAGGAAGTATTTATGGCAGACTGACGTCACGTGGAGAACCATCAAAAACGTGGGAGGACTGAAAAGCTGTATCGACCCAAAGTTCTAATAAGAAGCCATGACCTGGAAGGCAAGCCAGTCACAAACAAAGCGGATGCTAACTGAATAGATTAGTGTACAGTCGCACTTTATCACAAGTTCACAGAAGCAGGAAGCTGTAAGCGACTGAACAAAAACTCTGCATGGACGGCTAACGCATTCGTCACCAGAGATTCGGATCCTGAATTCCTTCCCTGGCGAGTTCATGGGAGCGTACTGCTCATTAGTCCCATTATCGTGCAGAATGGCTAACCAGTGACCCCAAGCTTTTCATTGTTCTCCTGTCAGTTGCTGATGAATATTACCTCAAAAATGAAATGCTGCATAAACCTCCAAATAATAATAATCATATATTTGCTTCATTCCGCACAATAGTTAGCTTAACAGTATACAATTCTCAGAGTGTGAATTCACTTCAATTTATCACGTTGTACAACACTTTAAAAACATTAGCAATGGTTTCGTTTAACAATATATCATGGAAAGCAACGAATAACAGAATAACTCAAATGTTTAATCAATTCAACAACATGATAACTGTTCGCTATTACACACTTGATTGATAAGACTATATCTAACATGACCTTCTTCACACAATACACTTACTAAATTAGGTATGGTTGAATATTCTATGTGGTTGTGTGTGCACAAACTTTACTATATTTCATTCTTGTATTCCCAGACGACAGACACGGAGAGAGGTCAGGATGAAGAGGATCCTTGTCATCACACAAAATATTATTAGTCAGTCTTCAGATGTCTATCCACAACTGCATTCATCAGCTCGGTTACAGGTGTACTACCTGCTCTACTAACACTCTTCAAATTACTACGCAATACAACCTAGTCCATTTTCTGGATTCCAGCAAAGAATAAATGTGAACAGTTAGCAAGTATAGGTAAAACAAAGGAATTAATGAAACGTATGAATAGAGGTCGAGTTACATCAGATAATCTGAGTTTCCTAATATAAATGGTGAAGTGAAGGATTTTCTCGAAATCAGTAATATATGAGGGGACAAAGAAAGATCAGAAGAAAAGCATAGGCCAAGATTAACCACGCTTACTGCATTCTCTATAACAAAGCCATCTATAAGACAAGAGTCATAGGACTGAACCAATATGCAAAGGTCTTTTCCATATCTCAAGCTAAAATTGACCATCTGAAATTTGAAATGATCATGTTTGAGGCTAGTTAAGGAAGACCAATAATCAATTTTTCTAACAAGTTGTTAAACTAAGAACAATCAAAAGAGAAAATGATCAGCATGGATACTGTTGGATCATCAGCATACTTAACAAAGTTAGCTTTAGTTGAGGTTGGTAAGTCATGCAAAAAGAAAACGAGAAAAAACAGCACCTTAAGGCACATTGGCTTCACTAAGCAGCGAAGCAGAGCGTATTCCTCTATATAGAGTGTAATGTCTTCTCTCAGAAAAATATTAATCAAGCCAGTTTACAATCCAGAACTCTATGTAAATACTGGTAAGCTTGTTTAATAAGAGGAGTCTAAGGACAGAGTCAAAGGCAGAAGTATAATCCAAGAAGGCAGATCTAACATACTTAATACCTTTGTCCAGACTTGTAATGATATTATGATGTAAAACAACTGCATTGTTTAAGGTACTCCTTCTGGGTTTGAAGGCGAGTTGATTTAGATCTCTGAAAGCCTACAAAGGAGGTTTAAGTGCACGAAACAATAGTATTTCCACTATTTTCAGGAATAGTGAGGTAATTGCGACCGGTCGGAATTTCACTTTAGCTCGAGCAGATGTGGACTCAGGTATGGAAACTATTTTAACTTCTTTCCAGAAAGATGGTACGTCATTACTATTAAAAGGCTCACTAAAAATGTTTGTGAGTCGATGGCGTGGAAAATCAGCACATTTCGAGAAAAGAATACTTGGCATAGAATTGAGAAGGTTTAAATGATTTCAAGCATTTGTACACCTCTGCTTCATTGAATTTAAAAAACTGAGTTCTTCTATACGTGGAAAACTAGGTAATCTTTGGTGACTAGGACATGAAGCATGCAAATAGTAGGTATCTTTACCATAATAATAATAGCAATGATAATAATTGTCTTAATGATTACAAGAATAATGGACAATCGGAATAGCATGATGCTGTAAACATTTAGACAAACAATGCCGACCGAAAGTTACGTAATACTAAGGGATGAAACGTGTAGATAATCAAAGTCTAAACAAATAAACATGTATGAAAGGGGTGAAGAAAGGGGAAGAAGATGAAAACTAGATTTATCTTTGAAGTTATTTATTAGATTTTCGTTGACCAAGGTAGAGATAAGGGCTGCACAAGTTTTTTCCGCACGCAAAAACCAGGTTTCTTTTCCCGAACTCACAATGCAAGTGAGAATTCCATTTGGAAGACTTTGTGGAGTGCGATAGACGATTTTGAACGCTTTGGTCTAGTCTATTACATGACCGCTGTCGACCAAATTTGGCAGAAGTGAACTTCGTATTGACTTCACTAGTCCTTTTTCTAGCCATGACGGTAGGTACTCAGTAACACTTTGCTAAGCTGTCTATTTATACGCCCAATATCGCTTTCGCCACAGGAGCACCTGAATTGATAAATGCACATAGAAATGGCAAAACTGTGCAGCTTGTCTTTTGTCTGAGCAACAATTATCAGCCGACTAGAAGATGATAAACAGAGATTAGCAGCATAAAAGGTTCTTGTAATGGCTGTGAAATAGAACTTCACCAAGTGCATCCTCTTTAAATTGAAGCTTCATGAATATTGATTTCTTCTGAACAATCATTTCATCAGATTTTCTACTCAATTTGTTTATTTGTCTCTTGATAAAACCATGAGGGTAACCCATTTCTAGCAGCATATTATGAATATATTCTAACTCCTTTTGTATCAAGTTGTCGGAGCAGATCCTATTGGCTCTCTTTGCAAGACATTTAATTAGACTTATATATATACATATATACTGGCTCGTGGATGTTATTTTCTGTACACCCTTCTACTAAGTGACCCATCTTCTCTTATAATCAATAAGACATCTAAAAATATAGCACATTTTCTTGTTCTTCTTCACAAGTGAAAGTGAATGGATGCACGCTATTGAATTTTCTTAACAGTTCGTTTTTGTCGAGGTTTTGACCAAGAACGATGAAACTGTCGTCAATATAACATTTATACATATGCAGATTATCGATAACATCTTTCAGTGGTTCATTCTCAAGTTTAGTGGAAAAAACGCCCGCAAATATCAGGCCTAATAGTGACCTCATGGAAATTCCATCAACTTGCCTGTAATATGTATTATTAAAGAGGAAATGCACATTCATGGTGCATCACAATTGTTTGAGATTATCTTCTGGAAGTCCAACACTAATCTGTGTTTCTGATATCTGCTGACAAATGAATTCTACTGTTGATTATCTACACACTTCATCCTTTAATATTACGTAACTCTTATTTTTCTATGTTTTGATCAACATCGTTTGTCTAAATGTTTGCAGTATCATGCTGTTCCCATTGTCCATTATTCTTATCATCATTGAGACCATTATTCTACAGATATCTACTATTTGCATGCTTCACGTCTTAATCACAACACATGAAGTAATCCACCATGACTGGTTTAATGTTTTATACATGAGAAGATTTACGTATATTAGCGTAATACCTGATCAGACTATACAAGGAGAATCGGACAAGGAGATTAAATACAGCTTTTTGGATTCATTTCTATATTCTTGATTACTTCCTGAAGAAGCTCGGACCAGACATCCGTGCAAAATGCTACAATTATTTCATTCCAAGAACGCTGGGACCTAAACAACTACAAACTGTATCTAATTTTTAGACTGCAGTGGTAGTAAATCTCCTGATAGACTCACACGACAAATGTTTTATTTTCACATTGTTCCTAATGTTATACGTCACTGATTTCAGAATTTTTATCGGTAACCATTGTGGCATGTGAATAACAAAGTAGCTAGAAGATCTTCAGAAAGTTCCTCAATTCAGGTTTTTTCTTTTAAATCAATACATATTTTGCTAACTGTGTAGGAAAACTATCCTACACCGGGATTATGGGTTCATGATCTCCAATCTATACCCAAATTAAAACTGACTGACAGAAGGAATCAACGTAGAACCTCGCTTACAGGCACAGCAGATCAAGTAACCACACATAGCAGTAGTACACAAATAATAGGTGGATAGAAAATGACTGTTATAAAGGTAGATAAAGCAGCGTGAAAGAGTAAGCGAACAGAAGATAAAGGTTGATGTGAATATTCAACCTTTAGAAGATATCAAGGAATAAATGCATCTGCGCCATTGTGATCAATTTTCAGCATGGTACGTTGAGGTAGGTGATGGCTAGGCAAGCGCAGTACACACGTCATAGCCATTTCAGTCGACTAAGGTTTATAACCGCAAAACCATAAACCAAAACAGATTAACTGAATGATAACCAGGTCATAAAAATTAATATGCTGAAAATACAACCTTCCACATATTAGTCATAAGTAAACTTAAATTTTACCGAGTTGTTTTTTTGAAAACCTACGAAAGTCATTCACCTTTGTAGTTTTCATACCACGATAATGGGTGGTAACAAAAGTAGATGTATGTACAAATTGACCATAGAATAGTAACAAACAACGCTATGCAAGTGTTATAGCTCACCGAATGCAATTGATCAAGAAGTCAGTGTGGTTAATTACTGAAGTAGCATTAAAATATGAAGTACCATCCTTTGGATTAAAATAAATCTTACTTTCTAATGGAGTTATCAATTTGGTGAGTCGGTTTATTATGAGCTAAATGGGGGGTGGTAATCAACTTTTCATATTCTACATAGAAAACAAATCACGACTACAAACTGAAGTCGGTCAAGTGAACGCAAGCTAGTTGACTAAATTTACTAGACTAGAATGTACTAAAGAATTTGAGTTTATCTTCACCCTTCCGTCTAGAAACGAATCCAGCCCATCAGGTGTTAGAATAAACTTATATTTAGTTTATAACTTGGTGTCTAAGGCGTGATTGGAAGGCCACCCTAGCAACTGCTGAGATAACCAATTAGGTTTCTATATTTCATGAAAAAGAAAAACTAGCTTTCTAGCTGACATATCGAAACCTGATTGGTCATTACAGTACTTGACAAGTGAGCCTTTAACGTCGCCCTATCTAAACCACCTAATAAAATGAATGACTTTAAAGGCCAGCCCAGCAACAACTTAGACAACAAAATAGGCTCCTCTACTTCCCTCGAAAGGCAGATTGATATATCCGGTTGGTTACTCTAGTTGTTACAACTGATGTGACAGCCAATTACATTCCTTTGTTTTATGGAAAAGTACTTTTCCAGGCAAAATAACGAAGCCTAATTGGTCATTCTATCAGTAGCTAGGGTGTCTTTTAAAGTCACTCTACCAACAACTGAAATAACCAATTTGACTTCTATATATCATGGGAATCTGTCTGTCTAGCCGAAATGAAAAGATCTAATTGATTATTTCGATCGTTGCTAGGGTGCCCTTTAAGGCCGCCCAATACAAGCCTATATTCTTCTTAACTTGTTGTTGTCGTTATGTTGATAATCAAAACAGTTCAAACCATAAAGCACACAACAAGTTAAACAGTCTAGACAATTATAGGTGAAGCAAACAGTAGAAATTTTCTCAAACCATTCTTCGTCTTCGTCAAATGATTATATAAGGTGCAAAATTTTCGAAAAATCAAATGAATACATTACACTTACCCGTTTATAATCCAATTCAGTGATATTTTGAGACTGTAACCATTTTGTTATAACGCCTTCTTTAAAGGGTCCAGTGAGCCCACCACCTTGTTGTTGGATTTGCCGAAGAGTACTGCATTCAGATATCTGAAATAAACATGTATTATGCGAAGCGTTATATTTTTTGGCAAGGGTTTAGAAAAAAGATTTTTTGTAAAAGTTTGTATTCATCATGGACTGACATCAAATGCAGAAATATTGAAAACAAGGGTGCACTAGACAGCTTTTTTGCCCTGGCATGGGATTCTTCAACAAAGCACATGCGTTACACTGCTAGTGGTTATCCCAGGCTTTTAATGGTTCCCCAATTGATGTTAGTCTGCAATGAACATAAACTTGAAATAAATAAATCTCCAGAAAACTCGAAATTGAAATTTTTGTCTGCTACCGATTGTGAGTGTAAGTATAAAGATATTCATAACTGACTGTTATATTTCACGTGTTTGGAAAAAAAGTATGGTGCTTATGACGATATGATATTCATTTTGTTGTTGTAAATATACCTTTCTTTCAAATAAAATGTTAATATCATCATCCACTTCACTTTACATGCACTCAATATCCACTTAAACAATTATCTATGTAGTATAATTCTAGTACATCAGGTTACTCATCGTTTGATCGACTCTCTCATTGGTACAGTACAAGATCCCAAAATAAAAGGAAGAAGAAAAGATTAAACAACCATAAAACAGAACCAAAAAAGAAGTCTATAAATCAGTAAATAAGTGGACAGAAAATCACAAACTCCTCAGTACTAAGAAGTATAAAATTTAAAACATATCTCTGAAACAGTCTTTGATTTTACATCCTGTACATCACCGTCGTTGACTGGATGGAATCGTACAGCCACTATTGGCAATATGGGTTCGTATTTGGCTGTCTCGATATTGCTTGTATTTTCAAATTTGATACTACTAGTGGATACCAGCTATCAGTGGTACAATTGGTCCTGGGTTTAATGTTTGTCGAAGAATAACAATACCCATTGGAAGGCAGGTAAGAAACGCGCGTCCTGGATTCCACTGTTAGCGATTATATATCAGTAATATATCTTTGTAATTTGCATCGATCTACGATACAAACACTTTTAGACCACTTGTTAGTTTTTTTATCATCTCACAGATAATAGATTCGCTAGTTTCATTAATTTTTAACTCAGCCACACATAACTAAGTGCATATTCTGTCAAGCACTAGTAAAACGTAGGAATGTAGTCACACTCCTCTGGTTATAAATTAAGCCTAGATAAGTTAAAAAAGGAAACGCCTCTTGAAAAAACTGCATTTGAACCATATACAGACGTTCAACTTGTAATCGAGACTTCAGGAAACTCATGAGTGGAAAACAATTATTAACAAAGAGAAATTCTTCAACGAATTAGAAGAATCGTAATGATACTAAACACTTCTGAAAAACACCATTCAATTTGCTACGACCCATATGAAACTCACTTTATACAACATAACATACTAATCATCTTTAAAAAAATAAATTTTCAAGTGGTTTTATGCATAGTCTGGTTATTATCACAGTTTGAAGTTTTTTTTATCTAAAAACTAACTAAGCAGTGTCCTACAACTGAAAAATTAATCTGATGACATTGTTGAGTAAAAGAGAAGAAGACTGAAAATCGTATGCAGACAAAAGAGGGAAATATTAGAATAAAGCATATTTACTGTAAAAATAAATAAATAAATAAACCAACTCAAATCAAATCAAAAGTGGTCTTTGATGAAAAACAGTTGAGGTAAACACAACATGCACAACTTGTATCTGCATACAGATGAATCTATTTCATTTGTAATGTCTTAACTCAAACATATCACTACAGTTGAGTGTACAACTTAATAACAAATACTTTCGAAATAAAGTAAATTAATGTTCCAAACGTAAGTGAAACTATTTATTCACCTACCAATTCAATAAAACCTTTTTGTTCTTCCGTTGGTATAATACGAAAGTGTATCATACGCAAATCCAGTCCCGCATCTAACCATATACGATCCATAAGAAAGGTGAGTTGGCATATTAAACTATCAAGACGTAAATCATCACCAGCCTTATCATAACAAGAGATAATAAATAGAAATATGGCATTATTTGTTGTACAGTAAGAATACAATACAAAAGACAAGTTACTGAGAAAATATGAACAGCTAAGCATTATGTCAGGTGATAACTAGTGGTAATTTCAGCCTTTCTGATCATTTTGAAAAGTCATTATGTAACTTCAATAAATAACACTCAGATATTCATTCAGCAACCTTATTTACATTAGTATAGTAGGTAGTGAGCTTCAAATATTGTGTGACGACTAATCATACTACTTGGCTGCTCAAACCTCAGTAAGTGAAGTGGTGTTCAAACATTTGACCCCTCAGATTGAAAGTCATTTCCAAAAAACAATGAACCACAGTTTCACAAAGTAAACAAGAAAAATCGACCTTTTTTTCAGTACATCACTGACAAGTCCATAGTTGGACGTGCAAAATGACTTTATTGTGTTGAAATCACTCTGATAGTGAGTGGTCAACACTACGGCTGATTGGATTATATGGTAAAGAATTCGTTACATCATTCAATTATAAGTATGAATTATGACCTTATGACGCCTTTATTTCAGATATTACTGACCGTGATCAATTGGTTTCTAATGGATATTAAATTATGTGATGGTAAAATTCGCTCTGTTAAAAATAATTTAAACATGAACTGCTAGTTTTTATTTATTTTCAGACTAGATTTCATGTAGCTCTTAGTACAAAAAGAAGAAACAAGTCATAAGGGTTTACACAAATAAGATTTTTCGTTTCGCAGTCAGTTCGACTACATTATGTGATTAATATTCATGAAAATATTTCAAGGTTGTTTTCACCAATTTCTGAAATCAGTCAGATTAAGAAGCACTGAGAGATAAAAATCTAACATTCACTAGAATTTTTATTATTTATAGCCTAAGTGTTTACATTAAGTAATCGAAAAAGTGTAAGACAAGTCACATAAAAAGCCAGTTTCATAAATAAAAAAAATTCTGATGTTTCTTAGCTTCATTAATTGAAAATCTGCATAATAAGCTAAACAACAAATCCTACAGCGTTTAAAGTAACAGGAGGAAAGCGTCTACAATAAGTGGCAGATCATTTGTGTGAAATCACTTTGGATACGCGAATAAGTCTAGGTGACATCCAATAATAATAATAATATATTTGCTTCATTCCGCACAATAGTTAGCTTAACAGTATACAATTCTCAGAGTGTGAATTCACTTCAATTTATCACGTTGTACAACACTTTAAAAACATTAGCAATGGTTTCGTTTAACAATATATCATGGAAAGTAACGAATAACAGAATAACTCAAATGTTTAATCAATTCAACAACATGATAACTGTTCGCTATTACACACTTGATTGATAAGACTATATCTAACATGACCTTCTTCATACAATACACTTACTAAATTAGGTATGGTTGAATATTCTATGTGGTTGTGTGTGCACAAACTTTACTATATTTCATTCTTGTATTCCCAGACGACAGACATGGAGAGAGGTCAGGATGAAGAGGATCCTTGTCATCACACAAAATATTATTAGTCAGTCTTCAGATATCTATCCACAACTGCATTCATCAGCTCGGTTACAGGTGTACTACCTGCTCTACTAACACTCTTCAAATTACTACGCAATACAACCTAGTCCATTTTCCGGATTCCAGCAAAGAATAAATGTGAACAGTTAGCAAGTATAGGTAAAACAAAGGAATTAATGAAACGTATGAATAGAGGTCGAGTTACATCAGATAATCTGAGTTTCCTAATATAAATGGTGAAGTGAAGGATTTTCTCGAAATCAGTAATATATGAGGGGACGAAGAAAGATCAGAAGAAAAGCATAGGCCAAGATTAACCACACTTACTATATTCTCTATGTCTATACCCTGGTGAAAATTTTAATCATCGTCGCGTTTGCTGAATATGAATGTACTAATGATTATACAGTGAAGCAAAGTTGGATATATTCAAGGTATAAGTATGTCTCACAATCAAATATGTACTGAGAAACACAGTATATGTTCAGTAGTTTCCTCACCAACTGAAAACTAACCTTTGGACATTAAAATAACATTAAAAATTGTGAACCACAGCGCTAACGCGAAAGCATTAGTTGAATAGGTGGACACAATAAAAAGAAATATTTTTTGCTCGCAATTGGCTACTCATCAGTAGTTTGTGTGAAATAAACAAGCAAGTTGATAAAAGCATCTCATGGACATTAGGAGGCAGCCTAAAATGGCTGAAACATCAGAGTAAACTAAAGATAAAAGTAAATTATTGAAACAACAGAAGAAGCTAAATGCTGTAAAGTAGTTTACAAAAAGTTTTGAAATATTTGTTTTATACAAAAAGACAACTTACCTTGAACATAACCATAAATGGCTCTGTCCCAGCATCCAAGGCATGGAAGACAAGTCTCAGTGGGCAAGTGAATGAAGTAAAATATGAGCAAGCCTAAAAAATAAACAAAAAACCTAATTCATGAAGTAATTCGCTTTGAAAGCCTTCGTTCTAACTATATTCTACCTCGTCATATCTTGAACAAAAATAAGTAAATAAGTGTTTATTTATCCTTTAACTGAACGTTTCTCAGTTTTCATATTCCCTGGTACTTTCACTTTACCGTTAACTGTTCTACTAAACCAAATCCATCAACCTCTGTTGACATTTGAGCTTCAGTGCGGATGCCTATGAAGTTGTAATTTGTGTTATGGTGGATACCAGTCGAATCCCGGATGCATGTTCTATACTTCTTTGACAAATACTAATAAATAATAACTGATATCTGCTTCATTACAGATAACTGTCGTGACTCAGTAGTCCAGTGAATAATACTTTGGAGTGATAGGTACTACATTTGATTCTCTTTAAGGGCATTACCAACAGGATGTAGGTAAATGGAGTAGGTGATTTTCACGAGGGATGGATTCCGACATAAGCCACCTACCTCTAGTGATGCAGTCCTCAATTTTTGTTTCAATCAACTATTAAACTTGAATATACACCACTCACTTTGAATCGGGCTAGAATAGTTCATTTGTTACGATACTAGAACCAATAAATCGGCGGAAAAAGAATCGATCAAGTTTACATGATATACTGACGTATATATTTGAAATACATGAGCTAACATTCTGTAGACCTATGCAGATTATAATAAATAAAAGTATCTCCTTATCTTCTACCCTAAAAAATTGAAATACAACTGAAAACAACAAAAAGACTAGGAGTTGGTGATAGATTTCAAGGAATGTCCAATGCATGAGATGATTGATAATATACTTGACTATAATTCAATGTAAAAATGTTCCTAATACTTAGTTTTTCATTTACATCAACCATATCTTCATGAAATCTGATGAATTCGGTGACAAATTGTATTACATAGTACCTGTTTCTGGCTTTTCTTGAACCATGCTTCCGCAACGTAGGAAATGTTTACTAACGCACACTGTGATCGAAATTCTGTAAATGGTACAATTTGTATTCCACACCGATCAACAGCATATAATTTATTTATATTACCTACTTCCTGACAATTAAGCTACCATAAAAATGAAAATCAACTCATGTCTTATGGTATTTGAAAGAGAATTACTGCTCATTGTAGCAATATGACAGAAAAAGAACGCACATTGATAAGAAATGAATGAATCCTAGAACAAACTAACTTAGTAAGCAATGAATTCTAATTTACAAGTCTAACGAATTTTGAAACAACGAAAGATAAGTTAACCCATATATTAGCTTGGAAAACACCTTTTTTCTTCAGATGATATGTCCACCTACTTTTATCTTGTTAAGTATTATCTACAAAAATGAATGAGTAATGTAAACTTGGCTGCGAAACTCGTGTATCACTTCTCGAGTGATTACGTTAGTGTACGTTGTTTATATGAAACATTCAGACGATGTTCAACATTTCCATGTTGATGTGCACTCTTTCATCTTATTGAAACAGTGCTCCATAATATAATAAAACTATGTGGGCTTCACGTTTATCTCAGCCAAAATGATAAGCGTAGTTTACATGGGCGGCAGTATTTATCTCTGGTAGACCCAAAAGCAAACAGTAGTAACGCTCAGGCGAGCAACACTTCTCTATGCTTAGGCGGACTGAGTACAAAAGTACAATACTGCTCTTCATCGGCATCATACTAATGATCTGAAACGTCATTCACAATGGCGGCAAACTGGTTCAATACTGTATCACAAATGACTTTGTTGAGCATAACTCAAACAAAACAATCGATTATTATTCATCTGTAAATTCAGTTTTACCGTCAGCATTCCCAACTGTTTTGTGTGATTTTCAAAAGCCACTGAACAGGCTACCAACGTTAATCATAAAGAAAACATGTTGAATAATACTTTTTATTGATATACTCGTAATTTTCCGTTGTTGGCGTTTGAAGCGATGGGTATTAGGTTCATGTCTCAGTGGGGACAACATCACTCACTGAGGTGGAGGTACATCGAGCTGACAAGTCCCAAATACGATGAAACGCGCATCCTGGATTTCTCTGGTAGCCTCATCCAAACAAATTATCACGTTGAATATTGTTTGACTAGTTACTTAAATGAAAATTTCATAACTTTCTACCAATCATATCGCATTAAGCCAAACACCGCATTAGCTTTAGTTTCATCCACTTTTACTTGGAAAGAAATGATTTATTCTTTATGAGGGACACAGTATTTCAAGAGATAAATGTATGAAGGATAAGAATAACTAATCGGTGCCTAGCCAAGGCAACTAAAGTCAGGCACACGAAACAAATCAACATAGAACCTCACATATAAGTGAATCGGTTCAAGTTGTCACGCTCCACAGTAGCGTGCGAAGAATAAGTGGGTAGAAAAAGACTGATATCAAGCTAGACAAAGATTTTTGGGAGGAGAAACAATTTGAAAGTAATAGTTAGTGTATATATTCATCCTTTATAAGACGTCAAGGAGTAAAAACATCTGTATCATTGTGATCAATTTTTAGCTATATCACCAAGAGTCCTCAATCACTGGCTCCGTTCATTTCAGAGACTTTATCCAGGCAACCAACATTTTCCTACATGACTCAGACTAACAGTCAGGAATTTCATGGACTGGAGCCAATTGTTGGTTAGGTTAAGGTAACTAAAATATACCATGATATAAGCACTAATCAGTTCTATGTTAATGAAGCGTCAATGAATCTAGCGAATTGTGTGCTTTGAGTCTAACTCTTATTACTCAGTTTATAGAAAGTTGTTTCAATAACCTTTAATTGTTTATCAGTTTGAGATAGGAGTGAATGCCACTGGACTGATTGTTTTTTCGAATGATATTTTAACAAAACATCTTTGGAAGTGAAGACTTGCGAGCTCTTACAGGATAATAAAACCTAGTATTTGATATCGTTTTCTTCCTTCAGACTTTAAATGTCTTGTTGACATACACCAGTAAGTTTTTTTCTCGTCTTCCCAGATCTTTTTCCAACCACATTAACATTTCTGTCAATGGAGTACTCAGAGCTAAGTCACGTTATATGCTGTCCAGTCACTTAACTAATTTGTGTGTTCTATAATTAATAGTCTGCACTTGTACTAAGCAGATTACCATGACGACTACCCATTCCACGTTATGGTCTATAAAACATAAATCACAGGTGATCAAACATTTCTGCATAGTACCATCTTATTGAGGAAATGTACGCCATTCTAATAAAAGGTAGGGCTACAGATAATGGTACAACAATACTGATAGCCTGTTCGATAAGAAGCATCAGAATGGTCAACACTTAAACAGTTAGAGTTTTAAAATCGTAACGCACAATATCATGTAGCTTCAAATAAATACCCAGAGTTAATCTGAACATAAATGGATTTGAGAAAAGTAAAATCCTAGTGAATAGATGTACCAAGACGATAAGATTTAGGTAATAACCTCATCTGGACATCTTAACCGAATGTGAACCGTTTAACAGTATATAATTCATCCACAGTAGCTTAATACATCATTTATAGAATTCTCTTATTTGCTAATCGTTAAAAAATCGAAGAACTCCTGAACATTTAGAAAGTTAACAGAAACTTAAACTCCAAAAAAAAACATGACGATGAAACTTTATTCTTTTAAGAAAACGATTCTATTGAATGAATAACTTACAGTAATATCAAGTCGATGACTTAAAAGTCCAGGATTGTATGGCATTCTTAAGCCAAGATCATATTGTGATACTTGACATTCACCGATAACATTATCAACAGATATTTTTTCTAAACTATCCACATCTAATTTAGATACCTCAATGGTTGATTTATCATTTGACCAATGGCGTGATTTTGAAGAAGAAAGTGAAGCATCATTAATTGATGCTTGATCTGATGACTGTAAACAATTTTCTGATAAACTAGACATAAATTGCTTCAAATGAGTATAGAGAATTTCCTCACGAACTGCAGCATTCGGTCTGGCTTGCTTTACCTTTGTAGCTGATTGTATCAAATATACACAGGTAGAAACAAAATACACAATGGATTTACTTATTGATAAATACAGGGAAAAGTGCACAAGAACATTGATTTCAAACTAATGTTAGAAACAATCAGAACTAAATAAATATGGTAACAGAAGTATGTAATATATCATCTATGATCCTTTAACTAAGGTATGTCGGTTATGTTTTCAGGTAATAATGTCTACTTCAACAAACATAAGTTGTAGCCATAAAAAGTTGAAATAAAACTACAGCCCCAGTAACATGAACACATACCATTCCATTACAGTATTCATCCTATTAAGTATCTTTAGCACGACGTTGAACGGCTAGCAAGGAATCAATTAGCCGCCAAATCAACTTAATCTCGAACTGTTATCGGCTATAAAAAAACTACTGAAGACCACAAGATACTCATATTTAATTCATCCTAGCTTGTGTTCTCTAAACAGTGCATATCCATACCACCAAACATAATCAAATTGAACATTTTTCAGTATTACTAAACTACTGGTCTAGTAATGAAGTTAGAAATTATAAGACATACAACGTTTATGCTCATTGGGCGAACGCTAACGTATATTATCCTTAAATAGGTACATAATAACCTTCACTGTGTGAATTCTAACTGAGGAACCCGTAAACTGAGTCCACGAATAAATGATAATACCTTTTGAGTGTGAAAATAAACAACTCAATAACACCAAACATTTCCTACAACAGTCACTTTCATAAAGATAAAGCTATTATTTTTCGTTGAGAATAATCCACGGTTAATTGAAAATTAATAAAAAACCTCACTGGAAAGTACCTGGTTTGGTGATGTCAAGCCCAGTTGATGATACACTGGAACACATGGAACCCTATCCAGTGGCTCATCACCTCACTTTACTTAAGTTCACAATAGTGCACCATCACATACATAGAGAGAAAACAAACACAGCTCCCAATCTATATAACACTTTATATCTTACAATATGCTACACAGGTTACCCAATTTGACCGGGTCTTATGTACTACTGAAAGCAAGCAGGCGGTTGACACTTCCCGGGTGTACACACCATAGAAGACTATTTCTTCTTAAGGTACCTGAAAGAGAAAACGATTTGTGTGACCACGGGGCCCACAGGACATTTGCTTGAGGCCCATCACATACAGCTATTTGTGGGATGTTGTGTTCAGGTTTGGTTGTCCTACCAACGCATAGACAGAACCCATACAGTGGGCGCTGAAAGACCGTGGGGTAAGGAGGAGTGTCTTGTTTTGAGGGTCGACCTTTTCTAACCCTTCTTTTCGCAAAACGTAAGCAGCAGTAGCGTGGCACTGCTCGTCATACAAGGGAAACACCTTACTATCTAGGTAGGAGCACTACGACTTCCCCCTCAAACCCCTACCATAGTGTAGCAATTTACACCATAACGGTAACTGCTTTCCTTCTTACCCCTATCCAACGAACCCTTCTGGGATGGCAGGATATCAAGAGGACAAGCGTTCCAGCTAGTGTAGCTCGTTGGGTCATGGTGGTGTGCGAAGTTCAACCACCACGACAGGGTAGCAGCTATAGGCCAGGGAAAGCATTACTCATTAGGTCACTGTCTTTCTGTCATATATCCCTATGATACATCTAGCTGGAATGATAAAGACAAATGAAGACACGATAACACCCTGCAGAAAAGTCTAACGGTTTACGTTGTGACTATTATAAATGAGTTTGATTTGGGAGTTTGTGGGGATTTATTGGTCGATTTCAAGTTGGTATTCACCATGGTCTGACACCAGATGGAGGAAAATTGGAAACCTGGGGACATTGTACAGCTGTTTCGTCCTAGTATGGGACTCATCAGAAGTAAGCAGCCATGACCCCGTCCCGTCAGGAATTGAACCTAGGACCTTCGAGTTCAATGACCAGCACTTTACCATTGAGCCACTGTATATGAATTCGGTGGTCCATATTTCCTACTTCTATAATTTCATCACATAATGTGACCATTACCCAATGTCATCGTTGATTATTTGTCTTCACGTCCACCAGGTTTGCCACACTGGTCACGACTTCAAGAATCACCTCTCGAAGCTGATGGAAATAATAATCATATAGACAGTATACAATGCAAAGTATCTGCAATGTAAAGAGAGAAAAAATAACATTCTGATTCCATTCTTATTCGATAAAGTGTAATGAAACCTGGGTGAAAGTTTCGATGAAGTGAAAACCTGGACCGCGGTAAGATTTAAACCAACGGCCTTTGGGTAGCTGACCCGATGCTTTAAGCACTGAGCTACAAGACTCAGCTACTAACCAGGTTTTAGTTTCTTTCCACTTCAGTTACCGAAGACTTTGTCCAGCCACCATGAAAATCCATGACATGTGACTATTAATTCATCGTTATCCCACTGGTTGCTCAACCAGATCTTCTCACCTCAATCTGAATAGAACTGAACTAGAGGCAGTAAGCATCACATTGATTATCAAACAGAAACAAATAAATAAACTCAATGTAGTACCTTGCACAAAAGTACATCGATTCAACTTGCCACGCTTCACAGTAGCATACAAAGAACAGGTGAACAGAAAAAGACTGATATCAAAGTAGCTAAAGATGTATAGAATAAAAACCAATTTGAAGAAAAAGGTTAGAGTGAATACTAAAGATTTGGAAGATGTCAGAGAATGAATAAACATGCGCCACTGTAATTGATTTTCAGTCATATGACAAAGAGTCCTCAACCGCTCACTCTTGTCGTCCAGCTTGAAAGCCTATAGTTCCCTACATGGCTGGCACCAACAGGCAAGGATTTCATGGAATGGTGCCACATCTTGGTCTGACCACCCTTAGCCCTCAGTGATTATCAATGAGATTATATGAGATGGCCGTAGTTCATTTTACCTTCTATCACCACCCCATATCAATAAACCCAGTCTTCCAAACCAACTTCGTTAATATTAGTACAATATTGTGATGTACAAACACAAAAAATAAACACCAAAAGTAGACAAAAGGATGAAATTCGGATTTCATTATTCACTCACCAGTTACTGATAAATGATGAATCATTTCCTCTTGACGTTTCCACATTGTACGCAATCTGGTATCAGCATTCCAATACAATGCAGCTTGAATAAAACGGAAACGCTGTAATTTCCATTCTGATGAAGGTTGACTTTGATTAAGCATAGGATAGAGATACCTTCAATATATTTTTAAAATGAATTTCAGACATATAGAAATCAAGGTATAGAAAAATGTAGACAACAATAAATTTCAGTTGGATTTAACTCAAAAATCATCAATTCATATTATGTCCTATTGTTATTTTATAACTTTTTCAAAAAACAAAAAACCTAAGCATATGTTGGGCCTTCTTTTCTTCTGATTACATTAGGATTCAATATTACATGAAATGCTTCAGCTATCTGTCACTGTTTTTGGTTTAAAAGCCTTTCTGAATAATTCTAATATTTTCAATATCAATTTTGTTACTGTGATAGTCAGCATGAACAACTGCAATTTCCAATTTGATTTGTAAATTCTATAGGTCTACAGGATATTTTTTGGCGGTGATTTTGTGTAACTTACATGTTCTTTTGCATGAATGAGGATCTGGCAGGATGCTTCATCAATATAATAAGCATCACAACCGACATAGCCCAATTCGTAGACACAATTCTGTGTGGAAGTAGACGAATTTTTTATCTTTAAAGTGGAACGCTTTAGTCCACTTAAAAGATAAAATTCCGTCCCGTGAGATCTTCATTCATCCCAAAGACCGTGTAAGTTACACAACATGACCACCAAAAAATCCTGTAGAACTACAGAATTTACAAATCAAGTCGGTAATACTAGATTATCCCAACTGTCATAGTCATAAGACTAATATTGAAAATATCAAAATTATTCAGACAGCTGAAGCATTTCATATACTGTTGAATCCTAATGCACTCAAAAGAAAGGAAGGTTTAACTATCCAACCAACATAAACAGTATATGCAAAACAGAACGTCACTTACACTGTACAGAACAAAAGTGGATAAATAAAAACAAACCATATTCATACTGAGTGAGGATTGAAGGTGAGAGGAAAATTTGGACAGTGGCCGGACTCGAACCAGCGGCCATTGGGTTTTCAGGCTGATACTCTACCAACTGAGCTACGAGGCTTTAATTCTCACTAGATTTTCATTTCAGTTCAATCATCATGGGTTTTGCCTAACTACCATCTGAATTCGTGATGCGTTACTACCACTTGATTGCATTCACACTGGCTACCTAGTCAGGACTTCTCATCTTAATGCAAATCTAACTGAATTAGAGGGAGAGAGCACTATATTGATTATTAATTGACTATCTGAAATAATCTTAGTTTGGTCAGTAGCAGTTTGGTCAGCAGTCGTACCTCGTGACTCAATTGGTAGAGCATCGGGTCGGAAACCCAGTGGTTGCTGGTTCGAAACCGGCCGCGATTCAAATTTTCACTTCACTTTCATCACCCAGTACAAATACTGGTCTGCCAAGCTACGGCTCTCTCAGATAGCCAAATGATAATCAAACCGTACTTGCCAGCATAGTATTTTTTCACATACTTGCACATACATGTGCACCCATTCACATCACCTTGAACTCTCGACTAATAACGGATAACAAAGGGAAGTATGAACGTATCTTGACCAACATCTATGCGTGTATTATCACTATTGGATGATTTAAAAAGGCAACCTTAGCAACTGATAAGACAGACAGTTACGTTTCTCTATTTTACTGAGAATTACCTTCCAACCGGAATACCAAAACCAGTTCGGCTTTTACATCAGTTGCCATGGTGGTCTTTAAAGTTGCCCATATCATTTATGAACAGTGGGATTTGACTGATCACCGTTTACTATCTAAACACTCGATAACTCCTACAGGCTTCATTCTCTGAAGAAGAGACCTCAACGAAGTCGCGAAGCGTCAGACGTTTGCTTTTTGGTCTCACTGGGATTTTACAAATATATTTCATTTATATTCCTTTTATTCAATGCTCAATTTATTCAACTCTATCAGGTCAGATTTTGACCTTGAAGTTTATAAAAATAATAGTTCTATATTACACGGCAATTTATGAAGCCTTACTGATTTATTCAATTACGTTTGTGTAATAAACGTGGTTAGTCAGTTTCACTTGTTTCACAACAGCTAGATCACAAAAAGAGATAAAAGTCATGTGATATTACAGTAATGGTAATATTTGGAGCTGTGACTGATTGATCTAGTCACTTGATTTCCAATCATGAGTCACAGATGCGAACCCCGATTTACCCAACAAGTTCTAGGGATTTAAGTAGTTTTATTTTGCCTCAAACAATAAGCGTGAATCACTGCCTACTGAAAGAACATACACAAACCTGTTGAGTGGATTCCGATGGAAAATAACCAGATTATAGTTGTTGCGAACGCCATAGACGAATTTGAGAGCTGTTCCAAGCCTATTAGCACAAGAATGTACTTTAAGATAATCCAAATGCTCCATTGCATAATGTCCAGCTTTTTTGGCGGAATATTCAGGTTTTATTAAAATGATTGGTTATTCAGACTCATTGATTACGATTAGTCAGCATAAATTCCTGTTTATATGAACTATGATTACTTGACCAAGTGGTATCACAAATATTGAGCACCGAAAGGAACGTTGGCTGTCGAATCCAACCTAATCGAAATGCACTAAGCAACTTTGTGCATATGCATACAGTATGCAATCAGCCACACATATTGCGTGAAGACTAATGATACCACCTGAATGCTCAAACTTCGGTAGGTGAAGTAGACCCAAACGCGTTGTAAGTCATCTCTCAAAACCATTGAGCCACACCTCATTACACGTAGGTTATATTTGTATGCGTTTTAGCGTCTTTGAAATGAAATACTCTATTATTTCACAAATACCTCTGGTTTGAGCTTCTTTCAGAGAATGACAAAAATTAAATTTCGATGGAACCAAAATCCTATGAAAAGGTTTTAGGTAATATGCAGAAAGATTGACTGCTGAAGCCCAACATACATAGACATTTCAACTAGTTTGAACAGATGAAATGGAGTACACTTAGCTGCAGCTTGGCAACTACTAATTAGGAAATAAGAAAGTTACTTTTCCATTTACTTTCATCCGTCTCAGCCTCATTATCTTTACATCAATGACAACATACAATCTGAATTGATTTGACGTACTATTATTATCATCACCACTATTATTCGTATACATGTATACCTTATTTTAGCATTTTAATGGAAACTTTGTTGATAATCCATACCAACAGAAATGATATACATATCTGCTTGCAATACCCTAATATAAATACACACAAATCCGCCAAATAACTGCGGTTTCATTTGTGACCGTTTTCGTCTCCTTTCCGAAGTACAAGTACAGAGTATATATATATATATATATATATATATATATATATATATATATATATATATATATATATATATATGAGACCCAGCCGCTGATAAGATACCGAAGCTTAGTACGTATACAGTCAGGATGATAACCCGGAGGGAGCTGGCTCGAATCCTTCAACCATCACCCAATATCAATAACAGGAGTGTGACATACTACGGCTATCTCAGATACTGTCCTTAATAAAAATTATCAAATATATGTGATATTTCAGTCGATTATTTTCCCCTAAGGAGCCCAGATCAGACTTTCGTGAGAAACGCTGGAATTATTTTACTTCAAATACGCTTAAATTTACACAAATAAATTGGTTATAACCAATATAAATTCCTATTTCGTAATTATTGATCATCAAAAGAGAGATAATACTGCTGAGAAGTCCCAAACTAGGATGAAATAGCTGTCCAGTCCTCACAGATTTTCAATGGTTCCCCAACTGATGTCAGTCCATGATGAATACTACCTCTAAAATAAGAAGTCTTCACTGCTCTTAAAGGTTATTTTAAAAAGATTTGCACAGCTGATACTTTAAAAGACGGATTAAGAATAATAGAGAACTCCTTATAGAGAATGGCTGTCCTGAAAAGTTCGTAAAGACTGTAACAATGAAAACAGATGGAGAAAAGCGCCTTTAAATGGTGACGAAAAAACGATTGTATCTAATCTTAGCGTTCAAAGGAGATGAAGGTGCAGAAACACTGATACTGAACCTCAGAAATCTGATACAAAAAACCTTCTTGGCCGCTGCACTGTGTTTGAAATTTATTACTACTCGTTGTATGAAGCTAATCCAGTTGAAGGATAGGCTCCCAGATCTGGCCACATCTATATGTATTTATAAATCTAACTGCTGTTATGCGGATAGCTACATAGGTAGAACGACTCAGCAAGCCTATCATCACTTCATTGAGCACTGTCCAGTGTGGTTAAGCGACGGAACAGTGAAATCTATCAGTACTCGCCTATCTAGTAGAGACTCAGCATAAGATTGACTAAACTTCACCATTGACTATCACATATAAAGTCCTATCATAATACTCCGTTTGTGCGTCTCCGACTGCTAGATATAGCAGAAGTCAGAGCAATTAATAATTTCAAACTCAATTCATGTATTCAGATGTTTATTTGTTCACTTTCTCTCTCATGGCCTTTAACTTTAACCCAGATGCAATTACAATAATTCCCTTCCTGATCACCCGAATAAGTGTAAATATTATCTCTGTACTCTTATCATTATCACTATATTTTTCGCCCTTCGTTTCATAGTTGATGAACACAATTTTATTTCCCTCTATCTCTGCACCCACACACACACAATTCACTCACACACCTACAAGGATTGACTACAAAGAATGTATACATTTTCCGAGAGTTGGCTCCATTATAATCACCTTTTCTGTTATCTAATTCATATACCCGAATTCATTTTACCATGATGGAATCAAATGACAATGTTGAATGATTTGTAAACGTAAGTAAGTGTAAAGCCTGAATAGAAGCTACCGAAAGTAAATATTCACTTCAAACTGTCTTCAAGTTAAAAATCATCATCTTTCATGGCTTTGTTGAATGAGTGTTTATCAAATTGAGGATAAGCCTATTCCTTACCTTCCGTTCACAACATCTGATGTAACGAAAATATGTCAGGCTTCAGTGTTTAATCATTTTTACATCAATAGAAACCCTTTCCTAATATTTTTTACATTATCAAATCAATTGTATATCCACTTTCAGTCACTTGCTAGTGTGATCGATTTTCAAAATTTTTGAGTTCATCGTGATTTATCGATGGACATTTCATACAAAATTCAAGTTTATCCACCTCAATTTTTAATGGTTCGCGACTTTCTTCAATATGACTGAACTCAAAACCTTAACACTTAATCTTGCAAATGCATTTTCACTGTGTCATCTTGGAAATGAAACCTTTACCTCAGTTAGAACCTTTTCCAATAAAGTCTGGTGTTTTTGCTTGAATTACTTAGCTGCACAAGAAATGCCTATGGTGACATAATGGATAATGCTCTGGCGTTTGAAGCAAGCAGTCCTGAGTTCTAATCGTAGTGGGAACAATATCACTCATTAGGAGGTAGGTACATCCAGCTGACAAGTCCTAAACAGGACGAAACGCTCCTGTTGGCTCCACCGCTAGCAGCTATCCATCATTACTATAAAGTTGAAACGATAGATAATATCGAGGCATCCACGCAATAGCACATAAGCCAATAGAGATAGATCAATTCGGTTCAATCAACAACAGGATATTACAAGCGGAAACACTGGGATGATGAGGAATAAAATATTTGACTCTAGTTCAAATCGCTTACCAGTATAGAGAGTTAGCAAATCGCATTGAGAATGCTGCTCGATGTAGGATTAAACTCACTAAACCAGAATAGTCAAGATATAAGTCATGATTTACTGCCTAAAAAAATAGAAAAAGAAATGTCAAAAGTAACTTCATGAGTTATTAAAAAACAGATAAAATCGGCTACTAAAAACACAGCTATTGTAATAATAACGAAATTTTGATTACTATTCAATACATAGATCAGATAGCCAGAAAGAATAAGCAACAAGGAGCTCTGGAAACGAACCAACCAAGAACCTATCACTCAACAAATATGCAGGAGGAGGTGGAGATGGATTGGGCATACACTGAGAAGGCCGACTGGGGACATCACGCGTCAGGCTAGACTCTCGAGTGGAATCCCCATGGGAAGCGACAAGTTGGACGTCCGAGGGTGACATGGAGGAGGTCGTGCGAGGAAGAAATGAGAGCTTCTGGGCTGTAGTGGAACCAGGTTCAAAAGATCTCAGAGAACAGAGGTCACTGGAGACGTGCTACTGAAGCCCTATGTCCCACTAGGAACCCAAGGGACTAATGATGATAATGATGATGATTCAATACATACGATAAAATCTGTTCAAAAAAGTTGTAATAGACAACAAGAGTAGAAGGATAGAAGTTAATTTCAACTAATCTATCAAATTGTCTCCGTCCTTACAACCAACTGGAAACAAGATACTTTCGCTTCAGCTAAACTTTGTATCTGACAAAAGTACAGCGTCAAAAATCAGTGATCATATTATCAATGTACTGTTTTGACAAGTTACAAGATGACCAGAACGTGTTAGACAAAAGTATGATGAATGTAATGTACATGTGATAAGTAAAACCTTCTACAGTGTGGCACAAAAACTATTGAAACTTGGAATACACAATATATGCAGTTTCTCACTTAATATATAAACGATAGGCATTTCTCCGTTCTCTTTGTCAAAAGTTTACTGTATCAGCAATAAAAACCCGTTGCTTATAGACAAAATCATTGAAGAAAAACCACCAGTGAGTTTCATATCTTGATTAAATTTTTATCGGTTAAAGTTGCACTTCCACCACAAACCGGCGACTAGTTATGGTGGTGTGATGAAAGTGTTAAATTGTTACTGATGACTGGGAAGAATTCCTGCACTCATACATAGTGATAGATGATGCATAAAGAAAGAGCAATATCCATGATTACGAAGATATTTATGCTCTTCTAAAAATCAAAACATATATTATCCAGCACTACAACCAAAGGTGCTAAAACTCATCTATTTAGGCTTCAGGAGTAATGAATTTCAGAAGCATTAGTCACTTGTTGCTATTATTGAACAACCGATTTAATTACAGAAAGACATTTACAACAAAATCAGCTCATTAAAACGTTTATAAATTACGGATAACTTCTTAAGTGAAATCTGGTGGTTGAAAAGTGAGACTGGACTATAACAGCTAGTGTATAAATATATGTGAGATCAGGGACTCTATGTATCAGGCGAACTTACAAGCGGATGGATTAAAAACTATTAGAGAAAATGGATAAATCATGCACGAAATATTTTGGTAGGCTATTTAAGTTTATGAGGAGACATAAAATTCGGAAATACAATCCCATAATTGATAAGTGGTCGTGAAACTTCCGAATATTATTTTCACATCTTTCTGCTTTATGCACTAGTTTTCAGAAATACGGAAGGAAATAAAATGAATTTTTCGTGTTAAATAAGTGGCCAAATCACCTATTTCGAAATTAAATACTACAAGCCAGTTGCCAGAAAAACCTGGAACTAAGCTCATCTGAAAATATCAAGTAACTGACGTTTCCTCCATGATTCGAACTTATCATTTAGAACTGACGTCAGAGACTGTCAATAGGCCAGTCATGCCACGACTGCTCACATGTAGATCTGAATTATGCACAAGGATGGGTCACTAGTGGTGACCAGTGTGGTCATCTAGTCCTTAGTCCCGGTAAGCACGGAAAGTAGATCAGGGACCTCCTCCCAACCTACTCTCAACATCTAGGACCGACAAACATCACAAGGAAGTGTCATGTCACTTAGCTTAGTGGTTTTATGGCACGCTTGATCGATAAACTGCTAAGAATAAAGTATTAGATAACTGCATTGGTTACTCACTAATGACCACTTCATATATTCAACCACCTATTTTCAGAATTAGCTTCTCCAACTGAATTTAGTTATAATCCTTTTATTAAATGTTAACTTATTTGATAACTGAGTATGATGCATATACGCAGTAGGATTCTGTATATTTCCACCAATTATTTTGTTCTCATTCAGTAATAAAAGTATTCCAATTGTCCTCTCAATCATACGGTTAAATCAGTAAGTCAATATCAACATAGGACCCGTTTTGACTGCACAACAGTTCAAGTTTAAACACCTCAAATCATCACATAAAAGCTTGAAGCAGCAAAAGGAAAGGCAGATAAACGGAAGGAGTGCAATCAAAAGTCGTCTAAAGACATAGGGAGACAAAAAATAGTTATGATTAAGATGATGGTGTGCCAAAACAACTGTGACACAACAATAGACTTTGTACAATATCGCATACAGTCTCCAACCATCAATATTCGTTGCGATATAAGCCCCCCTCCTGCCAAGTTAAAAGCAAACATCTCTTACACGGTTGAAAAGAATCGCTAGAAACTTCATGGGCTAGTGTTATATTCAATTTCGTCATGTAGTAGGCAAGTCTAAAACGTTCAGAGTCATTTATCGCATCCCACAAAAACCTTCTAATGGGGTTTATATTTGCATTTTATGTGTAGCTGAGGTAATGGGATTATAGTAAGCTACAGTATTGGTGTGCAGAAAAAGTTCGTATAAACATTACTATCATAACTACTTTTAAACAAAATGATGGTTTAAACCGCCTAATAGCTAGTGGTTCGAAAACAAATTTACCAGGAAAGATTAAATTCGATGAAATATTACTGTTATTTTGATAGTTATTATCAACATACTTAATTACCTTTTTACAACAAAGTAAAGGAATCATAATGATTGGCTCATTGTTGTATACATGAGTAAGACCAATAATATTAGGGTGGAGCCTGAGAAGGCATGAGTGAAAAAAAATACTCTTCGTTTACCTGTCTCGTTCTAACACGAAATGTTTCACTTCCTTTTAAGCCTATATAACTTTGCCTTATATTCGCAACTTGCTGCGTAATGTGCATACCATTCAACTAGAGAGACTAAATGAAAATCTTTAGAGCATAGGTCAGGGAAAAAACAGGTACTCTTATTAAAGGAGCCCTCTGTTGGAAACTTCGAAACAACGAGTTACTTTTATGAATTTTCAAGAAACAATACGAAGAAGCAATATGTCTGAATTACGTAATACACTTATGTAAAACATATCAACAACATGATCACTTGTCATAAGAAAATGAATACAGGTCAATTAAGAACACTGTATTGAAGGTCAAAATAACAGTGAAGATCAGTAAAGTGAAATGGATTCAAAGCAATGACTTTTTTGAGCACCTAAGGGTGGTTCACACTTTCTAATAGCCAATGCTTTATTAAACTTTAAAATAAGTCTCCAACAGGTTTTTCAGATGAGCTTCAATAACATATTTACATCCGTTTTATATTCTTTCTGAATATATCTAGCGACTGGGGAATCGGACATTCGCTTCTAGCACTAATCGAGTCAGGTGACTTTAGTTCTTTCTGAAGCAACTTTGTAATGTGTTTCGTAGCCCCAATTTTGAATTAACGGTAGAAATTCCCTATGTATATGGGATCACATTGGGATAAGACGTCGTCTTTCACCTATTCCAACGGATCCCGTGAGAATATATGCTTCAGATTTTTAATTATCCAAACCATAGCTGCATAGCATGTTTTCGTGATGCCAGGCCTTAAGTTTGCCTGACAACATCAACAGTGTACAGTAGCATGATGAATACACGCTTTTTATCGACAGAGTGCACCGTGTTCCAATGCTCTGTTGCCCACTTAGTACCGACTCATGAATTTTATTAAACACATTGTAAGCTTTGTTCCGAAGCAAGATGGATTCATCAATCTGCCAAACAATGGTGGCTTAAATACCTTGATATTCAATAATATTAGACCCTCCGTGATATAGTCGTTTATTAATCCAAGGTTCATGGACTATAACACATCGTCATACTGATCGTCAATGTTATTTTGATTTTCAATACAGTCTTCTCAACTGACATATATTGTCTTTCCCATACATTAACAAAGTTAACGTTTTTGCGGATAAATTCTTATGACAAGTGCATGTGATCAGAAATGCATTACACGATTTAGATAAATCACGTAATCTTATTGTTCTGTCATAATTCCTAACAGGATAGAACTTTTTCAGATTTTTATCCTCAGTTGAACAAAACTCATAACCTGGAATTTGCAGTCTTCAATTACATGGGCTTATATCACAGCAGACTGTCATTTATGCATATATTAAATGGAGATTTTTAGTTATTACTATTTATTGATGTGCTTGTAATTCACCGTTGTTTTATTGGATCGAATTGTTTGACCTCTGTTGGCATATAGGGTCCTATGCATATGCCTCGATATTGCCGTAATGTTAATTATGGTAATTTCGACTTCAAAAACTGTTCATGTCTGACAACGACGAATAAAAAATGACTCTATTGAAAAAAGAAACGCTGTAATCATATTCCTGGGTATACGGAAATAAAAATGAAACTGTTATTATGCAGTAAGTAAAAATATGTATTCATTAAATACCTCAGTTATTTGAGGTAGGTACAGAAGAAGGCTGTCTGACGAAAGCAAAGATAGTGCTCTTGTTGCCCAATGACGGATACCTTGATCAGCGACATCCGGTGACAGTAGACGCAGGACAAGACCAGGATAAGGCACTGGAGTTACCGTTAAAAGACTAAACAATACAGAAAAATAAATAAATAAATAATTGACTAAAAATTAAGCAGAATTGATGGGAGGCCAGATGTGGCTGTTTAAAATGTTAGTATTATTTGACTAGTTTCATGATTACAAACCTTTAAAACAAGAAACGGAAATATTGACAAGAGGAGGACAGACTGAAATAGTATATCCTCCGCTATTGTAGTAAAATATTAGTCTGTCCAGGAAGCTCTATAGACAAACATGATTGTGGTATTTTGCTTTGAATTATATATACGGCGGATATGTGAGGTAAATTTATACTCAAAATAACAAAAGTAAAGTTAGAAAAATATTAATGCCTAGCAACAATACTTTTAACGGATATAAAAATTGACAAAATGCATCCCAACTGTTTCATAGTCTTAAACTAAGTCAAAATAAATGTTGACGTTTCAAAGATACATCCAATGGAAACTGTCAGATTCTGAGTCCTTCAAATAACAGAAGTTATAGAGATTTGATTCAAATAGTATGAAAAAACAGGTCGAATCACTTTAACTAATTTGATCCGCCTTAGTATGAATATATTTCTACACACTCTACTATGAAGCACACTTTAATCATAGTTTTCCATCAGCCCATATCCTTTTGAACTCAAGAAATATTAAAATTGTGACATTCATTTTTACTTTTTTCTTGATCATACTCAAGTGTGAATAACTTAAGCGATCACTTAATTGCATGAGCTTACCTATCCAGTGCTTTACTAGGATATTTGGTAACAATACTCTGCACCTCATTTCGTATACATGATCTCATACAACTATCTACTTCTGAAGCGCATAATGAAACTTGATTTATTTTCATCAATGATCATGAAATCCACATGTTCCTTGATACAAAATTATTCCAAAGGAAAATTCTTCTAAATATTCTATTTTGACTGTCATTTTCTAAGAAGATGCCACATTATTTTCTGGATACTCAACAAGAAGGGAATATTCTGAAGACTAGGTTTCGAAATTTTCAGTTACATTTATACAATCTCAGAAAACCCTTATATTTGTTCAACTTCAGTTAGGTTTGGATGTTCAGCATTTAGTAGGAATTAATAGGAAGATAATAAACACATGTCGAGAAAAATTACTAAAACCTTGAACTAAGTTATAGCACTTCAGAAATTTCAATTCTGAATTACCCGGTACTGTAGTGACCAATGGCATGACATTGATTGTCATCCAGTGACCAATCAGTACGTATGATCTAGTTGTGCAGAATTTTAATCATAACTTCAACGGCCTACTTGCAACATCTTTAATTACGACTTTCAGTGCAAAGAATTCTATTCACTTGTTTTACATGTTTCGATCTACGGGGAAATACATGATTTATCACAATGGCTATATGCGTACATGAACAAGAACATAAAAGACAGACAGCAAAAAATTCAAACTACCTATACACTTCCTTTAGTAATTTGATCCAAGACCATTCTTGTGTGGCATTTTTTGAATTTTGTTTGGTAATTTGAGGCCAATTCACTAAACAGCTGATAACCAGTGCTATCATTGCCTCGGGTATATCACAAATAGAATGGCGTAAATTCCATAAAACTTCAATTGTTATTGCTGGTGGACAGGGCAGACAGCAGGTAACTGAATTGATGCTACAAGCTGGAATGTTGCTATTATTAATAATACCACTGTTATTGTTACTATTACAGTTAGAATTATTTCCATTACCAGCACCAGTGACCACACTACCGCTCCCAGAAGTACTGCCACCATTGATACTACTACCAAAAGAACTGTATTGATTAGAAGATGTAAGCATTGAATTCAGGGCTGCTAACTGTAATACAGGGATTGGTACATGTTCTCTTCGACTAGATCTATGCACAGATGATGATGCTGCACTATAGGCGATTAAAGAAGCATCAACAGATTTAAATGATAATTCTGGATTTAATGTTTGCAGTAATATTGCAGATTTTGCTTCAATGATTGACTGTTTTGCATCTGAACAAAGGGAGTTAAATGATGAAACTAATCTAAAATAGAAAAAAGATTCGAACGGAAAGTTCAACAACTAAACCATCATGTTATTATTTGCTTAGTAATGACTAGCAGTGGAATCTAGAAGGCGGGTTTCTTCCTTTTTCGGACGCATCAACCATATATATATGTACCTCAGTGAGGAATGATGTTCCCAATGAGATTAAAACCCACCGTTATCGTTTCAAACCCCAAAGTCATATCCACTAAACTACTGAGACATAAGAGATACCTCTAGGATGTCATAACTCGCGAAATACAGATGGACTCAACTGACAAGTCAAAAACAGCACAATATGAGGATCCTGAAGTTTAGTCCCAACTACCAGAAAGCAAATAATATCACAGTTAAGTTTAACGCACCATGTTTAGATATCCTAAGTGCTAAGAGCAGTCAATCAGTTGGGTCCAATGTAATAAACAACGGGAAATTATAAGCATCAGTAAATAAAAATAATCCATTAATCAGAAATAGGATGCATAAAATATACAAACATACAGTAGAGAAGTCATCATACTGAAGTGATTCGGATGATAATATCCGAAGCCGAACATAGATCATCTGCTAGCTTATAAGCCATACGCATACACGTATCGGCAACAGAAAACCAACACTATCAAAGCACATGATTCAGACTACATGCTGAATGATGAAGCTTGCAATGAGAAACATTCAAATTGATTCCATTTACGGAACTGACAAAATGAATATGAGTAGGATAATCACAAACGCATAAATTTTTCCACTGAAACTGTTGTCATCAGCAGGAACAATGATTTATTAGTTCATCACTAACTCCAATGGTTACAAAATCCGTGCATAGAGTGCTCTTAGGAACCTAGATTAATAGCTATATTGTATCACGGCAGTTACTGATGAGGTAGTAAGCAGTCAGTAAAGGCTAAAGACAGTTATTAAACGAAGCAATAATTAAGAGACTAAGTAACTATAAGTTATGAAGAAAACAACGATCACTGGATATATCAGTGGCTAAGTGGTAACGAGCTCACCACAAATCCTGGTGTTCGTGGCTTTAAACCTTGGCAAGGTCGTAGGTCCGTACTGCTGCGGAGTCACACACTAGGACGAGACAGCTGTTTACCGCATTCAAGTTTTCAATGCTTCCTCTAGCCGATACTAGCTTGCGATGACTACTACATTAAAAATATGAATACTATTATTTTTTAACCAATTAGTCGTCACTGTGACCGACCTCATATTCCTCCCATATACCCTTGGATTACACAATCTCTCCCTAACTCTAGAGATTATTCACTATCTCCTACGAGAATATTCGTTTTGATAACCTTATGTTGACCTATTAGCCAATAATAGACTTGATTGTCTGTCATTACTATAAATATTATTGTACATCTACTGAGAATGACTCTTCAAAATTCAAAGCATTTTTTTCTGGAAATCTTCTGTTATGAAACGAAATGTAAACGGAAATGGAGAGTTTCATCATAGGACAGCAATTTAAAATCACAAGAATTTAGTAGACAAGGCCTTCACTGTCTCGTAGTTAGTTAGGAGTCAAAACTTGAAGAAACAAACATTTGTAGTTGTTCCAATGGAAAGTTATAAACTGGGGAGTTAACTAACTGAGAACTATGACTATACGCATATTGGTTAAAGTCACATGATATTGTAAGTTAATTAAGGTTTGAAGATTTAACTGCTAGATTAAATAAGTGGATACGTGTTCAACGTTAAATTTGAACATCCTCAATTCCATCAATAGTGAACAATCTCAGGAAATGACTACCAGGATAAAGTAACAATCATATATTCTTGGATTTTTTTGTTTGGTTATTTAGATGATATCGCTTCATGATGGAATAACTATATATGAGTACGTCAATATCCTGGAGACTACTTAAATGAAAAGTATACAGGTATTAAGTACTCAAAAGTCATTAGAAAAAGATATCATCATCAGTAGAACAGACATCCACCAATATACTAGTGAGTTCATAATATTATCTATAGTTTCGTTAGTACGGGAGAAATACATATTACTTGCCTGTCACTAGTAGTTTCCAATGGACTTTCAAATTTGATTATGGGAAATTCAATCTCATATTGGTACTCGGGAAAACAAAGCTGAAATGAAAAAATACAATCGTGATGAATACCTCATATTTATATAACCGATAACTGCTCATTTCTCTCTTCCAGAAAAACGGTTATCCATGCAACTTCATCAGAAGATTTATGCCTAATTCGTCGTCAATAAAAAGAAGTTATCCTCGGTAATCAACTATCGGACTGTTTAACCTTACATGAAGAACATCTTAGAGGTGGTAACTACATTATTAAAGCCTTTTCGAAACACTGTTGCTCACAAACTTACAAAATCTCTTCACTCATTATTATGCACGCCAAAAAATGAAACAGCGAAAGAAATTAAACCAAACGTTATCTACAAAATAAACTACGGAAACTGAGGAAAATACTACATAAGACAGAGTGGTCGCCTTCTTCATATTTATCCACATAAGTATCAGCCAGTAGTGAAGCATCATGACGTATTTTCGCTCATACCAACACATACAGACAATTGTGAACATGAATTCGAATAGAAAACAATGATAAGAGTTTGGCACAAATAATCAATAACTCACAAGGCCATCATGTTAAGCTAATAAGCCAATCATAGAAAAAAACTTATAGCCCACTTCTTCCCGAAGTTTGTGTTGACGACGTCGTCTAGAATGACAATGAAAGCTTCACGATTAAGCTATCCACCTCAGAAAACACAACACTGTAAAAACCATTTCAGTACACGAAGTAATGGTTATATAGCGATAAATAACTCATGAAGTTTGGCTAATTGGGACAATACATAATGATGTAGTGACGATAATAATATGTGCTTATTTGTTTGACTGTCAGAATGAAAGTGATAGGATAAAAGGACTTTACCTGTACAAGTGGACAATCCGGTGATGTATTAGACTGAGACCAGGTGGGCCTATAATCATGCATAAATTCAGATGGTGGCCAAAGACCAACAACTGCTGTGTTTTGCTTCAATCGACCATTTATATCGAATAAAGGAAAATTCACCCAACCGACTAATGTTCCATCAACTATAAGGAAAATATATTAAAAATAAAAAAAATGTATATAAAGTGGGAAGGTACATTCATCACAGTTCAGTTATATTTACAATGAAATCTTTTTAGTATATGAGAAACCCAACAACAAAATTCACACAAAAATGAATGACTTATGTCCTTGAAAATTCTATTACATAATGAAAAATTAATAAAAGTTGATTCAGTGAAGAAATTTTTTTTTCCAAAGAATCATTTTTAAAAGTTGTACATCGTTATCATACTTGTAGCAATATATATGCATCAGTGGCTAACAGGTCAATACAATGTCACCAAAAAGTCAATAAAGTCATAAAGTGATAACAGCTAGAGGGTTAAATCAAGGTCATCAGAATTTGGTTATAGAATTATAATAAATAAACAAAGAAATGAATACACCGTCAAAAGAACATTATGAACAAGGTAAAAATGGAGACTGAATGTATCCTTTTTGAACACAAAGAGGAGGCTTGTAATGCTGGATTGCTAGAGCGTCTGATGTGTTGACTTAGAGAATACGTTCTCGTTTCAAAATGTCTGCCTTCACTTTGAAAGAAGACTCTCATGGAGCACAGTGAACAGAGATAACTAAACGTTTAAGAATCCAGCTGTTGACGGTTTTACACTGTCAATTAGGATAGCCATGTAGGCTAGTGTTTGGAGATAGGTTTGGATAGATCACGCTTGGTGCAGCCTATTTAACCAGCTTCACAAGAGCAGATGATTTGGTGAACACATATGGAGGTGGTCCAAAAGCGGGAGTTTATCCTTTACACACCCTCAAACAAGTTGTTGATTGCCGAAAAAAAATCCGAAGCTGTGCGGAATCGTAGATCTCTTTAAGTGCTTTGCAGGACCAATTCTTTACTATCTCTGCCAATGTATCTTCCTTGAATCCAATATTGATAAAGCGTCTTCTTTGTAACCGTAGAGCCTTCCTCTTTGAAATTCTTAGGCCTCATGTTCCTGTCATGGAATATTCAAGGATAACCGTTATTGATAAACACTCTTCGAAGTACTTCCAGCTTCTCATTTACTGTATTATCCGTATAAATTCTTCTAATTCGTGCGCACAGTGAAGGAATCAGGTTTCTTTTCCTGACTAGTAGAAGCCAACTTTGAAAATGACAATACTGACCATCCTAAGTTTATTTCTGTAAATCGATCTCCTTAGAGAACCATAATGCATTTTTCTCAATAGAACATCCAGAAAATGAAATTCTGAATTATTTCCAGTTTCCATGCAAAGTTAATTGAATTTCGACATTCACTGAACTTTCGTAGTATTTCTTCAAGGTTACTATGTTCCTGACAGGTGATGAAAGTGTCATCCTTGTGTCACTTATATAGATAGAGCTGATAGGTCAAAGAAAGTAGTTTAATGTTCTCCAGATTACTCATAAAGCAGTCAACAAGGAAAGGAACCAGTGGTGAACCCAATGCCACTCCCTCCTTTTGTCGATAAAGCTAATTATTGAATCTAAATTGTGTATAAAAAAGAACATCGTAAGAGCCATTGCTTAAGATAATGTTTGGAAATTTCAACTTCAAGCCTGTTGATCTCAAAATAATCCCAAAGAGAGCACGTTGTTTTCGTCAAACAGATGTAACGTTCAATAACAACATACTCCTACCACACATGTTGACATCTTTTACGCAGTTGACAAAGTCGAAGGAGTCAGGAGTACTGTAATTCATGATCTGATTCTTCAAGGCTGAAGATATTCAGTTAACTATTTAGTAATCCCTTGATACCGTGAATTATTCATTTCAATAGTTGGAAGAGGAGGAATATTTTTTTATGAACTTTGAGAAGACCGTAAAGTTGAGAAATTACTCAACCAGATGGTTTCAGTCTGTAAAACAGCTTTGTGCTGATGATTGATTCGTCTTTCAACTTCTTCAAAACTTTTGTCAGTTTTTCTTCTGTTTGTTCTATTACATCTTTTTGAAACGCTTCTTTTGAGAATTCACTTTCGTCTGCTTGTAAAGAGGACAGTTTATCAATAGTCTTTCTCCTTCGAAAGTTCGTTTGAATAGGCTTTATGTTCCTAGAAAATAGTCTCCCAGTATTTGGTTTTGCATTCATGTAATGAAGGTAGAAGTTAAAAAAAGTTTATTTAGATTGCTCGAGACTTTTGTCGAAGGTTAGGATCAGATCGTTTTTACTTTCGAACTAAACTTTAGTATCAAGCTCATTTTAAAGAAGTTGAAATGACACAAAACTTAGGGACTAACGAAAGTATTTGCAACCGAATTGCCTACAAAGTTACATCAGGATAGTTAAATATATATTTTTCAGGATTTTTAAAAAAATAGGATTGAAAATCTGTTGCTTTAGGACTTTTCATAAGCTTTAAGTTTACATCTTCTCAGCTACTTTCCATGATTTTATTTGTATAGTCTTTGGAATTTTCTCATTCATTGTTTGATAGTTGACATAATGCATGCTCTGTTATTGAGATATGGCGCTCAACTTTAGGCAATCTAGATTTTATCTCATTGATGTAATTCAGGGTACCACGATTTGGATGGTTGTGATTACAACGCAGACTTTTCCAGTATGCTCTCGGATATTCGCATTTCTGTATACAACGTTTCAAGATATTAATTCTTGTATTCACTATAGTATTTATTGACTATGCGTATGCATCAACCGTCATCAAAGAAAATATGCTTGACTCTTGGATTATTTTAATGTCAGCCAAAAGAAGAATTGGCTGACATGCTAACAAACGTAACGAAACTAACCCCTCTACAGGATAAGTTCTCATAATGATCATATGCAACAGTCCAGCGAAGTAAATCTAATTTCAAATGAGACATCTAGTCAGCAAACAGAAGGCATCTGGTCAACAGATATATTAACCAAATTTTCAGTTGAGGACAATAATAGCTTAATATTTCCTAATCCCGATCGCTAAATCTAACACAACTCCTGGTCCTACATCCATATAATCTAAATTGGTAATGCTAAAACTAATACAAAGTGTATTTCAAGTTTGTAGTTAGGTATGTCTTTGTTGGTCACCGTTATAACCGACGTCTCTACATACAGTGACTTTCCGAGAAAACAAGAATCATACATATTATCACAATATTTCTTATATTAACTGAGTGGGACAAAACATTTCGTTCAGAACATCATAGTGAAACAGGCTGAATGAAATATTTTCTTACTTATATTTTCTATCATGGTATTGATTGGAAACAAAGTTTAGGAAGCCACGTTTTCCATTATTATTCATAAAGCATCTAAGTGAGCTAAAAAGTCAATTATCTTATGAAGTTTGAATCAACCACCTTTTTCACAGATACAACTCACATATGAAATAAATTCTACAGTTTTAACTCAATCAAAGGGCACGAACAAGTATGAAACACTTAAATAAGTATTATTGATTATCGTCTACAACAGTCATCATTAAAGTGAACAAAAATGTTGGATTCCACAAGATTGTGGCGAGCAAGCTTCTTTAGTGAACCATATTAATCGCCAAATCATTCCCAAAACGAACAAACTTACATGTAGATGCATGAGGAAATTCAAAAAATAAAATATAGTGATTACAAATAATATCATGCTTACTAACCATCAGAATTTTCAGTATTCAACTTTTTACATAAGAATAAACTGATTGTTAACATTGCTTCCCTTGGTAGTTGACTGATTGCAAAACCTGTGTTTTTAAACAAATAAACAATTGTAATATGTATGAGGAAACTGAAACATGATGAGTGAGTGCAGAAAAGCGTATTATTGCCGAATCGATGGAGTACAATAAACTTCCAAAATATATGAATGAAAAATGCAATGCGCTCAGCAACGATGTTTAGTTTATTTTTTTCGCCTACTTACGAGTAGTCCGATTATCAAGGCCAAAAATCTGGAGAATGGTAGAAAATCGTACATAGGAACAAAATTAACTCTGACTGAGGCTGACATTTTGTGCCTTGTTGTATGTACGGAGATGTGCATTAATGAAAATGATCCCAAAGGTCGCAATCATTCACTAACAATTTCCTATACAACCACACATCCCGAAAAATTGAACAGCATAACATTAAGTCCTGCAAAAGTCGTGAATGTCAACGGACATGCCTACACTCCATTTCATCTTATAAATTAATAGATATCACTTCGATTTCCAGTTCTCCTTGGATAACATTTGAACACTACTGAGCCGTTTTATTAAAAAAGATGTCCCTTGAGCATGACTGAAAGAATGCTAAGCTGTAATCGACCCCTAAGTTTCAAACCTCTACCTACACCTAATGATAGTGGATAAAATTGAAATCCCGATAAAAATACACGTTTTCTCAAGAACTTCGAAGGACTGCAGGAACAGTAAAAGGGTTCAGTGCACATTTGCATTCTCTGTCTTCATTTCGTTCAATTTACTCTATGAAGTTGACGATAATGGCATGAACTTTAGTCGACTGAGATGGACTGGATATGTACTGCGCATGTCAAGCCCCAATCTAGTGGCTGAGGTCTCTTGGTGACATGGCTGTAGGTTGGTTAAAATGGCTCAGGCATATACACTCTTTTATGTCTTCTAAAGGTTGAATATTCACATTAACCATTATCTTCATATTATTTATTCTGCGATAGAAATTTGTTTACTTTGATATCACTCTTTTCCTCTCCGCCTGTTTTTTGTATACTACTGTGAATTGCGACAGCTTGAACCGATTCACTTATGTGCAATGTTGTCCGTTGATCTTATCTGTCTCCCTGTCATTGAGATTGATGAAATCGGGGACAGCGAATAAGAAGCGTTACCTCCGCACATATTCAAATGAATGACAGAAAACAGAACACATTTTATAAAGTCACTTATTCATATATTTATTCTATATCTGATATTAAAAGGGAAATGAGTAGATATCTTATTTCAGTGTCAAAAAGCGATCATGAAAACACACTGCTTCTATCATGTGAAAAAGAAAAGAACATACTTGGGAATTTAAACCACTGATCGAATTGCAATACTTTAGGAAATCCAGATTGTATAGTTTGATAACGACCAGGATCACTAATAAAATAATCTCTAGTGTGCTTTTGCTGGCTATCAACGGATAGTGTATGATTATTGGCCCAATGATATTCTTTTGATTGATGAATATAAGGCGATGAAGTATAACAATTACCAAATGAATTTGTGCGATAATTGGATAATTCACTGGGATATACCTTACCCAATGGTCTACCAGCATAAAGCAGACCAATACGTACACAATAATAACCATCTGTTCTGAAAAATATTCATAAATGTACAAAAGGACGTAGAAAAAAACAACTGGAAAGAATTCTTGTAGTAAACAAAAATACGTACGTAGAAATCCCTAAGGTATAGGATCTATATTTCTAGCTTATTGACAAAATCCTATTAGTGTGATGCAAGATAAATGAGGATTGAAAATGCGAAATCATCGCGAAGATAACAAGAGTTCACTAGATTTGAGTGTCACTCCCAGTTATAAAACCCAAAATTTCAAGAGCTATAGCCTCAATAAAGTGCAGCTCGACGGTTTCTGCATGGATTGCAACCGCAATTCATTCAATTAAAAATTGAGTAAATAATAATGATAATACAATTCGACCTGGTAAAGGTCTAGGCTGCTTGGCTACTAGCTACACATATCATTAGTTGGGTGACGGCACTACTCATCTGACAGGTTGAAATGAGTGGAATGATTTTTAAACCACAAAACGTATTCCTCAAAAGTTAGATGGTTGATTCCATAAGGTTTATATCCCTTTTGTTCCTCATGAGTATATGTCATGCTAGAGTAAACATCACCTGCCCACAAAGATTCGTATCCATCTGTTAGGCAGATGATAAGTGGTACCGATCGGTCCGTCAATCTTAATGTTTCTATGTTACTGCGACTATTCTACAGTGGCTGCGAATAAAAGTAATTATATAACATTACTGATCCTAATGAAACTTTTTAGTATTGCTGGACTGCGTGAACATGCAGATTAAAAATGCAATTTTCTCTCTTCTTCAAAAGAGGTGGGGATTCGACTACTGGTTAGTATAAATGACGAATTCCAGTTACAATACTTATTAATTCTATACTACTGAAATCATACATAAATATAATCGGATCTTCAACCAAAGTGTTCACCATTTTCGCTGAAGAGAACTGTATCATCTGGGTATTTTATACTGACCAGGCGCTTGCATCAGAGTAAGGTAGTCACTGAGAAGTCGTACTTAGATTTTTATCCCTTAAAAAAGTGTATAATTAGGCTGTTTGCGAATGGATGTAATTGACCGAAGCCGTTTAATATCGTTACTTCAGATTAAAACTCTCTGTAAATCCTTAAAAGGTTGTATGAAGTCAAACAGGAAATCTTAACCCGGATTATATATTTATTTGGTACTACTTTCGCAGGTAGATAGTAATGACAGAATCAAATATGGCCTTCGGGTTAGAAGTATGTCAAATGTCAGGTTTCAGTTACTGTCTGCACGACGAAAACTGTTGAAGAGTGAAGGTCTGATCGACGCACTTTCATCCAGATCTGAGACCTGCCTGGTTCCTTGAAGTTAGCTGTTATTCAGTTTTCGTCAAGTATCGGATCCTTACGACAGCAAGAAAATTAGAGACTATGTGAGCCAAACTGATTCTCCTATGACGTCATGTAATCAACTATATGGAGCAGTCTGCTTGAAATACATCTGATTCCTCATTTACTCCACTTGTTAGTTTCCTGTCGCAATCCTTACAACTTCTGGTAATCAGGGCCTAAAATCTGCTACTTTGTATCTTTTTAGACTGAAATAAGTGTCTCAACTTCAATCAAAGTTAGAAAAATTACATCTGCAACACGATCACGTTCAGGATGGATACTGAGCAACTGAAGTGTGGTTGTAGACCAGTTGAAATGATCTTTAAATTTTCGCATTAACATTCCAGCCACCTATTCTGAGGATATAAGGGACCCAATCTTTTCTTTTTCATGATCTGCATATACTCTACAATGATGACTACAATAATGTAAGCTTAACAATGAAACTGTCCTGTTCATGGAATGTGACACTATCAATATCACTTTCATGACCTATATGTAGTGTTCATCATTTAAAAAGCTGAAATTTGATTAGTAACACTTATAAACAACTCAGTCTTAGACGTCCGTCCGATAAAAACTTTAAAAGATTTGATATTAATTCACAAGAATGATAATGAATACTTAATACTGCAAGACAATATGGCTAATCTATGACATATTGATCTGAAAAACTCTACTTCCGTGAATCACTAACCCAAATAATAGTCCATCTGCTGAGACCTGAAATGCCAGATATTATCGTTATCCTTCATGCAATAGCTCACTGTCTGCTGCACGGACATGCATATGGTTGGTAAGTACAGTTCGATTTTGAGTCAAAGTGAATGATATTTGTCAATTTTAAGTCGTTTTACACAATAGATATCGACTTTCATCATTCGAATATGATGAAACTGGTAGTGTTTAAAGCCCAACCTGAAAAGACCATCACATATGTCAATAGCTTAGCAGTTCAACGTTTTGCTTGAACATACAGCAAATTAAATTTTTAAAAATATATACATGGTAATAAATGAAAGCAATAAAACGACACTGGCTTTTCTTTTACCTTGTTGAGTTATTTACAAAGGCAGATTGACTAGTAGATGAACTGGATAAAGCTGAGGTTGTGTTTGTATTATTCCCGCTCATAATTGAATTGTAAACTCCAATTGTTTTACGAGGAGGTGGATTGTGTATAGCAATTAAACCGATGACTACAGCATCTGGACAGTCAGAAGAACTTTTTATCTCCCTATCTTGTTCACCTGAAAAGAATAAAGACTGATATCAATCTATGATGAACACCAACTTGAAATCAATAAATCCCCACAAACATCAAGTTGAATCGATCTAGTGCTCATTAGTAACTAGCTTCGAGAGAGGTGACTCTTGAAACTCCAATGAGAAGTTGTGACCAGTGGGGTAAACTCGGTAGCCATGAGGACAAATAAATATTCAACGATGATATTGGGTGATGTTCGGGCTGTGTCATGAACCAACAGAAGCCGGAAATATTAAACACCGTATTCCGACCCAGTGGCTCAATGGTAACGCACTGGCCGCGGAATCTTAAGATCCAAGGTCTGGTATTCGACAGGGAGGGGTCATGGGTGTCCACTACCGAGAAGTCCCCAACCAGAACGAAGCAGGTGTCTACTGCTTCTAGGTTTCAAATGCTTCTCCAACTGATATCAGTCCACGATGAATATCAACTAGGAAAAATTTACAGTTTTATCGTTTAAGGATTGATTAGTTCATGGATAGAACAATGATTTTAATACTATGTCATATTATGGTGTATATTTACAACCTAAATTTTCGACATCCTGCTTTTTCAGTAGCAGTCAGGATTGAGTTTTAATAGGGACTATTTATGAAGATTTGAATTTCGCTGCCGATGACGATTTATGTCTAATGTCTTGTCGCACAAACTCAAAGATCTACAGACGGAAACCAACAAGTTGACACAAGAGGCACAGCAGCGAGAAAGAGACTTCAAGTGAATGTAGAGGGGACGGAGGTGATGAAGATACCCAACCAACAACATCACCAACAACAAGCACCAATCACCATCAACGGGAGAAACCTACAGGAAGTTGTCTCTTTCACCTACCTACCTATGCAGCATCGTTTCAACTGCAGGAGGCGGCGGCAGCACAGATCAGGACGTCAAAGCCAGAATCAGAAACACAGCAAGACAGACCTTCACTAATCTGAAATCAGTGTGGAGATCTACTGCACCACACTCAGCATAAAGCCTGAACAACATCCAGATTTTCAACACCAATGTCAAATCAGTGTTTCTATGTGACGGTTCAGAAACTTGGCGTGTCACGAAAAGCATTTCCAACAAACTACAGGCATTCATCAATAGCTTTCTACGCTCGTTGCTGAAGATCAGATGGCCAGAACAATAGGAATAAGTAACATGGAACTCTGGCTAGTAGAGAACCAACCAACAACCCATCGCCCAACAAATATGCAGAAGAAAGTGGAGATGGATTGCATTTGATATACACTGAGAAGACCATTTGGGGACATCACAGACCAGGCTAAGCCCATGAGTGGAACCCAAAGAGGAAACGATGAGTTGGGTGTCCGAGGATGACATGGAGAGATCTCTTGAGGTTCAAAAGACTGCAGAAAAGAGAGTGAAATGGCGACGTGCTACTGAATCCTTATGTTCCACTATGAACTCAAGGGACTAATAATAATAGCAATAATGATATGATTATGACCAATAAATCCTACATAAAACGTCATTTAGTAAATTCTACTAACTCACTGTGTGCTATATCAATTAGAATAATCTAATATGGAATTACATTCCACCACAATGCCCAGATTCTATATTTGCAGTAATGCTGCGAACTCAATCTGCGGTATTCAAAATAATTAGTTTGGACACTGTTAAGCGTAAAGGCTTGTTAAAGAACTTAATAGTAATAGCTTTTTTGTCGACACAACGATGATAAAGCCTACAGATCTATCTTCCTATTCAAGCAAAGGCTGATTCAGTCGTTAACATGGTCTTTGAAGCTATTTGGTGGATCACTGCTAACCTCAAACTTATATTTCCTAAACCCAGGCCTGAATTTTCAAATGTATAAGTGTGCTCTTTTTGATGAATGGTTTCGTTTCCTTTGAGTGGTTTTCCGTGTGAATAGTCTTCACTTAGTTCGCAAATTTGCTTGTTGGCGAAAGGTGGCTACCATTTTTGATTGTACTCCGTTTTCAATTTATTGTTTCCTATTGTTGATCTTCATGTTTCGTTTTGCCTTTGAAAATATAGCGTTCTACCCAAAGGAAGCGCCAAAGTTGAAGGTTATTATTCGTTAAGTCATTCGTTAAAAGTACTGATTTTGAATGAATCCTTAAAGTTTTAGATTTCTTGGGTTTCAGTATGTGATATCTTTTCGATTTTGTTATCGTCGTTTGTTGTTAAACAAATGACTTTCGTGCAACAATAAACTGAAATGACTTGTACCTATTGTAAGTTGAGTAGTTAAGGCATAGCTTAGTTATGCTAAGAATCAATTTGAATGACATTATTTTATTCAGACAAAAAATACAATACAACAAATGCTATAGCCAACAGTGCTAAAAGTCTGTTTGACCTAAAGTAACAAGTTTTCCGTAACCTATGTACAACTGTACTGAACTAGCGAGTGCATTCGCTCAAACACTCGACAGTCATGTGTATAAATAACTCAAATAACTTATGAACATATAGGATATGAACAATGAACAAAGAAGATAAAGTATTAAATCGTCCATGAAATACAAAGAACCTAGGAAAGGTTTCAAAAAATTTAGTTAGGATTTTATAGGCTTACATTCCTAAGTGATTTGTCTAGAAGACATATAATGACTTTTACTTAATGCTCACATCGCAAGAAAAAAAAAGGATAGTCAGATTCACCCTTAGGATACTCATTATCTATTCTGTAGTTTGGCAGACTTTCGATCAACAGCATACAACAGAAAACACATTTACTTTAGTGGCGGAATGAGTTGAATATTGAAACCATTTCTTTAGCGGGCATAATGAAGTACTTCTTCTGCAGAACTTTATCATTTTACAAGAAAACTAGAGAATCATATTCTCAAAACCAAATAACTGGTTAGAAGTCAAGCTGCCTACGATGGTGTCTGTTAGCAAGTTTGCTACTTACCATATTTACTACAATACCACAATCAGTTAGGCATTATAGAGAATAATTTTATCAGAACACTCGTAAAAAAAACGAAAAACAAAAATATAGAACTATATTTTGCTTTCGATAATACCATGTGATATAACTCAGTAGTGGATGCAATTCAATTCACTCACGAGGTGGAAAATCAACAACAAGAATTACCCATGTTGGATTCAAGAATAAAACAAAGGACAGATGGTGGTTTCGATACTACAGTCTACAGGAAAACCATACATTCTAACAGGTATCTAAACTTCAAGTCATCTCATACAATGTCAGCTAAAGCAGGCTTAGTCAAATGTCTCAATGACACACCTACACAACTCACCAGTCATTGTAAGGAATTAAACAAGAAATTGAAACACATAACAGAGGTGTTATCAGTTATTAATTTCCCTACACCATTTATTACAGAGAATTAGTACAAACACATGAGAAATGAAATCACAACAACAATACAAATACAAATAATGACGACAACATGAATCGAAATAAGTTCAACGACTCCATTGTGTCATCAGATAACCAAAGAACATCAGAAACTTTACGTAGAATTCTCAATACAGCTGGAACTAGGGGGCCACTTAAACCCACAAACTCACTCAGAGAGAAGTTTTGTCAGCTAGCTTAACAATCCCATAGGACCAATTCAGCAAAATGATCATGCAAAGATTGTGAGGTCAAGTACATAGGTCAAACTAGTCGGTTGTGGTCAGTTCGATTAGCATGACATAGAAATTCAGCTAAATATCGAATGACAGACCCCAACAAGATCAGTAATCTAGAAAAACACTCAGCTACTGCAATGCATGCATTAACACATAACTACACAGTAGGCTGTAGTAGTGTGATTACACTGATATGATTATGAGCAATAATTTGTGTTCGAAACGTCATCAAGTATATAATATTATGCCACTGTATGTTATAAATCCAATAAATAAATCTAGTATGTATTCATCATAGACTGACATCAGTTGGAGGAACAATGGAAACCTGGGAGTACTGGAGAGCTGTTTCGTCCTAGTCTAGGACCCCTCAGCAGTGCACACCCACGACCCCGCCGGGGATCGAACCCGTGACCTCCAGGTTTTGTGTCCTGCACGTTATCATTGAGCCACTGGATCGGAATCCAGTGGTCCATATTTCCAAGTTCTGTCAGTTCACGACCTAGTGTGACCGCCACCACGCAACGTCGTCGCTGAGTATTTGTTCTCACCGACATGATTATGAGCAATAATTTGGGCTGAAAACGTCATGAACTAAATAATACTGTACCACCGTGTGTTATAAATCAAATAAACAAATCTAATATGGAATTACATTCTACCACAGTGCCTAAATTTTAAACTTACATAACTTTTCGACTTGGAGATCATCGAATTGCATATAATCTGTTAACAGGACAGCTTTCGGTCGTCCAGTTTTATGATATAATTGTTCCATATTAGGAAAACTGATTGAACAACTGCTATCATCATTATCATTATTATGTTGAACTGTATGATTATTAATAAGCTGCGGCTTAACGGATATGCTAACTTGGCGCCAGATAAAAAATGCATTCAACTGACTGAGGAGATTTTTATTCAATGATAATATAAAATTATGTAATTTTTTTCTCGATTGAGGCTTTATATCACGTTTCAAATTGACAAGTGTTTTGTTTAAATTCTTATTTGGTTGAAAATTGTGTATAGATAATGATGAAGGCTGAAACAGATAAAAGAAATTAGCTAAATAGGTGATTTAGGATCCTTGTACAAATATAGCGAGTCCATAAGGCGAATCACTCACTCACTCATTCACTCACTGAAGGATATATCGTTTTGTTCGTATATTATCAGAAATATGCTTCAAGTCGGAATCGAAACCTAGTCACATCATAGCTGAGTTTCCTAGCACACTCAGGAGAATACCAAGCGTATAATACAAAGAATATCAGCTTTAAATATAAATGTTAAGTAAGTATCATCTCAACACTAAGATTAGCCTATTAATCTAAGTTTACTTAATAAACCGTAGTTAACAAATAAGCAATCATAAAGGAAATGAGAACCTGAAAAATAAGTCCTTTAGTCGAAGTTCAGTCAGGTTCAGTCTTGCAATCTAATGCTTTTACAACTGAAATATGAATGTATCAAGTGGTTAGGCAAATGTGAAGTATGATAATTAACTATTCAGTGCGCCCAAGATGACGTTGACATATCTTCTCGTTTTTCAATGGCCATTAATTCAACTGGGTACTACATTATACAAAGTGTCTAATTTTACATTTGACTATCAATCTTCAAACTTATGCAACCTCTTGATGTGTTTCTATTCCTGTTATAAAAATATTTTCCATAGACATTGTGCTTCATGAAAAGTTGACGAAAATAGGTATTTGTTCAGATTTTCATTCTCTTAATCATACAGTAAGTATATTTCATGTAAATAAGTAGTCATTATTGCAAAAGAAACCAAGAAACGCTTCTAATTAGAACGATTCCCAAAAATATTCATACACACACTAGAACTTTATTCTCGATGGTATAGAAACTGCACGCAGCTTCAAAAGCAAAAGGACTTAAACTGTTGAAAAGTAACAACTGAAAGAAATACTACGATAACATTCATGAAAGTTAGTGAAGATAGGATGTTTGACTTTTTCTGCCTGTTTACTTTCCATTACAGCTCCTAAACGAAATAAAAACAGTTTAGGCAGTCAAGTGAATCTCCCACACACAGGGAAACATGATACATCTACCCTACAACTGCATGTAAATATAAAATGTAGACGTGAAAAAATAGATATAAGAAAATGAAAAATACGTGGTTCAATGAAGAGTTTCTTTTCAAAATAGGAATTCAATTATATTTCTTGCTACTCACATCCACAGTATTTACAGTTCAGATTCTATAGATGAAGAGATAAGCATTCTAATGAAACGTTTGGTCGAAAACGAATATCCACCACGGTTCGTAGATAAAAACATTAAACCAAAACCGCTAAAACAAGATTCAGATTAACTTCAAAGGTGATCGAGTTGCTGACATCCTTAAGAGAAGGATTTCAAGTTCACTGAAGGGAATTGTCTTTGCACCAACCTTAGTTGTAGTGTTCTATACTTACCTTTTACTCGGCAAAAGCCTGAAAGACAAGATCGTGTATCTGGCCACTTCTATATGTGTGTATGAGTTTACCTGTTCCTGTGAAGCCGTGCACATCATTCGTTCGAAAGGGTTCAAGAACACTATGCTGTATGGATAAAAAGGGGTAACAATGGATCTATAAGAAGTGCGATAATGGAGCACCTAATCGACACTGGTCATTTAATTTCAACTACTAAAGCTTTCAAAGTTACTTACAAGATGAAAGTAAAACTCAGTGCACCTCCACATCTTTTGTATTCCTGAAGCTTTAGAAATTCAGATAGAAAAGCTGAAACTTTGCATACAAAAGAGACATGTTCAAACATTGTTCCTCTCATGGTCTTAACTTTTGACGTTTTTTATACGTTCTCCCCCCTTCTTCTAACTCTTCGGTACATTCATATAATCAACTATTTCTTTTTTTATATACCTATCCTGATTGCAACAAATAAATCAACATTTCGTCATATTACTCAACTCACTACTCAAACCTATTCATCTTGACTTCGATGACATCTTGACTAATACTCACAAATCTGAACAACCCTGCATTTTATGTCAGGACAATTCAACTTTTTCTCTTGATTACTTTTCAATATTCATAAACATTTTGAGTAGTTTACGATGGAAATCATATTTCCGTTCTATATGTATCACTTTGTTACCAAGCCTAACAACGCTTTCAAACATGAAACAAATTGTTCATTCTCACCAAAGAACAAATTGTGAGGTCGCCGAAAAGAGCCTCTTTGCTGAACCACTTACTTTTCATTTTCATATACATCTTTATGCGGATCTTTGGAGAATAAGGAGACATATCTCTCGCGGTTAAAACTCAAGTTCTTGATATTCATCAACTATTAGTTCACATTTATGATGCAAGTAGAACTTTCTTTCTATCACCCTATGCATACATTCAAATGCTGCCACTATGGTAGATGATAACATAATAACTCAAATATAGTCGCAGCTAAATTACCTACTAACTAAAATTATCAAATAAATATGTCAACTGCTGCTTTGCTTTATGATGTAACTCATTGCAGTAAATTCCCAAATACTGGAAAATATTCAAAAAAATATTCACTTTAGTATCTATTCACTGTCTTGTGACCATTGGTGTGACAGCAGTGATAGATAGTGGCTAGTAGTGGAATCCAGGATGCGCGTTTCGTACTGTTTGAAACTCGTCAGCAAGATGTGCCTACATTTTATACTAGAAACCCCAAACTTTGAGTCTAAACCCTCACCTGTAGTATAACATCTAACCTTATCAAAACCAAAAATGAGTTACTGCTCTGTCAACTCAGATCATCCAGGTCAGCCTTAAAAATCTTGACAGAAAGTCATATTTACATTCCTAGGAAAGATTACGCCCCAAAAGGTAGAATACAATTTTAATCAACGGTTGATCAAATTTTCTGACATCAGGAAATGTAACTATACTTTGAGCATCAGTCTGGAAAACACTCCTGAACTCAGATAAGTAATACTGAAAGATTAAATAGATTCATCTTGTGTAAGGCCAAACATTAATTTTTCATACTCGTACAATACCCATGAATGTGAGACAAAGAAAGCACACAATAGCGTAACCAGGTGGGAGTAATATGCGTGATCGACTGTATCCAAGACCCGAGACCGGTCACTTTAAAAGCCAGAATGGTCGTGTGAAGTGATAATTTTTCATGTTTTACTCACAGATGCACTTTGCACTTAATAATTCCTACAAGGCTAAACATATAAATATTGAAGTTCAACACTGCTGAACATATGAGAAAAACAATGTGAAAAATGACTTCAGAAAAAAGTGCTTTTGGATCATATATCAGACAATAAATACTCAAAGTTGAGAAATTTGTGGCAGTGTATTCCAAAACATCTACTTGACAATAGATACCTTACGGTTAGATGTGATTATTCTTACTTCGAGGTTGGAAGCTTCGATGAATAAGCATTCCAAATTATTTCAACACCTTACTAAATAACTATTCACAACTTTTTCATGATTGCTGTATGAGAAATGAAAGACACTTTGGAAGGGAGGAAATCTGTATAGAAACGAATTTCAATAGCTAGTCATTAACTATTGTTTTTCATGCAAGCTACAATCAGTTGAATCACAACAAATGGTTGAATAGTATGAATACGAAATGGGGTACAGAGTAAATATATTTGTACAGACACAAGCTAATAAAAAGAATTCTAAACAACCATTCTTACTTTAGTCTGTTTTCGTCTAATAGATGAAAACCAATTTTCTTGCGTTGTATTACCATTACCACCAGTAGCGTTGTCATTATTGCTATTGTTGCCATGACGCTTTACTCCGACTACTTTATGATTCAAACCAATATCATATATAATATCCATAATACAAACTTGTACATTTCCCAGTGCATTGATTACGTCAGAAAAAGCTATTCCATAGCAAACAGCTGTTAGTACAGCTTTCACTGACTGACTTAAGCTTGAAGTGGTGCAATGAACTTCTTTCAACCAGGTTTCACTGTCAACCTAAAATATAAGTTTTATAAAAGCTACATAATCATGTAATCAAGTTTATAATGAGTAATTGTCATCTTTAAATAGTTTACATTCTGAGAACAGCTGATAGCGAAGCTGGATATCACTTGGAAAATCACAAAAAAATAATAAAAATAGATTACTAAGCGTATATAAATATTTACCTGGATTAAAACTTATAACTTCTCAATTGAAAGTAACTAACACCTTTTAAAGTTAAATAACCCTGAAACTTACATTCATGAAAACTTCAGTTCATAAACTTAATGGTGATTTCATCTTAATGATCATGTAAGAGCAAGAACTCTGAGATGATAAGTCTGTGATGGCCAGGTGTTGATAGGCTTTCGTCTAGCATGTAAGCACGTTGTTTCAGAGAGGTGCTTACAAGAGTATGAGTTTAGTAGTAGTAACCATACAAATCTAGAAGGGGAAACATGAGGCGAAAAAAGATGGGCCAACGACTCAGCAAGTACCGACCGGACTAAGTATTGTCATATATTTGTGAAATTTTTTTTCACTTTTCAAAAAACTAAGAGTTCTGAGTTCAGAAATACAATAAGCTAATCCCATAGAGAGGATAAAATGATAAATTTCTCATAGAAAAATGGTATACTGTCGACACCATTATCATGTGTTACATGTATACAACTCTTACACTCTTGGTCAAATAATTTCAGACTTAGTGAGTGAATAGAATTCGCCTTCATTTCATTCAGCATTATACCCATTTTGTAGACTTCATTTTGTCTCCAAGTTTAACCCCAATCAAATAGTCAATACGAGATGATAAATGATGAATCATTAGACAGGTTTTATGTCATTAAATATCTCAGTGTTATCATTACACTTGTTATGTTTATAATTTCCACTGTATAATTCATAGACATACATACAATAACAAAGTGGAAATGGCTTACATGTGTATATACAATGAATATTTCAGTTGATTCATATTATTAAACTCGTATGCTTTACCTTTTGTTTAACTGAAGTTAACAACTACAATTCAAATGTTGTTAACCTGCGTAAACATGTTCTGTCTGTACGAATTAGACAATAACAAACAGGTAAGCATATATCATGTTTCATATATATTTGAATATGTCGAGATTGATAAAACTGGTGATTTTGCCATTACACTGATTGAAACATTAACGAATTAGAAAGGTGGCAGAAGTAAAGTCATGGTGTAACAATTATCAAGCGTTTCAATATACACGGATTCGCATTCAATCATCCTTATGCTCCTGACAAGTGATAAACCGTTCGGTTAAAATGATATGCAGCAATCCACTTTACGATAATGATTCTCAGAGGGGAAAAACCACCATCCCAATGAAATAGACTTAAGATATAATCAGTTACACCGACGACATGCACAGTCTTTTCAATGTGTTAAATTTGATGATGTTTAAAGAGCCTCAGTTTAAAATTTTAAAAGCATCGTTTCTGTGAAATGAACCTTCACGTGAGCAATGACAAAATTGTCGAATTACTGTTATACAGACTAGGTATATGAAAAACAGGCCTATAATATGCAAACTCGAGTACCATAGCTTGTTGTAAAATCAAATGAATAGTTATTAAAGCTTACACAAAAGAAACTATTCAGATAGTCTGTAAAATATTTGCAGTGTTTTCTTGTTATTGCTTACCTTCATTATCGAATGAATAGATAACACAACCCAGCGGTCTTTGTTAAGCGTTATCAGAGTATCTGAATTCGCATACTTTTTGAAGGTGATACGATTAACTGTTCACAGGAAATTTTGATATTAGCGACAAATATTTGCGGCAAATATGCGTCATTCTATCTGATCAATTTTTAATTTCTTCACTAGTCATAGATCACATTAAGTATGCGAAAAAAGACTGCTGTTTAGCCTAAGATTCTTGCCAAGTCATTCCACTAATAGGTTTGAATGAAAATACTGATACTTGAAAAACTGTATAGAGAAAAGCTTAAATCTAATTTGGAGGTTTGTGAGGATTTATTGATTTCAAGGTGATATTATTAATGGTGCTTGGTTGATGACATGCTTCGAGATAAGATTTTCGGAAGTCATATTAAGAAGTCGTGACTGGGCTCAATGGTAAAGTGCTCACTACTAAAATGGAAGGTTCCGAGTTCGATTCCTGATGGGGTTATATGTGAACACTGTTGAGAAGTCCTATACTAGAATGAAACAGCTGTCCACTGCTTCCAAACTTTTAATGTTTTCCAACTGATGTCAGTCTGTGATGAGAACTTAGATTTTTCATAACTACTAAGGTATCTAATGAAATTCAATTCATGGTTTCGATGAGTACATAAAAAATTGACTGAATTATTACTAATATTGTAACACAAATCTCTGATAACTATTATATCGAAACAACTATTGGTAGGAACGATCAAAAATATAAATCATTATAAAGAAGAAGCCAGAGAAATCACTACGAATCGAATATATGAACCATCCAATAAAAGGCGTAGAATTGTAAATAAATAACTGAATCATCTTCCAAAACTATAATGTACATAATATGTAGCTCATTCCAACTATAAATTATTCACTGAGTAACAAGTAAATTAAAAAGAGAATGGAAATGAGTTACTAAAGTCATCAGTACAGTTGAACTTCTGACCGATGAAGTTGAACATACTGGTTACTTCTACACAACAGTGTATTTTTTTTCTCGCATTCTTTTGGGGTTGAATTCCGTGTTAACTTTTTTCAGTGTGATATAGCCTAAAGTAATACAGTATTATTAAATGTTTCTAATATATGGTTATAGTCGTATGACGGAATGTGATCTAATCTGCTAACGGGAAATTAAATTATATCTAAAACATCAGCCAGTATATGATACAAAATCACTATGTGCAGTATTAAATTTTTTTTTTAAAATCAGCGGAAAACGACTGAGTAATCTGCTGAATGCTCTGTTACACTGGCATGACTCTGTTGTTCAGTTAAAAAGATTCGTGGACCTAAAATGTATAGATCAACGGACGTATTACAAAATGGTTGATGGTGATAGCTTTCATTTAGATGTACCGATCAGAAATAAGTAAAATGGATCAACAAAATGTGAGTTGAGAATACAGTCGTTCTTCAGTATTACAGCTAATACTCAGTTGAAACGATAGATAGTAGCTGGCATTGGAGTCCAAAACGCACGATTTGTCCTATTTGGGACTTATCCGCTGTATATACCCGTCTTTCAACCCCCCTCCCCTTAAGGAGTGATATTGTTCCCACTGAAAATTCTACCCTGGACCGTTTACTCCAAATGCCGGAGAGTTATTCAGCAGGTAAGTTAGTCACAACAGTCACTCCATGTGCGACGGACATAGCTATCATGTTATTGTTCGTAATTTCCAGTCGTCAATTAGACCAAATTCATCAATATCCATCGGCATACGGGCTTCTGTGCTGGCGACTATCCATCATTACTAGCAAACTGAAACTACAGGCAATACCAAGGCATCCGCGTACGAGCACATATACTTATAGAAACAGATCAATTCGGTCCAATTAACGACGGCTAATATTTAGGCTTCACTTAAGTGGGAAAGATGATGCTATCCAGAATAGGATAAATTCATCAGAATACACTGTTGAGAGAAATCGGTTATACGTTTACTTAGAAGGTACTAACAGTACGTATTTTTGAGTATGTTATTTGAATGAGTAAGAGTAGTATGACATAGAGACATGTAAAAATATTGTTCACCACTTACAGTACGTCGTCCATTAAAAGTTAACGCATAATGTTTTGTCAGTTCCCTTTCTTCCCACCAAAGTGACAAAAAAGACTCGAAGAGTGACAGAATGGAAATCGAAACCCACTCAGCAACCTTGAACACAATCGTGCAGTAGGCAGTGACCCACACCTATTGTTCGAAAGAGCTAATGATACTACCTAGCTGCCCAAACCTGGGTAGGTGAAGCAGTATTCAAACCCCCGACCCATCGGTTGACACCCAACTCTCTAAACCAATGAGCTACAACTCCACTCCGAGTGATAGAAGAATGAGCTTGGTGATTAAGCAGTTGCTTGATGGCACATTATAATATTACTGGAATTATATGGAAATGTCTCAGAAAACAGTGAAATGGGCTCCTCCTACCTTCTCTGTGATCATGTTAATATCGCAGATCACTCACCGTAAGAGATGCACAATCATATTTATGCTTTACGTAACAAAAATCAATCCCAAACAAATGTGGTCTATCCTACTGATAAGAGTGCATTTAAGTAGAATATACTACAGTGTCTCCGACCAACGGGGATTCCAAGTAACTAGATAACATAGAAACTAGGAAATGAACACTAATAAACTTTCACAATGTTAACCAATGCTATCCCCATCAAGTATTATGATTACCTTCAATCTATCATGTTCCTCAGGCTACCTACAAAGATGAACTATATACTACTTAAATACATTCTAATCAGTAGCATGCACCAATTAAATCATTAGGAAAACGAAAACAAAATCAAACTACAAATTACAAGACATACTTGTGCATAATTTTCCACAACGCATGATCGTAACTTCTGCAAAGCATTCTGAAATACACTGTAACTTATAAAGATATCCTCTCTATGAAGCAGAAAAGAATGAAAAAATACTGAACAGTAAGATAGTTGTTTGTAATAAATGAAAAGTTAAGCCTAATGAAAAATTCTACAAAAATGATTGGCATATCAGACATAACTGAGGAATTGGATCATGAATAGGAGTCGTAGTTGAGGAAGACCGGTAACTAGTAGCATGTTTCCAAGTCATCTATGACCTTGATTTCTTTTTTTATTTCGGTCGGAAATACCGGATCTAAATATCACTTCACTTTAAAACTCTCAAGCTACCCTGCATAATAGTATATCTCGTGCATTAGATTGACAAATATGCCTAATGCCTAGCTATCGTGTATTAAATTAAAGAAACAGCATGTTGTCCAATTGGTGGTGCCTTTCTAATTTCTCATTCAACATACCAATTTAAATCATATCATCAGCATAATGAAGAAAGCATGAATGCTATCTTTCGCTTGAAGCCTTTTCACTTTTCCAAATTCTTATTGGTAGACCATACTATACCCATTAGATGTCAATAAAAAATCAGTCATATGTCATCTGTCTCTCATGCTTTTCAAAACTCATCAATGAGGCATATCTGAAAGCCTAAAGAAATCCATTTTCTGTCAAATATCCCTCAACGCTTTGTATATGTGAATGAATAAGATGAATGAAACTGGATTCTAATCGTCCGCAAACTACGTCTTTCTTTAGTGCAACACAGTTATGCCTTATTGATAAATAAGAAGAAACAGGAAACTAATACTTAGTGGCCTACAATTTAAGTCTTCCAAGTGTATAGTACCTAACAACGTACATTAAAAGGATTAGAACATAGATTCACATAACGTATATCCAGATCACGAATATGTCTATTTAAATTTCTGCCGATAAACCCTCGTTGAAATTGCAGATACACCCTGTTAACAAGTACCAGCAAGCACCAAATCTACGTCCACGACTTACAACCAAATAAATCTAATCATACGGTAATTTCTATATATGAGTTAATAAACAAATCATGGATATCATTTTGACTATCTAGGGTAGCCATGGTTTGGCAGACTAATACTTATACAAGGTGATGATTGGAGGTGAAATGGTAATCTGGACCGTGGCCGGATACGAACCAGTGACTATCGGGTTTCAGGCCCGATGCTCTACCAACTGAGCCACAAGGTCCGATTCTCATATTAACCCTAAATCGTCAGCCAGTATAAATACAAGTCTACCAAACCATGACTATCTCTAATAGTCAAAATGATAATCAATATATTGATTCCCCTCTCTAATTCACTTAGATTTGATTTGGGATGAGAAGTCCTGATTAGGCAACCAGTGTGAATACGATCAAGTGGTATTAACGCGTCATGAATTCACATAGTAGTCGGGAAAACCCCGCCTAGTGATTGAAGTGAAATAAAAATATGGTCAACAATCGGACCTCGTAGCTCAGTTGGTAAAGCATCGGACCAGAAACCCGGTGGTCGTTGGTTCGAATCCGGTCGCCGTCCAGATTTCCATTTCACCTTCAGTCATCACCGAGTATAATTCATGGATAATCATCATTTGTAAACGATGAATAATAGGATTGAATACCTTCTCCACTGAAACAATTTATCAAAAAAGAAAGAGGACTTACTCAGTAGGCGTAGGTCGGTTATGCATGAAATAATTCTGTGGGTTAAATTGTTCAATATCACTAAAATCCTATCAAGAAACAAATAAATAAAAGGTAACGTAAGATTAAGTGATAATCTCCGTAGACAAGCAAATGGTTTGCTTGTCTCTGTAAGGTTGAATTTGAACTACCGCTTGAGTTTACTTCATCAAACAGTAATATTATGGCGAAACCACTTCTCTTTATCTGTTAGTTGAGAAAACAATTTCAATCCCCAAAACTTTGCATCCAAGCCAATGGAAATGGCCAATGTATGTGGCAGTGCAATAACTTCAACTCCCTCCTTAATTTTATATCCCTATTCTTTTATGTTTAAATATTCTTTGGATGCAGATTACTAGGAAAGACAATAACCCTTATAACACCTTTATCTACTGCAGTCATAGACTTTACGTTAGATATTAAACGTTAAACTTTAACGCTTTCGTTTTGCCCAGCACTGATAGACTAGTAGTCAGCATAATCTAGAAGGTAATACACATAGATACGGAAATACACTGACTTTTATAGCAAAGAAATGCTTAACCCTTTCTCAAGAAAAGAGTCTGTGATAACGCTGCAACCAAACACAAGGAAATATAAGTATTTAGCCATAAATATTTTGGCAGGAGTATTTAAACATGACGGAACACTTGAGTCAGTAATGTGGATTGTGGTGTATAATTTAAAAACAGAATTCCACCAATTAGAATGTAAGCTTGCACTAACTGGAGTAGCCTTATGGTATATACTGAGTGTACTATTTAGTCAACGAACCCCAGTTAAATTGAGAGTGGGTATTTGTCATAACGAAATATAAACATTTTTGATTCAATCAAGTGGTTTGAATTATAAACGTGGGACTTCAAAATATGTAGAATATTACAGCCGTTAAACCAAATAAAAAATAATTCAATAAAACATAATTTTGTCCTAGGCTCTTCTTTTTCGCTTCCCCAAATCTTTTTCCAACAGTTTAAAAAAGAACCAGGACGATTAGTTCAACGAGTAATAAAAGCCTACAAATTTACTATCTACTGGTTCAATGTGTACGAAGAAATAAACTTCATGGTTGGGGCTAGCAGAATGTTAGGAACCCGTGGTTGGAGAACACAGGCCATATATGTCTGAGAACTTATTACAATAGTGCCCATGCATTTATCGTTCATTTTTAAACAGCTTTTAAACATGAAATTATTAAATATCTGTTTAACTTTAAGGTTTATGGAGATTTATTTATTGGTTTCAGGTTGGTACTCATCACGGACTGACATAAGTTGGAGAAACCTTGGAAACCTGGGAATACTGGAAAGCTGTTCCCTCCAAGTATGGGACTCCTCAGAGGTGTGCACCCATAAGGTGATTGCTGAAGTTCTAATAAGATGTTGCAACCTGTGGGGCCAAGCAAGTCGAAGGTGAAGACATTTACTCAGTGACGGCGTTGGATGGAAATTGTACTATATCGTGAACTGACAGAAGTAGGAAATATGGACCACTGGGTTCCGACCTAGTTACTTAATTTTAACATACTGACCACAGAATCTGAAGGTTCAGGGTTCGACCACTGGTAGAGTCATAAGTTTGCACTGCTGAAGAGCACCATACTACGATGAAACAGCTGTTTAGTGCTTCCAATGTTTCTCCAGTTGATATCACTTCATAATGAATGCCAACCTGTAATACCTATTTATTCTGCACTCTAACTCTCCTTCTTCTATTGGTTCATTCTGATATTTCACATTCTGTATCCTGTTGACAAATTTATCTATTAAAGCCAACAAATTAATTACTGGGAGTAGTTTTGTATCATTGAGGATAAATACACCTGCTTATTTCACCACTTTAGGCATCATCATTAACTAGGATTACTTATCCCCATTTACTTCAATAGATAAAGACCACCCTTCAGTACTAGTGTACCACAAATGTTCCCCAAGATCATGATAACTTTTCAGAGCCTCAAGGAACGATTCTCTACGTATCACTCCACCACAGAATGGTCAAGAAGATATACACTAATAATGAAAATGACAGAAAACGTTTCTCTATGAAGTATACTATGAAGTATACACATGTTCATTGTACCATTGTGTGATGATACAAATGATGGGAAAACTACCTACATACAGAATGAGATCACTATATTTGAGAGATAAGTGTGAAAGACATTTTGTTTTAGTCGGTGAAATTATTCAACGATATCACGAACTGCTAACTTCATAAACGTACGTCTATGCTCCTCATATAGCCTTTTGAAGTTGGGGTTTTGGAAAGCAGGCTGATTAGATGATTCAGAATGCAGCGTACACAAATACATATACAGGTCATACTGATGTGATATACTGAATAATGAAATACCGATAAAATCACTGAATAAGTGAAGACAGTATACCTTTTTGGCAGATGGTTGGTCAACATCTTTCGGTTCTAAAATTAACTTCAAGGGTTGGTCTAAACGATGACATAGTTGAACTTGATAACAGTCACATAGACGAGCCTCCCTTTAATTAAAAAAAAGACGATAAATAAAGGAAATACAACTGCTGATACATAAATTTGGAGTGACTTTATAGACCACCCTAACAACTGATGCGATAACTAATTATGTTTCTGTACTTTGTAGAAAACTAACTTTCCAGCTGAAGTACCAAACCTTGATTGGTTACTTCAGCAGTTACTAGGGTGACCTTTAAAGATGTAGTAAATATGGAATAAACTCCACGGAGTAACAAAACTCTATCATCATCACGGAGATGATACAAAATATTTTCATAAGAAACTCCTATATCATGACCATTATATGAATAGTGCTTTGCTGTGTATGATTTTATGTAAACTATAGAACTTTCGTTGTTGTATTCTCTACAGTGGGTTTTGAAAATTCAGAGGCAACATTACAGCTGCCAGAAGTATTATACGTGTTATCTCTGTGTTACTCGGCAGGAAGCCGTGGCGAATATCGAGTATCAAAATAAGCTTTATTAGCAAACATATAGATGACAACTGATGAACCTACAGTACGATACTAAATTATAAAATTGATCAAAATGTTTATGAACCCTGTGTAACCATTGCTTTTATTTACTTATAATAATATTGTTTTATTTGATGAACAAAGAGCTTAAGCTTATAATGCTGTACATTTTTACAGAGAATGATAGTGCTAAGATATTGAGCTTCAGCAAGATATATTACTGCACAACATGCGTAACCAAACAAGAACATATGAAACACTTTTGTATTGTGAATATTATAAAGTTATTCCTCTTATTTCATATGGTATATCAATGAGTTCAACTTGGTTGGTCGAATTCAACTTCTCAGGTAGCATTGATTCGGATCAACCTACAATGAGCTGAACTCAAAGTGAACGACACAATGACTCGATATTTATGTCACTCTTATATGAATGATAAAACCAGTGGACTAGAGTTGTCCTTACTATTCAACAGTATGCATCCAAGCGCACCCGATTTGAATTCATTACCAGTTCCGATTCATCGAGAGGCAGTAGTGAACCTCCACTCATAGTCAGAGCACTCGTGATCCCCTTGAACCCGGCGCTAAGTGTTTTTTTTTAGCATGAAAATATTTCCTCACTTCTTTATTATTAAAGGATGCATTTTCAGAGTGTAACCTAACTAAGAATTGTCGTTGGCAATTTTCGATTCATTGCATACCTTTGACATTCAGTTTTTCGTTTTCTTGGTAGACTTAATCATTGGGCTAGAATACATCACAAGTTCAACTTTCTTTTTCATTAAGAATTAGAAGAATCTGCATGAATGACACTATCAACAATGAGTTAGACAAACTCCTATAAATTCTAAAACAAAATGGATACCCATCCAGACTTATTGAGAAGAACTTGAAATATAAACAGAGATAACCTACTGAAATCGCCTCACATGAAAACAAGAAAATGTCGTAGGAATATAGACAGAAGTCATCGAACTGTCCGAAGGTCTTGAATACTCCATTCGTGGGTGACATCAACCAGATAGATGCATCGTGCATGCTATTACTAGCAATGTGGCGTCTACTTAAATATATATTGACCAACAATGAATACAAGTATTAGTATGGTACAATTCCATTTTGGTCTGCTTATTCATATCAAAAGATATAAATGTGGGGCATGGCCTGAATAGCTCAATGATAATGTCGCCGACTGACGCAGGTCTAAATCTCACGAAGAAAATAAATTCCCCCAAGGTTGCAGAAACGCCTTGTTGATAAGTGTCAACAAGCACGAAACCTAGGTTGAGAACGACTTCCTGCCGAACACCTCCAATCAACTAACATTCATCGAATATGGACACAAATTAAACTATGTCTGAAAAGTTATCGAGTAAATAATACTATTTCCTTTGTGTGACACATCTGATAAACGGACTAATATGGAAATACCAGTTTGACTATCTGAGACTAACGTGTATTGATACTGTGTGATGATTAAAGATGAGATGAAAAATCAAGCTCCTGCAGGATTCGAACCAAAGAACACCGGGCATTCGGACTAAGGCTCGCCACTAACTGAGCTACGAGACCCAACTGCTGACCAGACTTTTATTTTACTTCAATCATTAATGGAATGACAATCTTCCAAGGGTGGCCTTTTTCTATACCTTCAGTATGATGCAAAAAATATTGTGAATAATGTTTCTTTTCCAGACATTAATCAATTTCATAGTTGATATGATACCAAAAATCATATTTTTAACCTACGCACATAACATATGTAACATTTTTCATAGTCATTTAGACATAGATATAAAAACTTCAGCAATATTGTAGAAAAAATATGTTTGTACTCTGAAATTCGAAACAGATTAGTGTACACTAATGTGAACTAAAGACTTTGATCAGTTCATAGGAAAACATTATCTCTTACCACCATTTAGCCAATATTAGTGTACTTTGGATTACTAAAACTCCATCCAGCTGTACAAAGTAAACAGTTGTGTAATATAACCATTGGGTTGCATTATTCAGCATTCGATGAATTGTGGCGTTAACGTGACTTTGTACAGCTGAATAGTAACTATAAAATAGACAGTTTAATGCTTTATGGAAGTCCCTGTTAAGGTTAGTCGGTAATAACAATGTGAACTGATGCCTCCCTGTCTGGTATAATTCCCAAATCTATAAAATGCAATCGTCTATTTCGTTTCATTAAAAAAATGGTACTTAAAAATAACTTTTAATTACTCACGGACGTAACAATTCAGCTCTGCCCTGAAGACGCAGTTGAAATTGATTTGCATCCAAACTAAATTCATGCGGAATCAGATCATTTGCAAGCGCTTCTAACATGAGTTCATTGACTAGTGTGGTAGTAGCTGAAAAATGAACATTTGAAACACACATTAGGTACCATGACTGTTGATAGAAAGTGAATCATAACGAATGATTCGAAAAATAGCCCAAAATCATGCACAATCATGCATAATTAAAGATGATGGAAAATATTTTTACCTCGAGAGGATGATTTTGGTGTTGTGTTCTCTGAACTGGATCATTTAGTCGCAAAGCTTTCAGTGTTATTCTAGGCAACATCATCACCAGAAACTTCATAAAAAAGTGAGCTATAGGATTTGCTCTATAATTAGTTTAGTAGCTTGTCATGATGGTCTTGTGTGTGGTTGGGTGTTCCTGCCAAATTCTTGTCACGGGTTCCCTATTGATTTCAAAGTCCATGTAAGACGGACAAAAGAACGAAATCAGTGTGCAGATAATGACAAGAATTTGGCAGAAACACCCAAGCACACACATGACCATCATGACAAGCTACCAAGCCAATTATAGAGCAAATCCTATAGCTCACTTTTTTATGAAGTTTTTCGTGATGATGTTGTCTAAAATCACACTAAAAGCTTCGCAATCAAACTATCTAACTCAGAGAACACAACATCAAAATATATAATTCACGGGGGAAATAATCCCAAAATCTTAAGTTTGTACCTGTTTGTACCCATAGTAATGTGAAAGTTATTTAACCTAACTGTTTGATTAGAATTTATATTGGTTATCGAGGCATAACTACCAATGACCAATAAACTTATTTAATTCAACCATTAGATCTCAGTAATTCGATTAAGTGATGATAAAGTCGAACAAGACACTTCTCTAGCAGTTTGTTTGTAACGTGGCCAACAAAAGTTCAGGCATTCGACAGGCTGACAAAATCTCAGAACGGATAAGACAAAGGCCAGGTGAGCCTCTTCAACTATTGACATGAAATACCGATGCACATTGACGATGTAGTGTACTGACTGAGCAGAATTCCTTTCCATCGTGAATTTAAAACTGTGAAACATGTCCAGTAAAGGTGAAGGATGTAAAAAAAACCTCAGGCACTTGACAACCATTACTTTCGTAGCCTGGCGACTGTTAGTCTACATCTCATGGCTTCCAGACAAACAAAACCGATGGTTAGAAACACCAGATGATAGAGCTTAAAATTTATTACAACGGTGCAGAAGTACAAATACTCTGTCTTGAGCTTAGTTACCATGCTTAATTGACTTCAGTAACTCTTCATCTCCACAGGACGTTTCGTCGCATCATAACCTCATCTTCATTTTGTGACCTTGTATCTTGATGTGCAGTGTGGTAATCTGCAATGCCAACTGCTAATTCTATGCCCTATTAATAAAAATCTACATAACTGTAAGAATCCTATCTGTAACCTAATATAAGTAGCATTTCTTTGGTAGCTGTTGGTAATATATTATGTTTCAGGTTTTCGAGCAAAACATAACGCTTAACAACTGAGTAGACAGAAATTAAAAGTCCAGAGTTACAACACAAGAAAATATTTTCTGACTTACGATCACAAACCAGACGTAGCCGTGGACTAACTGGAGTACTACTATTCAATAAATCCAAATTGATTGGGCGCCTCGATCCAATAACTAGACTTTGACGTGATCTTTTCCTACCAGTCAAGTGTGCAGTGATGCGTACTTCCAATTGAGGGATACACCATCGAGGAGTATTTGTCCAATGACTAGGAGTAATTTCTTGGAAGCTAGGATACTCCTTAGACTTAGGATATACATGAGATACATTGGACGCTCCAGTTTCTGTCTCCCATGATGGATTAGACTGTTGATGAGATAAAAAGTGTGATAATCGTGAAGCTTTTGATGTTGTATTTGTCATAGAGTCATTATATACACAGTCAAATGCCCAAGAATCGGGAGATGAATATACATCCTCTGAACAACCGCCATTTTGATCAGAACTATCACCAAGATCACTGATCAGTGTAGAGGTTCTTGGTCTATTGTACTTTTGTCTCCATAAGCTTTAGTAAACATAAAAACATGACAATTAGAGACTCCATTTTAACAGCTAAATTACACAGTTTTTAAAGTGTAGGAATGAATTTTTGCGATCAATTCACGCAAGGTTTTTCAGTCGATACTCAATTCTATTTTATAAACCATTTCTTTAACTCACCTAGCAACATTAAGGCAAGTTGTACCGCACTATGCTGACCAGGAGAACAGTGAAAGACCTGCTACCTATTCAACTAAACATATTCACAAAAAATATATCGGCCAGTATATCTGACTTATACATCTTTAACTACTTTTATCTTCAACTGTGACAGCTTGAGTGTTACATAAAACTCATGGATTTCACCTATATCATTTATATGAAAAGAAACACCTGAGTTTGTGAGTACAAACTTCAATCTGATATATTATCTTAATATATTCAGTCTACTAACATCAGATGGGTTCATATTGTCCTAAAAAAGCTTATAAATTTGGTAATATACCCAGTATCTACTTCTCAGATGCCTCAAGAAATAAAAACGTCTCCCAAACACCCAGATGTAATAGGATTTATGCTAAAACCTAGAGACAGTCACATAACATTATAGGTAATGGTTTGATTGGATATGTTGATGTAAATCGATCATAACAATTAACTTGAAAGGTTTGTCTAAAAACACTTAGGTTACCCTAAGTATGCAATGAAACTTATTATAATAAGTTTTAAACCTGAGGTCAAAAGCGAAAATAATGGTTTAATCTCCGTTGATGAAAACTAATTCAGTCCCACTCTAATGAATGGCTAACAATGGGATGTGGGGCGCACTTTTCATCCTGTTTGAGACTCCTCAAATGGATTTATCTGCACTCTTGTGGGTGATGTTGTTGTCGCCCGGACTCGGACTCAGTACCCATCGCTTCAAACGCCAAAGCACTATCTACTAGGTATAGGTACATCCATTTGACGAACCCAAATAGAGGGAAACGCATATCACCGATTGACTGTTGGCCAAGCAGATTACAGTATAATGGGTAATCGGGAAGTAACGAGGAAATCGCATAGGAGCCAACTTGCCAACAGAGGTAAAGCAATTCGACCCAGTATACCAACGAGATATTAGTAATATCGAAGCACATCATATCAGATACGTAACCAGGAAATGAATCCTGTTTCTTTTAAAATTGGATCTCAGCTGATCAGAAGAATTGCTTTCTTTCACTTTCATGATGGGAAAGGCTAAATTTTAGTTCACTGCCAATAGGTAATGGTGCAAGACAGTGAGACAACAAATTCCCCATTTTCAACTAACTACAGATAGGTTGCAACTGGCTTAAGCCTAACTCTGCTTTGCATATTAACTGCTAAACATAAAACAGGTGGGCAAGTTAGTGATGCTCTTATCTACTAAGTACTGCACATCATATTGAACGACTATACTTGGAAGCAGATACCTATAGGATCTCCAGAGGATCACATACCTAGACTGTGTAGCATAAGTCCTAAGAAAACTACTTCAAATTGACTTAGAAATATCTTTCACTAAAACACAATGCATAGCAGTCCCATGATACATCCATACACTTCCGCTAATATACAGGGCTTCGATTACCATTTGAGTGCATATTTCAGCCGTAGTCAGTGGCTAAGTGGTAAATGGCCTCTAACTGAGTGATACAGGTTTAAGATCTACCAAGGAACAACAGTCTATTCATGGTTGCAGATACGCATGAATCCTAGGCTGAAAATGCCTTACTGTTGATTAGTTTAAAGCAGCTTCAATTTCGCCCACGGTTTATAACTTTTGAGCCAACTAGCTACTTATATTACGGCCTGGCTTTTTATCAGTATACAAGACCATAAGCCACATGGAGCCTAAAATTGCTTACTACTTACCGGCTTACTCCTAAAAATAATTTGCTCTTGGAAAAAAGCGAATAGTAATCACATCAAATCCCATATGAGTATGAAGATAAAATGTATGTGATGACAATAAACTGTAGCACAGGCTTTTTGAGGTTCAGATGTACCTAACTAGTCAACGGTCACAATGAGAATGAAATATAACCTCGAGGCCCTGTTTCTGCCGTGTAGTTAACAACCAATAAGTAATTTACTTTACTGGTTACAATGGTAAAAAATGGACTCTACAAATGTTTAATCCTGCACCTAAGATATGGTGGCGATATGAGGATGAAACATTTACTATGCTGAAATAGGAGAATATCGACAATTTCCTCACTCATAAAGCCTCAGTAGTAGACGCAATTCAATTCACTCACGAGGTGGAAAATCAACAAGAAGAATTACCCATGTTGGATTCAAGAATAAAACAAAGGACAGATGGTGGTTTCGATACTACAGTCTACAGGAAAACCATACATTCTAACAGGTATCTAAACTTCAAGTCATCTCATACAATGTCAGTTAAAGCAGGCTTAGTCAAATGTCTCAATGACACACCTACACAACTCACCAGTCATTGTAAGGAATTAAACAAGAAATTGAAACACATAACAGAGGTGTTATCAGTTATTAATTTCCCTACACCATTTATTACAGAGAATTCGTACAAACACATTAGAAACGAAATAACAACAACAATACAAATACAAATAATGACGACACCATGAATAGAAATAAGTTCAACGACTCCATTGTGTCATCAGATAACCAAAGAACATCAGAAACTTTAAGTAGAATTCTCAACACAGCTGGAATTAGGGTGCCACTTAAACCTACAAACTCACTCAGAGATAAGTTTTGTCAGCTAGCTTAACGATCCCATAGAACCAATTAAGCAAAATGATCATGCAAAGATTGTGAGGTCAAGTACATAGGTCAAACCAGCCGGTTGTGGTCAGTTCGATTAGCACGACATAGAAATTCAGCTAAATATCGAATAACAGACTCCAACAAGATCAGTTATCTAGAAAAACACTCAGCTACTGCAACGCATGCATTAACACATAACTACACAGTAGGCTGGGTAGGATAAAATCACTGTACACAAGTCCAATATACTTGGGTGGAGAATTAGATTCATTACTAAGTCTTTGTTCATCGAATCTACACCCAATACATGTAATAGAAATGAAGCAACATCTATATGCTAGAGATATGGAGAATTTTACTACCTATAAAACAAAGAATATAAGTTGACAGGGCTGTAAAAGTTAGATATCGACAGTAGTGTGATTGCACTGATATGATTATGAGCAATAATTTGTGCTCGAAACGTCATCAAGTAAATAACACTGTACTGCTGTGTCCTATAAATCAAACAAACAAATCTAGTATGTATTCATCGTAGACTGACATCAGTTGGAGAAAGAATGGAAACCTGGGAGCACTGGACAGCTGCTTCGACCTAGTGTGGGACTCCTCAGCAGTGCACACCCATGACCCCGCCTGGGATCGAACCCGTGACCTCCAGGTTTTGTGTCCTGCACGTTATCATTGAGCCACTGGATCGGAATCCAGTGGTCCATATTTCCAAGTTCTGACATAGCGTGACCGCCACGCAATGTCACCTTTGAGTAGCTGTTTTCACAACCATCAGGCTAGCCCCACTGGTCACAACTTCTCATTGGAACTTCGGAAATCAGTCTATGATGAATACTAACTTAAAAATATTTCTAAATCCCCATAACTTCCTTGATGTCTAGTTTGGTTACACTGTGCATGTCATTCAGCCATTTACGATAGAGTCAGATATAGCTTTTCTATATTCAGAGTTAGAAGAATTTTCAACGTTTTATCCGATCGTCAGCATCCTCCGAAGATACATCAATAAATTCAGGCATAAAGCAACTATTTTAGTTTCAACAACATGAGTTATAAAAGGCAAACTTTGATCGATCCATCGATCGATAGTGTACCCAAAAATGTCCCGCTCATTCTCTTTGCTTACCTATGAGCAATAAAAATCAATCATCGTTTATGTCATGTCCATTTCAAAAAAGAATGTTTTGTTCTCAGTTCTTTTTGATGCCAAACAACCAATTACACGGTTCCTAGTGTGCTCTAACACATGTACTAAGCTGCTTTTAAAAATTAAGTGACAGAAATAATGACAAAGACTATGTAATCCAATGACTTTTCATACTGTTCACAGTTTTAACACGTGCTTACTTTGATTGTCAACTATGCTGATTGTGTCAGGTCATCGTACAAAACATCGATTTATTTATGCGCTTATAATTGACGTTGGATTTCGATGATTTTCTTAAACAACTTTGCAGGATTACTGAGGTAGGGGCTCATATATGAAGTTGTGGCATTCTCTAGAATCGTCAAAGTACAGTAATTGTCTGTTAGTGTTTTCAACTACTCTAGAGATTATGGAAGTAGTCTTGTGTGAAATTAGAAACACACACACACACGCTTGTGAGTTGAACTGGTAAGTATAAATACAAATCCTAGTAACGAAAATAACTACAGTCATGACATTTGTCTTTTTTTCATCAGCGGTAGTGGTATCGTGCAACTTTAACATAAAATCACCAATCAAAGGTTACTGGTCGGTGAGTAGTCAACTTTTAGCAAGTGATGTTGTTCCCAGAGGGACTTGGTTTCGAGAGTGACCGCTCCAAATGCCAGAGCGTTATCCACTACACCACCGAGCCACGATAGCCACTTCTTGTGCTCGGGTATAGATTTAGTTTTATTGTTTGTATGACACCGTCGTTGATTGGACCGAATTGATCAGTCTCTGTTGGCATATGGGCTCCTTTGCGGATGCCTCGATAGTGCCTGTGTTTTAATTATGTTTAGTAATGATGGGCAGTGTCCATCACTCATTGGGAGGCAGGTACATCCAGCTGACGAGCCTCAAATAGGATGAAACGCGCATCCTGGATTCCACTGCTAGCCACTAACTATCATTACTACACATAATTAAAACACAGGCGATATCGAGGCATCCGCAAAGGAGCCTATATGCCAACAGAGACTGATCAGTTCGGTCCAATCGACGACGGTGTCATAGGAGCAATAACACCAAAATATAAATGTTTATAATCT